TTTTTTTTTTTAATATTTATGTTTGTTACGGGACCAATCAAAAACACCAGCTCAGGGGGACCAATCAAAAACAACAGCTTTCACATGTAAAACAGTTTTCATGAAATAGTCCAATATACCCTGAAGAACCTATGCATGAAGAACCTATAAAAATATCAGTAATTTCTAAATGTAATAATTTTTAATATCAAGTATATTCACATATTAAAAATATAGAATAATATGAACACTATTAAAAGATACCAATTTACTTATATTGGCTTTACATCACAGATTGGAATTGGTTTGATGGTTTGTCCAGGCCTTGTGATATATTTGGTTTTTTTTAAATATAGAAACGTCTTTCTGTTCAAGTTGGTTAAATATTTTATTCATAGTTATAGTGTCATGATTGATTACAAAACCATTTTTAGTTCTTTCAATGTTCAAAAAATATTCACTGATTTTTTGAGTTTGTGCACATGATCACAATATGCACCTTCAACTCCTGAAAAAGACTCGCTGCTTTTCATATCCATCATATTTGACTGCAGAATGACCTTTACAGTAAAATGTTTTCCCTCTTTATACATAAAGAAACCTTTATTTTTGAAAATGTCAGAAGACAGTCAATGATTGAAGAGTTTCTCTTGATTCTTTTCCCAAAGACTCGCCAAATTGTAACTCAGTGGGGCATTTTGTGACTTTTGCAACCATATTAAGAAACCTACTTTCTGTTTCAAGTAAAAATGGACAAAACATTGTCTGTATGATATTGCTAGTGCTAACATTATCTTTTTAATTAAATATTGCATGGCTTCCACTACCATCAAATCCAAACTTTATTTTTATTAGTATATTTTCAATGTTTATATCTAAAAAAAATTTTCCAATATCCTTTGCATTGTCAGTTTAATAGCCTGAAATAGACTGAAGTAAACACAAGAATAAAGTTCATGATAGTTCATTATAATTGGTGTTACTTCAGGTTGTTTTCTTCTGAGATGTTTCCAAATAGGCAATATATTAAATCAATGAAAAGTTTTTTTTTGTTTTTATATGAATCCCTACAAAGAGCACAAACTGTTTAAATTGACATTGTTTCTATTAGAAACTTATTGAAAGAGTTATTCTTTAACATACTCTTCAAGCAAGGATTCTATACCAGCCTTCAGATGCAGATCTATACCAGCCTTCAGATGCAGATCTTTACCAGCTAATCTGAACTGTTGTTTTTTGTGCAAATGTGAATTTATTGGAGCCAAGCAATATTTTTTTATTAGTGGTGTAACTAACTAGATTAAATTTGGTCAAAAAAAATGCTCAATAGAAAAGAGGGCTAGGGGGGGTGGAGGTGTTGATCTTAATCCTTTTTTAATTTCTAGACATACACTTTTACTGAACACATCTTCCTCTTATGAAAATATGTACAAAATAATGTAAAACTGTTTCCATTAATATTTTTTAATATTTTTACATGAATTATTTTCTGTTTGTTAAAAAGTCTTTAAACCAAAGTAAATTTTTTTTCTAATGTCATAGTGTTCAAGTTTACTTAGCATGATTTACTGTTTTAAAGGCTATGGACAGATTAATGAAAACTCGTAATGTAAAATAATCGTTGTTTTGAGCGTCCGATATCTCCTTTACAAGCTCGATTACTGCGTAACCAGAACTGTAAACCTTTAAAAGGCGCCTAGTCGTATTTTTACTGTTTTGAGAAAAATAAAAAAAATCTAATTATCTGACGAAGAATATTTTGAATATCAATAACTTTGTAATCGTAAATTAAAATGAAGATTATTAACAACATTTTTATTCAAACTAGCGTGGTTAGATTTATACCTTTTTCAATAAAAAATCCTGATGTTGAAAAAACTCAATTTTGGAAATAATAAACTTGGCTTCTATTTAGAAAACGGCTCTTTATTTATGCTTGATACCTGGCTTAAAAGCTAATTTTATTTAAAAAGTATATCACTCAAAGGTTTTACAGATACTTAAATAAATACCTATTCCATGCAAAAGCATCATCAACAACAACAAAAATATATTAATGTTTTGTAAATTTAGATAAACAAATTGAATAAAATTCTGATTAATTTTTAAAATAATTCTTACTTAGTGTTTAAAAAGTTAAAAAAAAGTGTTAATATTTGGAAAAAAACTCTCTTTAAACCCACGGTCTAAAAGAAGACCAACTTGACAATATTGAAGAATATTTTTTTTTAGCTCTTTTTCAAAATATTATTTGTCAAAACATTGTTAAAAATGGCTGAAGTCCTCAGAGTAAACTACATCAGATAAGATAAGAAAACACCTTACAACAAGTTTCTGTATAAATATCTATAAAGTTTTGTATATATATGTATATCTTAGAACCTAAAACTTATATTAGATTAAACTTACCAAAAATTTACCAAACAGACAAAACGTTCCCCAAAATTAAAAAGAATAAATAAAACTTAAAAATGTCCATAACCACTGAATTACTAAAGGGCTTCCTCTAATCACCAACGAAATAGCAAAAGCTTGACAAAAGTTTTTTTTAAAAAACTAAAATAAAATAAAGAAAAAAAAATTGCTTTTTAAATTATTGTACAATGCGTTAAAAAATGTTAGAATAACATGGGCAAAAATAAAATAATAAACAGAATAATAGCAAAACTAACCCTAATCCTAACCGAATTTTTCTAATAAAAAAAGAAATTTTTAAAATTTGAAATTTTGATAATCTTTTGGGCTTAAAGGAATCACCAAGGAATTTTATTTATTTTCAAATTTTTTTATTTTTTATCTTTATTTGATTTACTGATCAGCGCAGCAGTTTTATGTCCATTAAGGTTTTTAATTTAATATCTATATTCTATGGAAAGTGTATATAGGGGCTCTATGAAAAGAGTACGATACAAAAGGAATGTACAAAATATATAAGTGTAATGTAATTTCCGCACCCTCGTGGAAATATTTTTTACGAAAAAAAGTACATTTTTTGAAAACCACCGTACCATGTTTAGTTATGACCTAGATTTTTAAAATATACTGTCAATATCAATAAAATATACTGTCAATATCAATAAAAAGTGGGTTAAACAAGCTGGTTCAGAGTTGTTAGTGTTTGACATTGATAACTTACCAAAATGGTGGTTTCATAAAATTTTGTAATAATCATACTAATGCAAAATAAGAATTTAGCAAAAATTGCCATAATCAGAAACTGGAAATAATATTAAACCTAAAATTTGGTTTAATATTATTTCCAGTCCTAGCGTCCAATGTATTATTGAAATTTATTTTAAATTTTATTCCAAAAAAACAATCAAATTTAAAAAATTTGATTGTTTCATGACTTATAGAAAAGAAAAGAAAACTTAAAGAAAGCAACAAATTCCATGACTCATGATAGATGAGAAATCCATAACAAGAGATAAATAAAGCATAAGCTTACTTTCACAAAAAGAAAGGAAGCAAAGTTTGCAGTAAAAACTACCTCTTTTAGCAGAATATACTTGAAAAATCAGCGGCGTTGACATCTCCTTTTGCTAATTTTTTGTGATGAACTTAATCAGGCCATTACTTTGACGTATCCATTCGTCAGTTTCGGTAGATATACTTCAATATACTTCTTAAAATTAACAAAAATTTAGTTATTCTTTTATTTCTTTGTCATGAATACGGAATACTGAATAATAGACACACATCGCATAAAAAAGCGAACCTTTATATTTTGGACCCCTTGAAAACTTGAGCACTCAACGCCTATGCTCCTAATGGTATTAATTACAATTAACACCTATTGGTATTAATTGTAATTAATACCTAATGGTATTAATTACAATTAAAACTTTTAATATTTTACTCGTATTTATGTGTTTATTGAAATATGTAAAACTCTTAAGTATGTAACTAATTTTATAATCATATATTTTATGAAGTTAGTAAAATTTTAGAAAAGATTTACTTAAAATAAAGTAATGTATTGTCTTTTTTATATTCCTGTCAGATTAGAAACAATTTATTTTATTTTAACAAGAACAATCTAAAATTATTTGTTCACTGACGAAAGCAAACACAAAATGTCTTTATGCAGTCAACTACAGTACCGACTTCAGTTACTTAAAGAAGTTGTAATAGAATGCTTGACCTTTTAAAAGGAGATGTAATAGAACGCTTGGCCTAATCAAGGGTGTAAAAGAGTGCATAAGCAAATAAAGAGGGTGTAATAGAATGCTTGAGTAAAAAAACAGTAAACATTTTTTAAATTAAAACTTTTCTGTAAAAATTTTAGGTGTTTAAATGCAATTTATACAAAATATTTTCGCACAATAAAAATTGTTTTCACAATATAATATAAAACTCTTGTTATATAAAAAAAATCTCAAGAAAAGAATGATAGAAAAAATAAATCTCTTAATTTTAAAATTTAGTTTTTTACAAAACTTTCAAAATATAAAATCGATAATAACAACATCATAAGATCCTAAGTAATGAATTAAAGTAAATTAAGAAAGTGGCCTGTGACACAGAAATCGTCTATCCATTATTCTCTAATATTTTATCTGACCGCTGACCGGACCTGACGCTGAAAATGTATAATACAATTCGTCAGCCGAGAACCAAAAGGCTCTATGTCCACATATTGTGTTCTTCTGTTTATTATCAATAAATATTCAACAATAGGGTATGATTTACTTGATTTTCTCGGAAACACAAAAAATGGACATACAGCCCCTTTTTCGGTTCTCGGCTGACGAGTTAACAACAATAAAAATAACTCGCAAAATAAATTTAATTTACCTGATAATATATATCCATGTATAAAATTGTTAACATGACTCAATTTTAAAATTTTAATATAATATAAAATACATAAGAATAAACATATTTTAATCAAAATATAGAAAATTTCCTTAAATTTCTTGTTTGAGTAAAACGATGTCTCATAAAACAAAACATAAAATGAAATGTGAGTTCCAAGAAATATCTTGAAATAAGCAATTCTTAATTAAATTTTTTTTCTCTTTTTGTATGGTTGATAAAATACAAAAAATTTTGTTTGGTTCCACGAAACGCAATTTTTTTTTGTCTTGTTCCATAAAATCCAAACCGTTTTGTTTGATTCAATGAAATACAATATCTCTTGTTTGATTCACAGTTAAAAACCTGATTAAAAAAAAAACTGTTACTTTATAATATATATATATATATATATATACATATATATATATATATATATATATATATATATATATATATATATATATATATATATATATATATATATATATATATATATATATATATATATATATATATATACATATATATATATATATAGATATAGTATTGGACAAAACATTTGCAACCAACATCGAACAATGCTAAAAAGTGTTCCTAATTTTACATGTCTTGAAAATGAAACGAACTATACTACCACAGCAAACAGTTCAGGATTCTGAACTGTTTGCTGTGGTAAGAAAGTTTTTTAATAATCAAAGGAAGTATCCAAAAGTTCCAAGATGTTTCCAGAAGTTTCCAGAAGCATGCAGAAGTTTTACTATATGAGACATGTAAACCGACGTTATTCAGTCAGTATATGGAAGTCAATCAGTCATTATTATCAAGACAGTTTATCAAAGTGAGTTTTATCAAAGTATTTTATTGAAGAACATCAATACAAAAAGTGAAATACAACAAGTGTTTCATTACATCAATACAATCCACTTCCAACCAAGACGTTGTGTTCCATAGAGCATTATTGTATCATCACAAGGTAAATGTAACACGGTAAGCCTTGAGAAGCGTGATTAATTATTTTTATTATTTTCATGAATTCAAGTGCAATAATGGCTCCAGACAGTCTTGGATTGGAACTAAGAAAGAAAATTATTGGCGATTATCTAAGTGGAATGTCACAAAAAAGAATTTGTGATAAATATCGCGTGAAAAAATGGACCGTATCAAGACTATGTTCCAAATATTGTTGGCAGCAGATAACAAAGGTGGAAGATTGCGTTCCACCACTTCTAGAAAGGATTCTATGATCGTCAGATCAGTCAAGAAGGATCCCTGGATATCATCCGTCGAGATACAAAAGCAATTAGAGCTGCCTGTATCGAACCGAACAATCAGACTACGTGCTGTTGAAGCCGGATTGTTTTCTCAACGCCCTGCAAAGAAACTGCTGATTTCACTAAGAACCAAAAGAAAAGACTCCTATTTGCTAGATCTCATATTGACTGGAATGTGCAGAAATGGCAAACTGTCCTGTTCAGTAATGAATCGTAGTTCAACATCATTGGGAGCGATGGCATTTGCTGTGTACATCAACCGGCCAGATAACGCCTCGATTTACGTTACTGCCATAAGACCGTGAAGCATGGAGGAGGCAATGTAATGGCCTGGGGGTGTTTTTCTGCTAATGGTTAAAGTCCAATACATTGAATAGAAAGACTAATGGACCGTTTCATGTATAAAAATATCCTGAAAGATGTTATGTTACCTCATGCTGAATGGAATATACCAATAAAATGGGTTTTTTAGCAAGACAACGATCCGAAACACACTGCAAAAGTAGTCAAGCAGTGGTTTCAAGACAACCACCTATCGGTGATGGATTGGCTGCCTCAATCTCTGGATCTCAACCCTATCGAGAACCTGTGGGAGATCGTCAACCGCAGAACTAATCGTGAAGATATTTGTAATAAGGATCAACTGTTTAAACAAATCCAAAAGGCCTGGGCAGCGATTCCACAAAGTTTCATTGATCACCTGACCGAATCTATGCCTCGAAGACGCAAGGCTGTGATCGACAACAAAGGATTTGCCATGAAATATTGATAGCGAAATAAAGCTTGGTCAACATTTTGTGGAGTTGCACTTGTTTTGTCCAGAAGGAAATCAAATTTTTTGATACTTTTAATTAATTTATTAATTTTTGTGTACAGATAATGAACTATGTAATGAGTAAAACTTGAAGAACGTTGTCTCTAAACAGTTACATAGTTATTTCACTAAATTGAAAAAATGCAGCACTTTTACATAAAGAAACTATATTTGCATTATTTGGTTGCACTCGTTTTGTCCGATACTGTATATATATAAATGCAAAACTATAAATTAATCAGAGATAAAAATTAAAAAACCAAAAATGAAATTTAAAAAATGTTTAGACAGAAAAGTATATATACAGTAAACTCCCTATAACTCGAACCTCAAGGGACTAAGGAAAAAAGTTCGACTAAACGAATATTTGACTTATTTTTAATATATTTTTAAAGGCGGGATTAAATAAAATTATTTTTGAGCTCACTTATTATTTTTTATTTTTAGGAGAACCTTATTTTCACGCATTTAGAGTAAATTATTTCATTTTTCACTTTTCTTTTAGGCATAATACTGATTTTTTATAAATATTATTATATGCAGGGACTGTTTTAAGGATGGACCAATGTAATATAGAATCATCAATATTTTTATCTTTCAATTCCCATAATTATTTTGACGGCATGTTGTCTTTTGAATACTTTTTATTTTCTTAAGGAGTGCTTATGATTGGCAAAACGTTTTTTCTATTCACCCTCTGTTAAGCCCATATATTGTTTATCAGGTACATTCTTAGAGGATACACACACACACACACACACACACACACACACACACACACACACACACATATCAAATTTTGTTGAACAAAAATATATTAGAGGCGTTCATTTTTCAACAATTTTTTTTTTTTTTTAATGTGTGCAAGTTAAAAAGTTGGGAATATTAAAGTGATTTCAGGATACAATTTTAATTTAAAAAAAAAATAGTTTTTTCATCTCGCGTAAGTAGACAACATTTTTAATAAATTTTGAAATCTCTACAGATTGCCAAATATCTGGAGACCTGAGGGTAATATACACATGTATATAACATACGTTATATTTGACCATTTAAAGTTGTGTAAAAAAAAATCAAGCTCCTAGCTCTATTGCTTCATATTGCGCCATTTTGTGTGCAAGCTCCTTAAAGATATAGATGTCAGATTACTTGAACCTCAAGAAGAGTCAGCATAAGAGTCAGAAAAGGTATGCTCAATCTTGTGTGCAATTTGTGAGTGTTATTTATCAATCTATTTAAAGATATTTTTTTATTTATTACAAATTATTGTTATCAGAAAATGTTTAAATACTTTGAAAATTAAGATTTAATTTTCTTGGTAAGTTTTAAAATGATTTTTTATGATTAGGAAAGTTCTGGCTGAGTGATACAAAGAAGAGTCTGATAAAAGCTATCAAAGCAGACAAGGATAAGCTTCCATCTGACAAGTATGAGGATATACTTTTTTTGAAGGAACAGATGAAAGAAAGGAAAATGACTCTGGGACCTATTGGCAAGCGAAGAAAAAAGATCAAATTGAGGAGAATGGAGTGTGCAAAGAAATCAGTTACTGTTATTGAATCTACAGAAGATGAGCCTATTCCTAGTAACTCAGGAGTTGCAAAACATTCATCATTAGTAATCTCTTCAGAATCAAATTCTGATTCTGACTCAGAGAATGAATTCACACCTGTTTTGAAAAACAAAAGACAGGATCAGACTACTAAAGAAGTTATTGAGGAAACCATGAGAACTGTTCTGGTTTTGAATATATCAACTTATAAAATGACTTCAAAATTAATTAAGCTGATTACAGAAGCAGGAGGAAATCCCAATGAATTTTCACTTTCCTATACCTCAGTTTTTTGAATAAAAAATAATATCATTAACCAAGATGCAGACAATATAATGATTTCCATACAAAATGAGATTAAATATGATAATAAGAAGGTTCAGTTTTTGATTTTGATGGAAAGCTCATCAAGGTTACCAAAAAATTAAGCAAATTGAACTGATATTTTGTAATAACCTACCTTATAATATTTCCATGATTTGATAAAGGCTCATGATGATAAGGCAGTTGAAAGAATCTCCATTATTTTAAGAGCAGGGGGAACTGATCATCTACTTGGTGCTTCAGGAATTTCTTCTGGAACACTTAAAGGACTAAATCAGCTTAATGCTATTAAGTCAATTCTAACTTAATAGCAATAAGCTGTAATTGAAGTTTGATGTTGCTGATCAAGTAAGAAGTGCTTTAAAACAATTGGAATCCAGAATTGCTTTAAAGCAAGCAATACTAAAACGATTCGTGGTGCAAGTAATGATTTACAAGTTTAAAACTAGAAGCTCATTAAAATTTACAATATCAAGTTAGTTTTATTCATTATAAACCCACAAAGCATATGGATTCATTATATATGTCTTCATTTTTATACAACAATGCTTTTATTTTTTATTTTGTTGTCTGAAAAAAAAATTCTATTACTATGTGGGTTAAACAAAATAAGCTAGAACATTAAAGAACATTAATTTAAGTTGAGAAAAGATATCGGAAAGCCGTTGTTGATGCTTGCATGCAGACATTTCTGGATGGCTGTGACTACTGACCAGACTGTAGGGCCCAACAATATTCTCTTCAATTGTCTGAAAGAGAAATGGCATAATGTTGATTTTGAAAACTCTGTCACCTCTCACTTCAAGTGGCAATCTAAGCATTTATGATTTTATTACTAAATTCCAGTAAGTATATTATTACTACTATTGAGAATTATTACTTGGTGGAGTGGTCAAGCCCCCCTGGGGAGGGGAGGGTCTCTGCCACAAGATACAGAAATATATATTTCAAATAGGACATCTATATCCTTAAGGAGCTTGCACACAAAATTTTAGGTTGCTATACTGTTTTATCATGTTGCGCCAAAATCTGTATGATTCTAGTGATAGATTGATTGACCTCTGTTTTCTCGTGTAACTTTAAAAAAATAGTTTGGCGCAATATGAAGCAATAGAGCAAGGAGCATGATTTTAAAATATGTCATATATGTGTGTGTATGTATATATATATATATATATATATATATATATATATATATATATATATATATATATATATTTTTGTAAAATCTGTCCCTTTTAGTGACACTATAGGTGTGTATATATAATCTATAAACACCTATAGCGCTACTAACAGGGACAGATTTTACAAAAAAACGAATACTTTAGGGGACCTTTTGCGTTATTGGGGACATTTTTGAGACTTATGTAGTAAAATAGTTTATTGATACATTACAACACTCTGAATTACAAATAAGTATTAAATTACAAACTTTAATAATGATTCTATATGTACAAAAAGCTACTGTATATATCAAAAAAATGTAGTTAAAATAAATCTAAACTGGAGGACTTTTTTTTTTTTACAGATGTCAAAAAAATCTTGAAAACACTTTATTGCTCATTCGCACTGATTTGTTTATTGCTTATTCACAATGATTTGTTCTGGGAGTTTCCAGTCTTAATGGTTCTTGATTCTAAAATTTTTTCACTGAGTTGAATGCTTTTATGTGACCAAGCAAGCTGCTGCATAGCTTCCAATAATCATCTGCATTGTTCATTTGGTCAGTAAACCAAGTCTGCCCATCTTTAAGAGATGAATCTACAAATGTTGACTAACGAGTCTTAAATTCTGATTCGCTTCCAACAAGACTACAAGCAACCACTATTAAGTTAGGAGTTACTAGAAAAAAAGAATAGAGTTATAGAGCAAGGAAACAGTTGACATAAGACTTGAAAAGTTGGTTGTATGAGTCAGGAAAACATGACGATGAAAGAGAAAATGATAACTCCTTTGAGCAGCGTCTATGACAGTATTTGTGGAAAAGAGAAAAAGATGCAACTCTTCTCTATGCTACAATCACCTTTATACTCTTCCATAAATTGTATTCAACGAGAATAGCTGTTATACCTTTAACAACAGTATCTGCTTTTCCATCTTTCAGATCTAGTGCTTGTAAATTAACTCCTCTTTGTTTATTGTTCAAGACTAATATACTTTATATTCCTGATAACTAATACTTTTACCTACAAGGTGAATTTGTAGTGTTTTCTTTCTTTCTTTTTTAAGTTTAAAAGCTTATTTAATAGTTGATGTGAATATTCCTGTGAAGGTGTTTGAATATTGATCTTATCTTGAGATAACTATCAACAAATGTTTTCTGGTTGATAACTTTAAAAATGTTATTAATTAATTTATGTTATTAATTAATTAATGTTATTACTAATTTGGTTGCAGTTTTTGTTTTGCTGTAGTTCTTGCTGATACTTGTAAACTTTTTTTCTAAAATTTCAGATTCTCTTGATATTCTGTCTCAGACTTGGATTCGGAAGTTGATATTGTTGCTGTTGCCATTATGTTGCTGAAGTAGGGTTCGAAAACATTTTTATTCTTTTGAATGGATGGAGTTTTTGAAATAGCAGTCTTCCCATTTGTATACTGTCCTATACTTTTAATCTCGAGATGATACTTTTAATCTCAAGATGACAACCTTTTATTCACACTGCAGAGCCATTCACCACCTTTTTTTTTTGATGTCAAAAACATCATTCAATGAATGAAGTTTTTGACATCTTTGTTTTACACATTTATTGTACACCAGCACTTGACCTAGTTTTGCCTTTTGCACTTGAAATAATGTAGAAAACTTTTTGCCATAAACATGAATATATTTCTGAAAGGAAATAATAAATATAAGTGCTATTATGTTTCTATATTATTTGACTGTCATCTAGCGAATATAGATTCATATATAATTATTAGCATTGCTCAGGCAGCTTATATAGTCTAAATCTTGCTAATTTCCATAAACTTCTCCATTAGAAAGTTTCAGAGATTTCTTAAAACATTTGGAAAGGTTGAAAAAAATTCTAGGCCTCAGAAAGTCATAATGCTAATGCCTGCTAATACTTATATATCGTTTTAAAAATTTTCGTGCTGTGGGTGACCTTTTTTGAAAATTAATCAGAACAAAACCTATTTTCATTACTTTAAAACTAAAGTTCATCGATTTATGGTGCAGGAAAGTAATTATTTTACAAAAAGTTAAAACATCATAACCCTAGTGTGTGTGTGTCTATGTATATATGTATATATGTATATATGTATATATGTATATATATATATATATATATATATATATATATATATATATATATATATATATATATATATATATATATATATATATATATATATATAATAATAATAATTCAAATGCTGTTGAGATAGAGCGCCAGGCAATATCTATGACAGCCAACACAATAGTTGTCTAAAAATTTATTTGCAACCTGTTTTTCTTGTTCAGTATTATCTGCAAGTCAATCAGCTTAAGTCTGGATTTAAACTCTTTGACTGATGTAGACTCCACTACAGATTCCGTAAATTATTCCATCCAAAGACAACCCTGTTTGTAAAGAAGTGTTGTCTACTTAAACAATTATTAACAAACACTGATTTAACACGATGTTTATAATCTCTAATACTGGATGCTAGACCTGGTGTATTGATTGAATGCATTTGTATCTGGACTTTCTTCATATCAATAGATCCAAAACCTTTATATAATTTAAATTGTTGTATAAGGTCACCTCTTAGTCTTCAAACTTCTAAAGTTGTTAAATCTAATATTTTTAGTCTTTGATTATATCTAAGATGTCTTTACTCTGGTATCAATTTAATTGTTCTTCTTTGAACTTTTTCAAGTTCTTTGATATCTTTTTTATAATAGGGATTCCAAGCTTGAATCCCAAACTCTAAATGAGGTCTAACATATGTGCAATAAAGCATTTTCATGAGGTACTTATCTTTAAATCTAAAAGTGTTATTTAATATTGCAAGCATATTGTTTACTTTACTGGCAGCATTCTTTACTTGTCTTTCCCATTTTAAATCCTTTGATATATAAATACCTAAATCTTTTTCAAGAGTAGATTTTTCAATTTCTTTTAGTTCGCCATCATTTTTCATGAAATAAGAGTATCTTTTATTACTTGCACCAAAGTGCATTATTTTACATTTCTCAAAATTCAATCCCAGTTTCCATTCAACAGACCAATCTTCAAGTTTTTTTATGTCATTTTGAAATGATTTTGAATCAACCTCATTATAAATAGGAGAACCCTGTGGTACTCCACTTAACACATCAACCCAGTTCGCCTTGCATTTTCCCACAATTACTCGTTGTTTCCTATTCGATAAGAATGATTTAATCAATTTAAGAGACATACCAACAATACCGGACGCATAAACCTTAGGGGTGTTCAAAAAAAAAACATGAATACACAAGCTAATTTTGGAGCAAATATAAAATAAGATAATTTTTTTTTTCGACATTTACCTTGTGCTCAAGCATCAAAATATCCCAAAAAAAATCCTCAATATTTCCCAAATAACTTGGCTTAGAGCGCCAAATTATTTGGGAAATATTGAAAAAATTACAATATTTTGTAATTTTTTTTTAATGTGCTCATTATGGTCTATAATTTTTTTAGATGGTTGTTTATTCTGGTTTTTTCAAAATTGTTGTTTAAATTAAAAAAAGTTTTTACAAAAAAATACACACACAAAAAAATAAACTTTTAAGGCGCATTTAACAAAAGAAGCAGGCCTAAAATTAAGCGTATCATGATTAGTGATCTTTTCCTACTTTAGAGAATTGATTTTTTTTTTTAAATTGATATTTGTTTTTTTTTACCCGTTTTTTTTTATCTAATTTAGTATTTTTACCATTCTAAAAAGTATAGAATGTTTTTGTCTAGAGTTTTTGTTAGGGGTCATGTAAATTTAACTTTTAACCCAAGTAAGATCAAGAAAATAAATAAGAAAGTCAAACTATTTGGGAATTGTTGAGGGCATTTTTCAGGATATTTTTAACACAGATATTTGTATATATATATCTGTAGATATAAATATATTACCAGTAATTTTCAAATAATTGATTGAAATGATTAGTAAATTAATTAAATGACCAGTAAATTATTTTTTTGCTACCATAAATGCCAATACTATGTATTAAAAAAAACTAATATAGAAGACCAAAAAAAGATTAAAAACACAATGGTTTTTTGTTAAATTGATAGATTTAAAAATCAACATAAATAAAAAGTTAAACATAACAAAACTAACTTGCGCTTTAGTTTTTCTTCTAAATTAATGATTGGCAGATCTAACCCAACAGCCAATACAAGAGCTATTGCCAAAGAAATTGTCAAAGTTCCACAAAATAGAAATACCTTTGCAAAAAAGTTATCAAATAACAAAAAAAAAAAAGAAAGTCAAAAAAATCTTTGGAAATAAAAAAAACATTAAAAATTTCTCATGACTAAAAACTGTTGTTAATGAGAAAACTTAAAAAACTGTTGTTAATGAGAAAACTTAAAAAACTGTAGTTAATGAGAAAACTTAAAAAACTGTTGTTAATGAGAAAACTTAAAAAACTGTTGTTAATGAGAAAACTTAAAAAACTGTTGTTAATGAGCAAATTTAAAAAAACTACAGTTAATAAACAAACTTCAAAAAGATATTTAAGTATACCTTTAAATAAATTGAGTTTATTTTTAAAGACATCAAAAGAATCATCACAATTTTTTAAAATTTTTATTCAATGACTTTTAAAGTTATTTTTAACACATTTTCATTCCAAGAAAAAATAAAAATGTTAACGCTGTTTGGAAATCTATTTTTTACATAAGTTTTAAAAACTAGATAGTGTTTCAAGTGAATAAATAATGAATGTTTCTGACAACTTATAAAATATTACTTATCTTTCTGACTATATATTTTACAACTTTAGTTATGAAGTATATTAGGTTGTTTATGCAAAAATATTCTTTGCATTTTATTTAAAAATAAAAAATAAAAAAATATTTATAATTTTTTCTTAAATTTTGCATCAACTTTGTTGATGCAAAATTTAAGAAAGCATCAAAAAACTTAAATTATTAAAGCTTAAATTATTAGCTCATCTTATTTGAGAAGTAGCATAGAAGAAAGAAGCAATATAAGAGAAAGAAGCAACATAAACAAAAAAAGCAGTATAAGTGAAAAAAGCAGCATAAGTGAAAGAAGCAGCATAAGAGAAAGAAGCAGCATAAGTGAAAGAAGCAGCATAAGAGAAAGAAGCAGCATAAGTGAAAGAAGCAGCATAAGTGAAAGAAGCAGCATAAGAGAAAGAAGCAGCATAAGTGAAAGAAGCAGCATAAGAGAAAGAAGCAGCATAAGAGAAAGAAGCAGCAAAAGTGAAAGAAGCAGCAAAAGAGAAAGAAGAAACATAAGAGAAAGAAGCAGCAAAAGAGAAAACTATTTTAATTGGAAAGCAATAAGTGAATGCAATAACACTGAAAACAGCAAAAAAAAAAAAAAAGCAGTAAAGTAGGATATTTTTGCTTAGTAAAACAATTTTCATATTTGATTTCCTTCAAGTAAAATAGGTAAACAAAACAATTCATGGCAATGACTCTGCTATGTTTCTTTCTAAGAAAACTAATTCATCTAACAATAAAATTAGAAAATTTTATTAAAAATAAAATTTAATTTAATTTTAATAAAATTATAATTAATTTTAAATTTCATTTTAATCAAAAATCTGGTACACAAAAAAAGAGGAGATAAATAGTGCTGTGTGTTAATTTTGCAAACCTATTTTCTTATTCTTATAAATTTTCATTTTTAAATCTCTATAAATTCTCAATCTACAATCTTGATAAACTAAATTATATAGTTTTTGCCATTAAATAAAATTTAATAGAAAAAGTGAACAAGATTTAGGTTCACATTCTTTGTTTTATACAAATATTAAACAAATACTTTAAAATCTCTTTCCATTATGAAAATCAAAGTCATTGTTAAATGAAGGCTACAAATGTAAGCTTTATTTAAAAACAAATTTACTTATTGAATAACTTTTTTTCTGATTTCAAATTTTCCGAGTAAAACAATTGTGACATTTTAACACATCTTAGAGGTCAACGAAGTTCGAAATTATAAGTTCATATTATAACTATGAAATATTATTATAAAAACTATAAATTGTTATTACAAATTATTAAACTATAAATAATATTTGTGAAGCAAAATATTGTATTTATGCTTTTAAATCAATTTGATCCGAAACTGATATCTGAAAACGATACTTGATGTTTGTTTTCAGGTACAGTGATAAGTTTTATAACAACAACAACAATTTTTTTTTTTTTTGATATTAGAACTAGTTTATTTATGTTTATAAAGTTTCTATATAATTTCTATTAATATAATTTTTCCACTAAAAATCTTCAATTGCAAATTACAAACAGTTACAACAGTTACAACAATTAAAACCATTACAATTTGCCTATTTGTTTTGATTAACTCCATCACTGCATAACATGCTGTGTCCATAATTTTAGCCCATAATTTTATTTCTGCTATTTTTATTTTTTTGTTTTTTAACTTTTCATAGGGTTTAGCAATTTTGTGCAACAATTACACAGAATTAAATTTGTTGTTTTCTTAACAGGATTCCTTTGATATGTTTAAGCAGTGTATAGAAAAACCTTTTTACTAAAAGTTAATTCAAAACTAACATTTTATTTTTGGAGATGATATGGTTGTAATATATTATATGTCACATAATTATATGTCACATAATTATATGTCACATAATTACTTTAGTTTATCTGCATAATTTATATAATCTACATATTAATATTCTCTGCAATCAGCATGATATGCAAATACTCTTTGCAATCAGTGAAATCTTTGTACTGTTTTTCTTTGTAATTTGAGTATTTATTCTCTATATAACCTGTAACTAATCTGTAGGAAGTGACTGGGGCCCCGGCCCTAGCTAAAAAAAAGACTTTTTGCAAACCTAGGCCCTGGAAAAATTATGAAATTTACTAGGGGTTGATAGCCAGGCCAAGAAAAAATTTATAATACTTTTTATATTTTAATTTTATACTTACATTTACTATTTATTAAAAACTGGCATATATATATATTTTTACACTCTTATTTACTTCCAACAAGATAGCAAGCAACCACTATTAAATTATGAATTACTTAAAAATAGAGGATAGGGTTAAAAAGCTAAAAAATGGTTAACTAAAGACTTAAAAAGTTGCAAGTTACATATAAAAGAAAAACATGAGGATGGGTAAGAGTTATAACGTTTTTTGAAGTGCAAAAAAAAAAAAACTGCATTAATAAAAGTTTTTATAGCATGAAGGAACAGATACAAGGAAGCAACTTATTGAATAAGAAGCTGAGTAAGATTGTGGATTTTAAGTTCAAACTTAAAAAGGTTACAGAAGAGAAATCAGATTAAAAACCTTGTTCAATCAAAAAGCAATCAAAAAGTGCAGACTTTTTGTCAAGACAAGAGTATAAGGTTGAGCCACTTTAGATTGGTTAAATTCCCTATTCTAGGGAGAAGTTAAATGCTGGCATATAACACCCTTACATAATTATATTAACTTTAGAATTTATATGGTGTAGTATTTGCCAAAAGAGAAGATAATCAGATGGATGTGTGGTGTGACTCTTACATGAAAGGAAAAGGAGGCATAATCTTAGACAGATTAAAGAGAAATCTTGTACGGAGCAGCGCTTCGTACAAGATTTCTTTGTACAAGATACAGCATAAAAGAGGCTAAAGCCTGATGATTATGATGGTAATAATGATGATGATCACGATGATGATGATCATGACAATGATGATTATGATGATCATGTTGATCATAGTGATGTTTATATATGCATATATATATACAAAATATAACATGAATAAAAATTTTGAAAAACATGAATAAAAATTTTAAAAACAGTTTTATGTTTCATGCTATTTTTTATTAGTTTTTATTTTTATGCCAATAAAAAACAAAAAAATAAAATAAAAATAAACAATAAATTTACTTATTTATAAACTCTTTTTTGTTGTTGTAAAAAAAGTGTGAACAGGATAAAAACAGAGCTATAAAAAGTGATAACACAATGATACAAAGTGTGAACAGGATAAAAACAGTGGTACAAACAGTGATGATGTGATGATATAAACAGTGATGACACGATGGTACAAACAATGATGACATAATGATATAAACAGTGGTGCCATGATGATACACAACAGTTATAACATTATACACCACAGTAATGACATGATACATGACAGTAACGACATGATAATACAAACAGAAAGTTTTACATTAAGTTGTATTATAATGCTCATAAAACATTTTTTTAGACAGGCAACAAAACAAAAAACAACATGCAACAAGATTTGAGGAGGCCATTTGCAAAACGCTCGAAGTCTGAGTAAATTGATTTTGAGTAAACTGATTTTGAGAAAACTAAACCACTCTTAGTTGCGCGTCAACTAAAATTGATTTTTTTGTGTCCATTTTTAGGACAAAATTTTTTTTAATAGGTCTAATATTTAAATAGATGATAAATTTCAGTTTATAGAATGTGGAAACAGAATTAAGTTTAATTTTTTAATGAACAAAACATTAATTTTTGTGACTTGACCGGTTTTGCAGATGGGCTCCTCGTATATTGAAAACAACAAGCAAATAAGATTTATTGAAAACAACAGGCAATAAGATTTATTAAAAATAGTTTGAACAATTATGAACAAAATAGATTTACAATTAATATTTTGGTGACATTTCAGTAAACTTTTTTTTTATTTAAAAACACAAACCACTGTCACAAAAATAGAAGATTGTCAAAACATTTATACCATTGTAATGCTCTCAATGTGAACCGGGTTATCAAGTGAATAATAGAAGTAGAGTAAAACAAGCGGATGAATGAGGTAAACTCCAAAAGTCAATCGAGAAATAGGAAGAAATACATTCCATGACAGAAATCTGTTAATTAAACCTATAAAATAAAAAAAGTTTAAATAAACTAAAATCCAGTTTTAAATACATACAGTAATAAATAATAATAATAATTAACATAATAATAAATAATAATACAATAGAATATATTCATAAATATTGATATTTTTTATGTAAAGGTTGAAAAAAAATACCTCCAAGATTGTAATGACAAGCATATATAACCCAGGATACTGCAACAGCCCATAAAAGTTTCGATAAAGCACTATAAATAATATTTGCTACTTCCCCAAACTTTCCATTATTGTTTTGAACCACTATGTAAGGACCATAAACTACAGCTAGACCAATGCCAAATGCAACAATCCATGCAAAAGCTAGCTTAATCTAAATATTTATATCTTATATACACTACTATTATTAAATTAAAAAAAAGTAATTTCTAATACATATTTATATAGTTAGTTAATTAAGTTACACAAAGCCACAGCCTTGTTAAACTTATCATCAGCTAGAGTATACGCATCTATACCCAACTCGTATGTCAGCCACTTTTGTGTGGCATTTACGGTAAACGATGAGCTGTAGTAACTACGATGACTGAAAACTGTCTAGTAGTTGTTTAAATTTATCAACTGATGTTGCCTTGTTGACATTATCTGGCAAAGTATTCCAGTCATTGACTACACGGTTGTTAAAAAACTTATGTCTGATTTCACAGCTCCTGACACTCTCAAAATGAAATCTGATTCAATTTTGAGCTCTGGGTGCTATGCTGCAAAGGATTATGTGCCAATCAATTAGGTTTAAATTGTTGAGAAGCTTATATTTTTGAATAAGATTGCCTCTTTTTCGTCTGTCTTCAAGAGTAGTTAATTTCATGTTTTTACATTAAGTTTTGTAGTTTTGATTTTTCAAAGCATGAGGAACTTTTGTGGCGTTGTGTTGTACCTTTTCAATTTTTTTTGTCACTATCAAGGTAAGGGTTCCCGGCTTGTATGGCAAACTCGGGATATGGTCTAATATAGTTTTTTAATTTGATGAAACTGCATATTTATTGTCAATATTTAATAAAGCTACATATTTATTGTCAATATTTGAATTGTTTTGCATTTTAACACAATGGTCTATCAATATATATATATATATATATATATATATATATATATATATATATATATATATATATATATATATATATATATATATACATATATATATATATATATATATATATATATATATATATATATATATATATATATATATATATGTATATATATATATCATATTATATAATAGGAAACATGTCAATGCTCATTGGAGAGTGTTTGACATGATACTCTTGGCAGCCATTGCAATGGAGGTAATAGCAAGAAAGAGCAGCAGCACTTTTTTATATAATAAAAGTCAACGAAAGTGTATGCTAATATCTAACTTTCATCAAGTTATATTATGTTAAAAACATACTGAGACATTTATCAAGCTTTTTAGTTTCACTTTCACTTAAAAATTGCATTATGGCAACATTTCCTTAAGATTTGATCTGTAGCACTTAATTCCATTTGATAAAGTTTTTATTATTTTATATAGTTTTAAAATTTACCTTTACCAATAAGTTTGCGTAGCCGAGTGGTTAACATGCAAGGCTCTAAAAGATAGGAGGTCCAGGTTTGATTCCTACCATCAGTTTTTTTTTTTTTTTAATTTAATCTTTTTTGATTTTTCTAAAATACAAAGTATTTTATTTTATGATGTATAAATGTAAATACTGTAGATACACAGATACACGCTGTTAGTTTTTTTCTATTTTCTATTTTACTTTTATAAATTTCTAAAATATCTTTGAATCTTATTATCATCTTATTATCATTATCACAAATGAAATAATTATTGAATATACTTTAATTTGTAAATAGTAATATTTTTAATTTTTTAATCTGTTTTAAAGTTTCTAAAGTTTAATTTTTTCATGTTTTGCTTAATGAAATATGTTCTGTTTTATAGGTGATTTATTGAAATTATATCATCACAAGATGCTAATTTTGTTATAGCTAAAGTTGACCTTAATTAGTATTTTTGTAATTGGTTAATCTACCAATTGTTAATTGATGATGCAGATGTAGTTAGTATATTTTTTGTAAATAAAACTTTTTTTCAAATATTTTGTTATGTTATTATGTATAAATAAATCGATTTGCAGTTAATAAATGTGATGTATTTTTTCCTTAACTTAATTTGATTATTTTTTTAGATTAATCAGATGACGTGTTTATTTAATATAGTCATACAATTAAAAGCTATTGAAAATTTTTATGTTTTGTTAATTTGTTAATAATAATATGTAAATAAAAAAATATATATTTTTTTTACACAACTATTAGGCATTTTTTTAAAACCACTATCCGAAATGATTTGTTTTTTATCTTTTGTAAATGTATTTGTATTTTATCGATGTGAAATAAATTCTATCAAATTTTACAGATTTACTTTTACTTGAAAATTTCATTTCGACAATATCTCCTTGATTTCGATTTATGACAATTGTATGCTATAAATGTTTTATAAAGTTTAATAAGTCTTTGGTTTATAAACAGTTTTAAAAGATGATAAAGCATGTTAAAGTGGTTTAAGTGCTTTGTGTAGCTTAAAGTAGCACACAACCAAATAAAAGTAAGTTGTTTGAAAAAAATCAATTTTAAGATATTTTGGTATTTTGATTCTATAATCATAAAAGTTAATCTAACAGCATTTTAGTAGATAACAGTTTTAATAAATTTCCCTAACAATGCCTTAGCAACTACCAAACATTTGAGTTTTTATGAATTCAAAACAGGAAAAATACCATAAAAAACTTGATTTTAATGTGTTATATGCAGACTCTAGTTAGTTTTCTGTTTTAAAAGTCATACTTCAAAACTTAATTTAAGAACAGGAGTGTTTTTTGACTGGTAATATTAGTCTTTTATGTTGAAACTTTTTGTATAAAGTTATATTGAAACTCAGTTGAAATAAAATTGTTTTTAAATGAATAAACTAGAAAATACAAAAAACAAAATAACAAATATATATATATATATATATATATATATATATATATATATATATATATATATATATATATATATATATATATGAACATTTAAAAAAATGTTTTTCAAAAATGCTTAAAAATTTTTTATGAGCATTTTTGAATTTGCATTAAAAAAAAAAAGCTTTATAGAATTAAACAATAAAATCTACTTTTTTATTTCTAAGAAAGTTTTTTTACAACGACTTAAAACAACAACCAAGTTGTTCTTGCTATCTACTGTTTCTCCTCCTCCGAATTATTTATTTTCATCATTTTAACAAAATATTTTTTATTTATAAGATAGCAAACTTCCTATCAAAAATTAATTTTTTTTTTCTTCCAATGACAAACTGAGCAAGTCTTTAACTTAGTAACTTAAAGCAAATACAAGTTTTCAGTGTTTTAACAAATTCATTAAACCAAGTTTAAGTTGAAGTGGTGAAAAAACTATTTTTCTGCTAACAACTCATTCACAATATTTGGCATACCACCTGCCAGAGTGTTGTGAATAAGCCATTCTTTTTGCATTCAGTACCATTTCTTACCCAACTGTTACACATGCAAAGATAACATAAAAATTTATAAAAAGCTTTCTGACCTTCTGACCTTTCTTATCTTGAATGACTGAGAACATAAAAATTTATAAAAAGCATTCTGACTTTCTGATTTAGACTGACCAAGAAGAACAGTAACATATATTTAGATCTACACAAAATTGTGTTTCAAGTATTTATTTAAGTTAAGCACCATTTTTATGTCATAGTAAGTCTCTTGCAAATAAACAGAATGACCAATTAAAATGCAACCTAAGATATTACCATTATGTATAAGAACACATTTTGAGGCTTCATTTTTAACTATTGAAAAATCTCCATTCGGCACAAACAGTCTCTATTCTGTTGGATTATATTTAAAAGACAACCAACTCTAATACCATGACAGAAAACAAATAAACTGACTTCTGAAATAAAGTTAACAAATATTTCTTCACTTTTTTTAAAGTAGAAAATTTTTGAAATGCTGTCAAAATTTTTTTTTCATTAATCAAAAGATTAATAGTTCTGCTACGTGCTTCATGCTGGTCGCAAATTAATTGTGTTAATTGTGCACCAAATCATTCAGTTTTGAAAAAAATTATTTAAAATGCTTAGATTTTTTTTTTAACATCTTTGCTTCCAATAAGGCTTCAAGCATCCACTATAAGAATATATATATTGGAAGTGGAAGAGAAAAGATGAAGTTTATAGAGCAAGATAACAATTGACAGACGATTTAAAATATCGCAAACTATATGAGTCAGGAAAGCAAGAAGAAGGAAGCAAATTCCAAAGAACTGATGTTTGAGGAAAAAAACTAGACATATAAGAGTTTTTGGAGCATTTATTAACAATCACAGAAGGATGAGACTTAACTGAACGATGAGTAACATGAGAATGAACTCAAACATCTCCTCCAAGCAATCAGAGAGTGTTGGCTTCTTATCAAGACAAGAATAAATGGTAGTATCATAAGTGAACAATTCCACCTTAGATCTGGAAGATCTTGAATGCAAATTTAAAAGAGTACAGGGCCAAGGATAAAACCCTGAGGAATCCCTGAAGTTACAGGATATGAGAAGAGTGCTGCTCATCAAGGACAACTTTTATACTACAATCGGAAAGGAAGGATTCAATAATTCTTAGATGTTATCTGATACACCATAAGTAGAAAGCTTATGGAGAAGACCAGCATATCAAATTTTATCAAAAGCTTTAGAAATGTCAAGAGCAATAGCCTTAACCTCTCCACCTCTATCTAATGCACAATAAAACCTATCGATTATTACTGTTAGGGAATCAGCTGTAGAGCAAGAAGACCGAAATCCATATTGATGATCAGAAAGTAAATTATTAAATACAAGATGAGAGATTAAGTGTTTGTTAATTAAAGACTCAAAAATCTTGCTTATGATAGGAAGAAGACTGGGATGGTGATAGGAACATGTTGTCTGGACCACTAGCTGTAGAAGAGTCTAAACAGGAAATCACTTTAGATACAGAAGGTGGAGTGATGTCAATCAATGAATCAGCCTGTTTGTTGGTTATATTAAGTAGAATGCAACTAGTGGAATCAAGATATGATAATGACGAAAAATTGTTAGCAAACAATTCAGCTTTGTCATTAGGTGAGGTGACAAAATCTGAACCATACAAGAGAAGTGAAATAAGAGACTTACCTTATTATTGATACTGTTAATTTTTACTGTTCAATGTCATGAGAGCCTAATTTTTATTTCAATTATAAAGATAATTTGTCAACCCAAAAATTTCTTAATAATATTTATGTACTAATAATATCAGCATTAGAAAGAGAAAATCGGAAGTGAAAAATTTAAGAATAAAAAATTTGCTTTCAGATTTATGAATTTAAAGGCAGAAGTTTTGAAAAAAAAAAATGATTTGAACTGTTTCTAGATTTATTTAAACAAAAAATAGACAATAAATATTGATAAATATACATAAACATTTTATTTCAATACAAATATTTCACTATTATATTGTTATGTATTAAAAACAAATTATGCTATAATTATTTGAATTAAGTATTAAAACTTTAAAAATATGCTATATGAATTTAAAATTATATCATTTAAAAAAAGAAATAAAAAGTTAAATTATTCATTATTTTTATTAGATTGTTATTTATTACTCATTAATTCTGAAACACAAACCTTGGTGAACAAGGCCGTTGCACTGAGAACAAGTTGAGGGTGGTACTACCAGACACATAATGAGGATTAAACTTGGTCTCTTAATTGAGTAAAAGCTAGAGAAAAAACACTCAATTTAAGCAGATAAAATATGTACTCATTTTGGGCAGATATAAACTGCAACTGGCTGCTGCTGTGTAGAATGCCTTTTAGGCAAAGACTTTAAGAGTTTTTTGTATTTTTTTACCAGCACCTCTATTTCATCTAATAGGCTGACAGATGCCAGATGACCTGTGATTCTATTAACAGCTTTAAAACACCAGAGTTTTAACAGTGTCATATTTTACATGGATGGTATCCCTGTTAGTACATTTGGCATGAATTTAGGAGTCGGCATAAAGAGTCTTTTATTACAATTTGGGTTTGATTAGCAGGAATTAGGCAACTTACAGTACTTGCTTGGGGTGTCAGAAACTACCAATGATTGAGTCAAAGTCTCTAATTATTAAAAAAACACAAAAAAATTACATTATTAATTAAAAAAATCCATTATTACAATCAAATTGTTTAAATTTTATCCTTTACAAATATTTATGGTTTTTGAAATAATTTTCTATCAGTTGAATCTTTCACAAAATTCACCAAATCTACTTGGTTGGAATCCTTTTCTGTCCTAATGTTTTTCTGACGCAAATAAAAGTTTTTAAAGTTATCTGCCAATTGCTTTCTTTCTATTTAGCTCTCTTTTCAGTTTTTTAGTTCCCAAGTTGAGTCAGTTCCAACATAGTTATTGGTTGTTGTTATTGGTTGCTTGCAGCTTTTTAATGAGTGAATTTGTAAATAATAAAAAAAAGTATAAACTAAGTACTGCAGCAGTAGACATGCAGTAATAAAACTTTCAGCTTGCAATCAAGAGGTTTAAGGTTCAAATACACCCTATGTCTCTGGAAGCGTTGCATTAAACCTGATTGGCAACAAATTAACCTTAATTGAAATTTTAATTAAAATTTTTTTATCCTTGTTTAACAAAGTTTGTGTGTCGGAGTTTAGGTTTGACAGAGAGCTACAAATAAAAAAAAGATAACCTTCTTAACTGTAAATAAAAGCCTCTTTAACTGTAGTACCCCCTCTTGGAGAAGTGAACTTTATAAAAAAAAAACAACTTGTAGATAAGGACTTAGAAACTCAAAGGTATGAATTAAACAACTTATAGGTATGAAATAATTTATAAACATATAACATGTAAGTACAAAATAAAAAACAAGGTATAAGGTATAAAGTTGCAATTGTGGAAAGGTATAAGTCATTTTTGGCACTGGACAACATTTTTGAACAACTTTAATTGTGAATAAATAAAGTACAAAAATATTTTCTGTAACAAAATTACCCCATTGTATTTAATAATCTTTATATCTCTTGAAATGACGTATCCTAGCAACAAACCAATCAAATATGGTGTAAATCTTGTGTAAGGCTTTAAATAGATGTAGTCATTGAATATATTCACTTTATGTCTAAAATGTTTTAAATAACTTTTAACATTTAAGAGATTAAATAAAAATACGACAAAAATTAAATAAAAACAAAAAAACAAAACTCTTAATGCTAATGGCTAAAACTAATCATGATATTATATTGGCTAAATTAATTGGTAATAATTGGTATATACATAATTTAACATCAAATTAAAACATACACATGATCATTAAGAGAAGGTATTTGTGGGATATGATAGTAAGCTGTTAAAGAAAGTGTGATAATCATGCAAGAAAGTATGCCAAAACCACCAGGTAATGCACCGATTCGTTTATATCTTGAGAAAAGAAAAACAAATAAAATTCCTTCATCTACTGCATGCATGCATGTATGTATGTATGTATGTATGTATGTATGTATGTATGTATGTATGTATGTATGTATGTATGTATGTATGTATGTATGTATGTATGTATGTATGTATGTATGTATGTATACTTAACAACAAAAACAACAATACATTTTCCAGATAAATTATTATTTTGGTCACATAAAAGAAAGCAATATTTACACTCGTGTTATCTTGTGAATCTGCTAATTTTTAGTAGCGTGATAAGATGTTTTAGTTTAATTATACATTTAATTACATTTATTTACCACTTTTCAAAATGATATTTGTGTATAAATATGATAAAAACAAAATTTCTATAAAATTGATAAAAAGATGTATCTTTATGTTTTACATAAAGATACATTATTTTATTAAAACAAGGTTTTAATAAAAAGATGTATCTTTTGTTAAAACAAGGCGAATGACCATGAACATGTAAAAACAAATTTACCAAAACAACTTTTTTCAAAAAGGAAATTATTACATATGCATAAAGAAAAAAACAACTTAATTGCAGCTTAATTACACTTTAATTGCAGAGTAATTTTAATTGCAGCTTAATTACACTTTAATTGCAGAGTAATTTTAACTCAACATCGAAATCAGACTAATAATCATTTTGTTTTTATATTTTTATTTACATTGTTTAACATAACAACTATATTTTTATTTACATTGTTTAACATAACAACTATATTTTTATTTACATTGTTTAACATAACAACTATATTTTTATTTACATTGTTTAACATAACAACTATAAAGGTTGTTTCATGATTGAACTTAAATGATATTTTAAAAAAAAGTTGGTTTTGAACAATAATAGAGATTTTATTTCTTCTTTTAAAATCAAATCTGTTCTGGATATACAAATCTGTTCTGGATATACTAATTTGTTCTGGATATACAAACCTGTTCTGCATTCTGTTCTTCACTGAAGCTTTTTCAATATTTTTAATTCCAAGAATCGTTTTAACTGATCAGAAAATTTCATCTTGATAAGTATCCAAAAAAAACCTAAACTTTTTACCTTTTTAAATTATATTAAACATATTCTAAATAGTTTCTAATTCAGTTTGACTATTTTACAACTCTTTGATAAATAAATGAAATACAAACTAAGTTGAAATAGTTATGAAAACAACTGTCAAATATGACATCCATTGTATTAAAATTCCATTCCTATTGTATTTTTAAAACAAAGATTTGTATTCCTATGGATATGTCATACTTGTCAAAATATTTTACAAACCTTTGATATAAGAATACCATAGGATTACAAGTCTTGGTTATAAGAATACAATAGGAATGTATGTCATATTTGACAGTTGTTTTCATAATTAATTCAATTTATTAAATTTTCATTACTTCATTTCCTTCTTCATGAATTATTTTATAACGGTTTTGCTAGTTTATTGTAAATTGTTATTGTAAATGAATAATAAGTAATAATAATAAAAAAAAGTAACTGCTTAAATGTAAACTTATTAATCCCTACTAAAACTACTCCTTACTGTAAGAATCAAAACCCACCACTTACCACCACCACCACCTACTGTAAGAATCAAAACCCACCACTTGCGGTATTAAGTTATAAATGGCATATTGTTCAGTGTAGATAGACTGATAACTTAAGCACAAAAAGACTATTAATAAAATAGTTCAAATTTTAGCCAATGATGATGAAGTCAACTAAGTTTCTTTTCTTTCTTTTCTTTTTTTTTTTTTCTTTTTTTTCTTTGAAGTCGTTCTCTTGATTTTGTAAAACTATTTTGTTAGAGTTGTTAAAATTGAAATAATCAGTTTTTAATGATTATTTCAAAAGAAGGTTGTGTAGACAAGTGGCATTTTTCAAATACATACAAATAAAATTTAAAATCAAAAAATAAAGAAAATAAAGAAGTGCACCTCAGCATCAAGTAGAGAAATATTGGACTAATAAAATAAAACTGCATGTCATTTGATAAATACCATGACCATTCTAAACACTGCAAAAAAAAAATTATTTTCAATATCATAATTTTGGAAACATGTAAAATACAAAAATTATAACATATTAAAAAATCTTAAAAAAAAAACAAACATTTGAAAAACATTTTATTACCATTTTTTGAATTTTTGGATAAAAATTATTTATGTAAAGTAGATTGGTCCACCAATACTTCTGACACATTGCAACATTCTTATTGAATTTAAATGTTACAGGTCCATTTATTAAAATGGGCAATAAACTTGAATAAATGAAAATAACTAGCATGTAGGTTGGAGTAACCCTAAAAACAACACATTAGTAACCCTAAAAACAACACATTAGTAACCCTAAAAATAATACATTCATGATCCTAAAAATAAAACAGTAAAAAACAAGTATAAAGATGTTATCATCACATAAGTAACCCATAAGTAACTTTAAAATAAACACATTGTTTAAAAAATAAGTTATTGTTTTAAAAACAAGGAAAACAGTTACTCTAACAAATGTTATTTGTTTCCCTCTCCAATGCCAGGGAAGTCTAGATTACCTAATAATATTATTATACCTAAGTATAATGACATTTGAACTTTATAAAAGTTTAGGAAACTTTCAGGGTACAAAAAGAAAATGCCAAGATACAAACAAGGAGGTTCAAGAGAAAAATATTCTCAAGAAAAAAAAATGTTTGGAATACTTTTTTACGCCTAAAATTAAAAAAAAATATATAAATATTTAAAACAAACCTGAGTAGTCTATGTAAATAAAATAATAGCAGATTAATCTCTCCTTTTTTATCCATATTTTTTATTGACACATATGCAACCAAAAATCCACTAGAAAAAGGCGAATGAATCAATCCAACACACAGTTAAAATTACAGTAAATTAAAAATAAACTTAAATAATACTTAAAATTTAAACAGAAAAAATTTTAAACTGCAACAAACATTGCATGTAAACTCTGCCATGGTAACAATGTAAACTCTAACATGTTATAACCAGTAACAAGGTGTTACATGTAAACTCTACCATTTTATAACCAGTAACAAATTGTTACATGTAAACTGCTAGTTTAATACTAACAACACCAATAACTAACAACTAATAGTAACAGGATGTTACATGTAAATTGCAAATGTAATAGTAACAAGATATTTCATGTAAACTGTTAGTGTAATAGTAACAAGATGTTACATGTAAACTGCTAGAATTATTAAATTAATTACTACTTTCACCTATTGCTTTTTCTCTTTCTTTAATATCAATTTCATAAAATTCACATACAACTATGTTTTTCACCCTTTTATGCATTTTATTTACCTCCATTATTAGCAATAAAGAAAATGTGCAAATTATAAAAAGATTACCTCATTAAAAAAAAGGTGTCAGCAGAAACATAAGCATTAGATATTGCTTGAAATGAGAAAGTATTGATAAAGTTTTCTAAAGAAGCATGTAAATTATCTAAAAATAAAAAAGATTTTTTATTGACAATTTATAACAAAAAAAGTCTATTGCTGTTAATAAAACAAAGTCACATAAAATCCTACTCACCTGTGCTTACATTATGAAGAAAGTAATAGCAATGACCCAAAACAACCCAAGACATGCTGATTACTCTTATACCATTAATAGAACGAACAGAATTCTTAGGCATAGTAACAGATAAAATTCGCGGAATGTTTTTTAGAACGGAAAAACACATAACAATTTCTATTAAACGATTGCCTATAACAAAAATCAAATATAAACTATAAATCTATTTTAAAAAAATATAAAATAAATAAAATAAAAAAAAAAAAAATACTAAATTATGAAAATTGAAAAAATGCATGTCAAAACAACCATTTTTTTTTTAATGCAGCCTTTTGTTCTTGGATTTTCTTTATATTTCAAACAAAGTTAGTACATTATAAAATATGATTAATCCCAAAATTGCAAGGTCTAACTTTCACCAGTTCCTAAGTTATAATTTTAGCTTATATTATTGATTGGATCAATTTCTGCAATTTTTAAATTTACAATTTTACTTAAAAAACCAAGTCTTTAAAAGATAGAAAGATAAAAAAGTAACTTAGTTAATCTTCAGGTGAGGAGTATAAATACATAAACAAAAAACAGATTTTAATTACTCATATTATAATTAAAAGAAATCAATTACAAATATTAAATTATTGGGGACCTGCCCCAGCAAAATGTGTAACTACATCTTTAGTAGATGTAGTAATACATCTTTAGTAGATGTAGTTATACATCATTATATTTACAGATGATGTTGGACAGATGTTATTAGACATAGCAAAAGCTGATGTTGTTACCCTGACCCTTTATAAACTTTTTTTTTTTAAACATGAACAATATTTGTTTAAAAAATGTTTAGAAAAAAACAGAACATACTTTATTTTGAGTTTAATAATTTGTTAAAACTTTGTTGCTTTTTTAATTAATTTTTTAGATTAAAATTATTTTTTTGTTAATTATTTTTTTAATATAAAACTAAAATGAGAAAGTTAAACAAATAAAATGTATTGGTTCATTTTCCATAAAATGAACATGATCAGGATTTTTCTATATTTTGTTTATGCAAACCGTCTGAAAACTGACTGAACTAAATTGATTCTGGTTATCAAAATAGAGTTATGAGAAATAAAAAATAACAGATAAATGCACATGTAGTTTATGTTTCATTGTCTGATTTTTTCAATTATTAAAGTTGAATTGCTATACAATTATTAAAGTTGAATTGCTATATAATTATTTTGTTTGAGAATTATGTCAAAGTTTTCTGGTTTGACTTTTCTAACAATCAAAGTTTAATTGCTATATAATTATTAATCCTATATAAATTATGTAATTAAGACTTGCGCTTTTGCAAATTACTATAATTAGTTTTAAATAAAAGTTAATGTTATTTTTAGGTATAATACAAATGTAATATTTAATTCTGTATGAAAATGAATTCATGTAATGTTGGTAGAATTTTGTACTCAGAGTGCCATAAAACTTGAAATTCTAGATATTAAGATATTCTTTACTGCATGATACTGATACAACAACAACAACAACAACAACAACAACAACAACAACAACAACAACAAGATATTTATTCTCTTTTTTAAATCATACAATAATATAATAATAACAACAAACATAAAAATAATAATAATATTGAAAATAATTTTAAAAAAAATCACAATTCTATTGATTGTAGTAAGTAAAAATAATTGATTAACAAAAAAATATATATGTATATATAAAAATAATAAAAATATATAATAATCAAATAATGAGTAAATTAATTATAAGTATTTAATAATAATAACTAAATGCTTTATAAGGATGGTGTCACTCAAACAGAATAATAAGTGTCAATACTCAACAAAATATTTTATGGAGATCTGGAGTTGCATGCATGTGAAGAATCATTGGGCATTTGTGTATATATACCTACCTATACAAACCTCATTAAATTGTTTTTCAAAATCAACAAAACAATAGCCATCAATAAACTTTAACACTGTCATTTTCATTACTTTGGAAAAAGATTTTAGATAGGCTTACAATATCTATAATGTTAGCAAGACACTTGGAGTCATTAGGAATAAGATTTTTATCTGAGTGGAAATTATGTAGTAGCATAAATTATGTAGTAGCATAAATTATGTAGTAGCATAAATTATGTAGCTGTCAAAAGCAGATGTATCTGAAGAATAAGCCAGCGAAAATGAAGCAGATGAAGTATTGACACAAGAAGATGAACCATTTACTCACATTAATTTATCCCTAGAAAGTTTAGAAGAATCTCCAATTAATATACATAGTGTTGCTTTTAGAGTTGTTAGTCCTTGAGCTTGGCCTGGCCTTAAAGCCAAAAATTGAGGCCTTGGCCTTGTTCTTGTCCTTGAAACTGTTGGCCTTGACCTTGAAAATTTTGGCCTTTATTGTTTTGGCGTTGGCTTTAAAAAAATACATATTTTCTTATTAACTTTGTTGAACTCTGCGCATAAAATTGGTCTATTTTTAAAAAATGTGGTTTTATTGTCACTGCACTAACTACTTACAGTTTTCTTAATAATCGACCTTAACGTAAAAACGAAAATTTATATCATTGTTCTTGAAAATGTTTGCGTAGAGTTTGGCCTTGAAACTGTTAATCTTGGCTTTGACCTTGAAACTCTTGGCCTCTGACTTTTCCTGGGCCTTGTAACTTTTGGCCTTGGTCTTGGTCTTGTAAAGTGTGGCTTAAGCCTAGGCCTTGCTATTTTTGGCCTTGTTAACAACTCTGGTTGCTTTGCGTCAACAAGTCGCCTCTGCCAAGAAAAAGTATAAAAAATCAATAAAAAAGATTGGTAAAGATTTAGCAGACCTTTATAAAATAAGTAATATACATTTTATAGATTAGTATGTCATATTCAAAAATAGAGCAAAATGAAGGATCCGATCTGGATACATTGACACTGTTGATGAAGGAAAAGATAAATCTTAAATTCTGACTTTAATAAATACTATATACAATAATAAATTACAAGTTCTCACACCAACTATCTTGGTCTAAAGAGTATGCTTCTAAATACTTTGAAGTTAGTATAAATGCTATTTGAAAAGCACATCAAATAAAACACAAGAGAGGCATACTTTCACTTCCATTGAACAAAAAGTATCCATCCTAACATTGACTCTATTGTTCAAGATTTTTATGAAGATGATGAACTCGCTTGGTAAAGATTATATAAGTGTTGGCAAACAATAACATGAAACAGAATACATGAAACAAGAAAGATTGCAATTGTGTAATCTAAAAGAACAATTCAAAATTGTAAATCCCGGGATTATTGTTGGACTTTTTAAATTTTGCAGTCTGCGTCCTAAGTGGTGTGTAAATGCTGGAGTCTCAGGTGCTCACTCAGTGTGTGTATGTGTTAACCATTAAAATACTGTTCTCCTTTTATATACAATAAAATGGGATATAACTTATAAATGTTTAATGGAAAAGGTATGTCTTAAGTTGAGGAATCTAAAAACCGATTTATGATTTATTAGTTTTTCTAGAAATTTAAAGATTTAAAAGTTTTTAAATTTGATAAATTATTACTCTTTAGATTATAATATGAAATTTAATAATAAAAAAAAAATTATAATAAACAAAATTGTTTTTCAGGTGGTTTATGACATGACAAAAAATGATTGCATGGTTTATAGATGTTTGAGTTGCCCAAGAACAAATGCCCTACAACTATTTATTCTTAAAGAGCTTGAAAATTTTGATCATAAGTTCAGCTTTAACCAGTGTCAAACTACTGACAGGACCTAACTTGTGACAAAAAATGAAACTGTCCAAGTTTATATAGTGTTAGTGGTGTATTGATGAACTAACTGCTTACTCGTATACTTTTAAATGTCAAAAGTTTCTTATAAATTTAAAACTTAAGTGAAAGAGATAGTAATTTGTGGCTATTCATTTAGTGTGACAACATTTAGTTTATGAACAATAACAATAAAAAACAAACAATAGAAAAATATATTTTGATGTTCAAAGTTTGTTGATAGAAAAATAAAATATGCACTACTATTTTACTGCACACGACTGTACTATAAAGTAAATGACATTATTTTACATGAGTTGTTTTGTTTTATGTCCGATGCATTACTTTTCTGATGAATAAGGGTAGTATGAAAATTATAAAAATTTTATGAATCTATGCCATCACTCAAAAGATTTTTATTAGACGCTGAATGGATATTTTTTGCAACCACTCATGGCAAATTTTGTGATGCAATAGGTGGTACAATGCCCGAAAGAAAACCCAATTATAACAGTTAATACATTGTATGTTTTGTTTATTATTTTGAATAATATAAAAAGCCAAATATACTATATTTTATTTTGTTATAAAATTTTTCATTTAATTTGTAAAGCATATATATCTTGCAGAAAGAATTTTTTTGTCATTCTGTACTCAAAAGATATACTAATCTAATTTAGAATTTTAAGTGAAATTGATTTCTCTGTACTTAATAATTGCAATATTAATTTTTTATTTATGTATCTTAACTCCTCACCTAAATCAAGCTTGGACAGGAATGGCGTGCGATTGAATGCTATTGCTGACCACTGAAATGATTTTTTTTTGTCGACAACTTGACCACGACTGTTTAGATGTTTTTTGATGATTTAAACAACTCAGAAATGTGCTGAAATTTTTTTTTGAAAAAATAGAATCAAAAAAAAATAATAATAAAGCAATTAAATCCTTGCTTTGCAATGGGAAAATTTAATTTAATTTCATAATTTAAAAGTATCTTTAAAAAAAATAATCTTTTGAAAGGTTTTTAGATTGACATGGAAAAATAGTTTTATCATAAAGAATGTCTACTAAAAAAATTAAATATAGCATTTAATTGACTCAAAATGTGTTTATTTTAAATGATCGTTATAATTAGTTTTTTATTTTATCAAAAGTCTTATCGTAAAATAAAAACTTCAGAAAAGATCACTGATTAAAAGTTATTTATAAACAAGGATTTTTTTATTGCATTGAAATTGTTAAAACATCAAAACAGGCGTTGTCAAATTGTAAAGAAAAAAATAAGTGTGGTCAGTTACAGCGTGTGATCGCACGATAACTCCTGTCCAAGCCTGCTGATAGTTAAGGAAGTTACTTATTTTTAATTTCTATCTTTTGACTTGGTTTTATAAGGATAAATGTGGCAGAAATGGATCAAAACAATAATAAAACTACTTAGAAAACAATGAGAGTTAAGCCTTGCAATTTCAGGATTATTCATATTTTGTAATTTACTATGGTTAAAATATGAAGAAAATTTGATACCATAGTGTTGCATGGTTTGGTTGTTTTGATATGGAATTACTCATTGGAGATATGGAGATGGTAATTGAGATGATGAGTGGCTGATGTTGGATATATGTAAAAAAATTACTGAATATAATTTTAAAAAAGTTTAAAAAGTATTATTAGACATTAATGTAAATGCACATTAATTACAAAATTTATTGCAATTAATTACAAAACATTTGAGATAATATTTAAATAATAATAGAGATATCATATCTTTAGTACATATTATCACCTATTTGCCAATAATATGTACTAAAGATATGAGGATGATATCAGAGATAACTAATATTTTGAGTTAGTGAGGATATGCACAAGATGCCAGGATAAATAATAATCATCATGTTTAGATATTAAAAAAAATGAAAATAATAATGATAGGCTGATAAAATACAATAATGATAACAATATTAATATTTGTGATGTTAATGTTGAAAAGTTAAAATAGTGTGTAATAGTGTGATTAATGTAGTGTGTAATAGTGTGTAGTAGTGTGTAATAGTGTGTAGTAGTGTGTAATAGTGTGTAGTAGTAATAGCATAACAAAAATAGTGTAATAATGTATAATAGTGTATGTAACAGTAAATATAATAGTAAATTGTAATAGTGTAATAGTGTGTGTAACAGTGTGAAAAATAGTGTGTAAATGTATATTATAATATTGTCAATGTTGAATAACTAAAGTGTTTTTATATCATGATACTGTCAATGTTTAAATGTCAAAATGAAAGCATTTAAAATCTTTGTTTTTATGTTTGAAAATTTATACCAACTGCAAAAATATTTATTTTAACATTATTATTCTTAATAATTATTATAATTACCACGCTGCATGTCAACACTTGCTTCCCCAAAGCGATTGTAATTCACACTCATACTATCTGCATTGCGTTCAAAAGAAACTTCTAGCAAGTAGTCTGGGGTAAAAGCATCTTTAATAATATCTAGTAATGTCCCAAGTATGTTTAATAAAGCAAGAATACAGAGCAGTGCGCTAAAAAATAAAATTTTGTTTCTTAAAAATAAAACATATTTTCTGAATTTTTAAATTAAGGCTTTACGCATTTGGTCAGATCAACATTATGCAAAACAGTTGCAGGATATTGCAAAGTAGTTGCAAGGTGTTGCAAAGTAGTTGCAGGACATGCAATAGCTTTAGTAGACTAGAACTAAATTGTAGATTATACACAAAATGTGTGGAGAAACACTAATAGAAGAGGGTAAAATACTTGCAATGTGTAAAATAGATGTAAAATGTTCACATTTGATAGAATTGTTATAAATATATAAAAAGCATAGCGATAAGCATAGCTATAAAGCATAGCTATAAAGCATTGTTTGCTTTTTGTATTATATAGTCTATATGACCATAAATTTTTTTAAACAACTTTAATTTAAATTACTACAAAACTAGCTGATTGAAAAGTTGCTTCAAAACAATGTAGAAAATTACAGATATTACATTTAATAGAAAAAATTTACATTTAGTAGAACATTAAAATAAAATGTTTACATGTAATTTTTTTGTGACAAGCAAAAGGTCCGGTATTTAGGTCTGCAAGTACAACTTAGTAAAACAACTTTTTTCCAAAACAAAACTTAGTTATAAACATAGTTTTAAAACTTAGATGTAAAAAAAAAAAAACTCAAAATAAGTTGAATATACATATGTATACATTTTAAATGTGAGACTAGACTTGAAATGAAGTAACAGATATTATCTGTTACTTCAAGTAGCGAATATTAGCAGAATAAAAGGCTCAAAGGTTTAAATAAACAAAATTTTGGATAAAAAAATTTAAATATTTAGAGATGGGCATGCGTAACTAAAATTTAAAGTCAAAATTGATAAAAACAAAGCTGAAAAAACATAGATTAACATAACAATAATTAAAACCACCTACATACAAATGACTGCAGCTTTAGTCCAGATTATTTTATTACTTTTACATACAATGGGTGGTACATTATACGTGGTGACAAACTTTCCATTGGAAGGAAACTCAGAGAATAAATCTGAATTAAAAAAAATCAAATAAATAAATAAAAGTGTCTAGTAAAGAATAAAAACAAATACTAAGTGAGATTTAAAATTTTAGATTCAACTTTAATTGAAGGTTTGGCAAATTTTAAATAATTGTTAGTTTTTTTTTTTGCTGAAAAGGTAAACATTCAGTGCTTCATTTCACATTTTCCAAAACAAAGATATTTAAACAAAGATATTTTTTTTAATGAAGGCTAAAAGGTTTTCAACATAAAACGTTTGAAAGAGTCAGGCCATGTTTCAAACGTTTGAAAGAGTCAGGCCATGTTTCAAACGTTTGAAAGAGTCAGACCATGTTTCAAACGTTTGAAAGAGTCAGGCCATGTTAAAAGCCAGGATCTGGAAGAAAGCAGTTTGTTATTGAAGAAACAGTTACAACAAAAAAACTGATCAATAACATCAAAGCCCGCATTAAGAGGAACCCTATCAATTTTATGAGAGATGGCTGAGGAGCTTAATGTAAATGATTTTACAGTTAGAAAAATTGTTAAAAATACTATTGGTGCAAGATCATTAGCCCTTACACATAGATCATTAACCCGTACAATTAGATCATTAGCCAGTACACATAGATTTTTTCTACTGATGATACTACTAAGTTAATGACAGTAAATCAACAGCAGAAATGATAGGTACATAACTAAAGTCATGGTAGATGATTTTTCTGAATACATCAAAACTATTTCTAAAACAAAACACCTTTCTCAAGCTATGATGTTTGGGTCAAATTTTATGCAATTAAAATTCCACCTGCTTTTTCAGAAGAAAGGTTTTAAATAAGTACAAAAGTGCACTTTGAAAAATCCTTAAATCTAAAATCCTGCCCTAGGTACAAACAAACTTCCCAGACTTGTCTATATCGTCTATGTTCAAGATAAGTTTGCTCTAAGTTTAGATCTAGGATGCTAGGTTTGAGGCCAAAGGAGGTTATATTGACTAGACTATTTTAAATACATGTGTTTATTAATAAGTATGTCTTTTAAAGTGTTTCCTCTTTATTCACATAGTTTTAAAGTATATTTTTTCAATAATTTAAAATTTTAAATCTCACACAATACATGATACATACAACATAAACAATATATGAAATCAACTTTAGAATCTAATCTGGTGCACCATCCTAATAAAACATAACCAACCTAACCTAATATACTAAGTTGTACTAACCTACTAAGGTGTATCTAACCTACTAATTAGGAACCAACCTACTAAAACGAGCCAACCTACTAAGGTTTAACCAAGCTACTAATTTGTAATTAACCTAATAAAATGAGCCTACCTACTAAGATGTAAGCAACCTACTAATTTATGACAAACCTAATTATATGAGCTAATTTACAAGATTGTAAACAACAAATAAAAAACAATTTTTTAAAATGGAAACGTAAAACTTGCAGAATCAAAAGTTGTAATATTATAAGCTAAAAATTTTTAATATGTAACTCTTTCAAGGATTATGGTCCTAATTCAATATAATCCCAAAATTTTTGATGATTCATAAAGTTATTGTCATTACACTAATAATATTATGATCATTGCAGCATATAACCTCATATTTTAACCACAACCACTGTCATCACAACATATATGTGATAATGGTCATCACAACATGTAAGACTATAGTCTATTACCCATTGGATATATTACAAAACATAAATTATTTTGCTCTTTGAAATTTTTTTTTTAACTTTATTTAACAATCCAAACCATTTATAAATATTCTATACAAAGATGAATAAAAGATTTACAAACATTTTATAAAAGGATGAATAAAAAATTTATAATCATTCTATACAACAATGAATAAAAGATTTATAAACATTCTATACAAAATTGAACAAAAGATTTAAAAACATTCTAAACAATGATGAACAAATGACTTATAAACATTCTGTACTGCAATGAATAAATATAAAAAATGGAAATGGCAAGCATGATAAAGAGAGTCAACCTTAGCAGATGCTAATTTTGCAATGAATTGTATTTACAGTTTTCATTAGAGGTCAGTAGTGAATGTTACCAAAGAGGACTCAGTAAGAATGATGTCATTCATCAATATAGGAAGATTAGCAATAATGAAATAATTATTAGCAGTACTAAGTTTTGCCCAAGTTAAAATTCAGCTGCCAACTGACACTAACTGTCACAGAGGTAACGCTTAAGATGTTATAAGATCAGCTGTTTTAAGCAAAAAAAAAGTGACAACATTATGATGAACACTCAAAAAATGACAACTTTATGAAAAGCAGTCGAAAAAGTATCAACTTTATGATATATAGTTGTGTCATCAACAAATCAAAAAAAAAAAAAAAAAAAAAGGTAGGTAACATTATATAGGGGTAACAATACCAAGGATGCAACTTTTAGGTAACAATACAAAACTAAGGATGCAACCTCTAGGTATACCAGAAAGGCGGAAAAGTGTTATCCATTAATGACAACTTTACTAACTTATCTTTATAAAAGTTAACAAAACAATTCAATAACTTCAAAAACTTTCTGAAATACTAGATATGTAGTAAGCCTATAGAGATAACCGGCAAATGTTTTATTAAAAGCCTTTGATAAAGAATAATTTTGTCAAGAGTATTTTTGCTATACTAATATACTGCTATATCTTGTATAGAAACTTTTATAATTGAACTTTTATAAAGACTATTAAGTCAGCAGCAGAAAAAGTGGGTTGGTACCCATATTGATTATCAGATATTCATATTAATTGTCAGATATCCATATTTATTGTCGGATATCCATATTTATTGCCGGATATGTATATTAATTGTCGGAGAAGTCGCTAGACTCAAGATGAGAGTTAGTTGAAATTATAATTTGAGTGGCAAGACTTTTGTGAAGTAGAAAAATCAAGAATGGATGCTAAGGGGGCATGGGGAGAAACAACCAATGCTTAAGTCACTGTGTGTACATATGCAACAAAGAACAAATATTTGATCCACTGATTTTTGTGACTGTCTGCAGGTGTGATGATGTAGCACATTAGTATGTTCCATTTGGTTGTCTAGAATGGTTTCATTACATTTTCGTACCTGTCTAAAACATGTTTCCAAACACAAACTTGAATTTTACTTTAAACTTTAGTTTGTGGTAACTATGGATGTTGCTATGGACTCAATAGCTACCTAAGAGTGTTTTAAGGTCTAAATATGAACTAAAAAATATTTTTTTATCAATTCCATCATTACTACTTGAAATTAAACATATCAAAGGGTGAAACTTTACATAAAAAAAAAAAATTAAAATTTTTTTTTTTTGGATTATTATTTATATTCCTACCTCAAATATGAAAATAAAAAGAAATGCGCTACAAAATAATATTTATTAAATGATAAATCATTTAAATAAAAAAGCAATCCAATATTTTCTGACAAATTTTTAAACTCTTAAATTTTTAAATGAACAAATTTGTTTAAATGCAATGTTGTTTTAACAATCAGAAAACTTCAAGATGTAAAATGCTGACAATGAATGACATGTTCTTCTCATGTATGATTTAATCAGTTTTTACTTAACTAAAATTTAATCAACTTTTATTTATCCATGAGTTTTTGTATATATATATATGAAGACCACACGGGTAAAACCACAGATGTCACATTTTTCTCATTTCGAGAAAAATGAAATTTAGTGTTTAGTGACTTTAGATATCTGTTTATTAATAATTTATTTAATTAAAAGTATATTTTTCTGACATTTTAGTCCTTATACAATATAAAAACGCAGTTTTTGTGCTAAATACAAGTATTATTTATTCACAATGTTCTTTTGAAAACAAGACACTCATTTTGGACATCTGTTGTTTTTCCGTTGTAAACTCATCAACTCGTAAATTACGTTAGATTGTAACCTTTTAGAGCACTTATTTTTTTTTAAGGTAGATGGTAACACATTGTAATTTACAACTACAACGTACTAAGTGTGTGATGGGATAATAAAGCCACCGCCCCCTCCCCCTCTTTAAATAAAAAAAATTCGATTCACGTTCACAGAAAAACATTTTAAAAAATCAAAATGTTTTTTTAAATGTTTTTCTGTTGTTTACTTCATCCGAAAAGTTAGTCATGTGACTTACGCTTTTATTATCATTGGTTTAGTTAAAAATAACTTGTTTTTTACGCGGTAAACATTGGACAACAGTGGTTGTTTCAAAGTTGCCCTTTTTTTTAAATGACCATAGAACCTTAAAACATAGTTTTTTTGTTATGAATTTTTAAATTAAAATAGGTTAATACTAAAATATCATAAAAATATATAAAACTTGAAATTTTCAAAAAGTGGACATCTGTGGTTTTACCCGTGTGGTCTTCATATATATATATATATATATATATATATATATATATATATATATATATATATATATATATAATTACAATTAACTCACAATTAAAAATTGAAGCAACAACAAAAAAAGCTAAATAGTATTGAAGTTAAATAGTAAAAAAAAAATTAGTTAAATATCTCACAAGACTTAGTCATAGAAAGAAGATGAAAAACATCATTTGTTGAGCATTTATTAGGAGTGCAAACACCAAGCTCTCCATCAAGTGGTATTGACTAATTAAAAGTTAAACAAATTCATTAAAATTGATGGATAATTATTTCATTGTAATGTAGGTGCATGGGTTTCATAAAGAGGTGTAAGCTAAACTAAAACGTAAAATCATTTTAAACATTTTTAAAAGAATAACTTGAAATTAAAAGTTACATTATTAAATAAAATCATATCTGCAACACAATACTGAGAGCCATTGATACTTTGACATTCATCAAACGCACCTAACCATGCAACATTACCAAAATATAATCGATTGGTTGGAAAACCCCAAGATTCAATATCTGTAACAATAACAATAATAATAATAAATACAATAAAGTATATATATATATATATATATATATATATATATATATATATATATATATATATATATATATATATATATATACACTTTATTGTATTTTTATATATTTTACAATTTTAAATATTAATGTTTAGGCCACAATAACCAAGTTTTTACAGCACAACTAATGTTTTCTGGTCACTTTCAATATTAAAAAGAAAATATGACAACAAATAATGTTTATTATTCATGACATAAAATGACAAACAATAAATTAAAAAAACTAAACAAGTAGAAATTTTGAATAATTATATATATATACATTAAACTATTTTTTATATTTATTATAACTAAATAATAAAAGTTTAAACATACACAAAAAAAGCGGAGAAGACATGAACCACATAAACAATCCTGTCCAGTTTTTGTGTAAAACATAATTTAGACCGGGTTTCATAAGGTTATATATAGAATCTGCACAATTAACTGATATACTTGTCTTATTAAAAAAATCATTTAACTCAGAGCCATTTGAAGCCAGTTGCATCAATACTTGCAAAGATTCATTTGAAGAAAATCTATCAAGACCAAAAATACGGAAATAGTTGAGAATTTGTTTAGAAACAATGGCTTCGTTAAACTGCTGTTGTTGCAATAAAGAAGCTTCTAAAGGTAAGCTAGTTGCTTCTGAAGGTAAGGTAGCCACAAAATGTAAAGCCAAAAATATATATACATAACTATCCATGGGGTGATAAAAACTTGTACATAATAAGGCTTAAAAAAAAATTGCATAAAAGTACTATACTAAATATATTTATATTAATTTATATTAACTATTTTATTGATAATATACATAATAAACTTCAAATTCTAAAGTATAGAATTACAAAGATTAAAATTGCAAACCTATGATCTTAAAAAATGAGTGAGTTAAGTTGGTATTTAGATAGTGACATACTTGAAAGTGTATTGAAATCTTTCTTGATTATATTGATTGAGTGTATTAAAAGCAAAAATAATAATTTTTATTTTTTAGCTTGTTGTTAATAAAAACAAGCTAAAAAACAAAAAGCTGAAAGTGGCTGAAAGTTAGTGACAAAATCAAAATTAAACAACTTTTTTCTTTTAAATATGGGATCAAAGCAAAGTGAAAAAATTTGTGGAATTCTGAGAATTGAAGAATTATTGGACTTGGAAAATTAGTAAAACTTTATTCTTAATAAGTATAAAGAAAGAATTTCAGATCTCAGATCTGATGAATAAATCTTAGATCTTCTCAGTGAAACTTTTATACTAGTTTCATCACCATGAAACTAGAAAAAGTGTATTTTGAAAAAAAAAAAAAAAAAAAAAAAGAACACAACCACATCATGAGAGAGAAGTTTCACATTATGAGAGACAAGTTTCATAAAAAATGCACTAAGAATTGAACAACATCAGTGATTTTAGATGACGACAGTGGATGAAACAAAATGCTTTTGGATGACAAGAAATATAACATATATCAATTATAATTTTCAATCAGTTTTTTTTTGCATACATTAAAACATTGTATAGAGAAACTTTTTATTTATATTTTACAGATAAACAAACTGAACTTTTTACTAAAATAAAATTTTATATCTATTTTTCATGAAAAAGATGAATAAAGTTTTTAAATAAAAAGTAGATGAGTGTATGTTTAAATTTGAGATTTTTTTGGATGTTTCAGTTTGAATGGACATGGATTTTGGATGTTTAAATTTGAATGACATGGTTTTGAATGTTTTACTTTAAATGGACATGGTTTTGGATGTTTCAATTTGATTGGACATTGTTTTAGATTAGACATTTGTATTGACATGTTGAATATTGAGTTTAATTTCCTGATAATAAATAGTTAAACAATTGATTGTTCTTATTATTTTTTCCGCTTTCATTTTTATTACATAAATTAAAATTTATTTCATCTATAAATTAAAAAAATTGTAATAAATTTTTTTTAAAAACAGATTTGAAAAACAACTATTAAAGAATAAAAGTATATTTCTAATAATTTCTGTTAAATAACAAACTTTATCTGATACAAATCATTTAGTCACATATATATTTTATTCAAAATTGTTTTTATTGGCAAGCATTTAAAATATTTACAACACATTTAACAAACTATTGATTCTCTATTGTTGTATTGATTATAGATAGTACAACCTAAGCACCAATGATCCAAACCTTATTAGACCATTTTCATCTCTTTGCAATTAAAAATTCCTTAGTAAGGATGATATCGAGGTTTGTTTTGCCGTGCCAAATGTGGGTTGAATTGACTTGAATATCTATATGGAAAAGTAAAATTTAAAATCTTTATATTTTATTAACTCACCCTTATCTCCATTATATTATCTACTGATAAAATAATGAAGGAGGAAAAAAATTTTTTAACCTTTGAGGAGTTTCTATGTTTGGTTTTTCAAGTTTACCAGCAAGCAATTGATTGGCTCTTTCTCTTTCAATTTTTTCACGCTTTAATCTTTCATTGCGAAGTTGATCAATGTTTTGTGTTGAGCGAGGCGGTGACTAAAAATTATCATAAAATTAAATATATATACATTATAGTTTGACATCTATATTTACCATTTGTAGTTAAAACTAGCTCTTACCAACTTTTTTTTTTCAAAAAGCGACAAAATTAAGTACACTTTGTAAAAACCATTAAATTTAATTGAGGAAACTATTTAAATTTTATCATTTTTAAAAAACCGCAAAAACACAACTACAGAATTAATAATGCAACAGAATTTTTGCATTTTTTTAATAAAATAAAAACATGAGTTAAATGTTTTTATTTTTATTTTTTACATATATGAGGTTCAATTCCCGATACGTCCCTGGTAGTACTGCGCTCGACTTGTTTCTCCACATAGTGGCCTTGTTCGTCAAGGTTCGTGTTTTGGAGTTATAGAGTTGAGAGAGGGTTATAACCACAATTAAGTGGCCTTCTCATATTTAGTGGCTTTATCGACCTTGAGAAGGTGAATTACCATATTAAAAAAACAAGAACAAAAAAAAACATCAACTGACAAATAGGTAGAACATACATGGAGTGCTGCTACATCGACTGACAAATATATAGAAAATAAATACACACACACATATACATATAAATATATATCTTTTAAAACCATATTCTTGTTACAGGATATTTATATATGTTGAATTTGATTAAGAACCTTTAGCGGTCAGCATCACCAGGTGTAACAAAGAAAAAAATAAAAAAAACTTGAAGATACAAAATGCAAATAAAAAATCTTGAAAAAAAATATATAAAAAACTATTAAGGTAAAAATATAATGAATAAAAACAAGAGAACTTAGAGACCATTATGGTCAAAATTTTAACTGACGCCGTTATATTATATAATAAAAAGTATTTCTATTTTATGCCAGTAATGTCTTCTTATTTGACAGTTTAATTTATGTAGTTTTGTAACAAGTGAAATGGTGAAAAAAAAATTGATTTAGACTATTGATTTATTGGGTAGAAATAAAGTTTTAATCTTAGTTACCTTGTTTACATTCTTAATTTAGGACTAATTTTTTAGATTGCAAGAATTATTCTCTGAAATATTTATTCAAAAAAGTTTTAAAATGCAATTAAACTAATATAGTAATCAATATTTTTGTTGTTGTTCAAAATCAACTGCAAACCTAATTTTTTAGGTTTGCAGTTGATTTTTAAAAGAAACATTTGAGAAAAATTTTTATATGGATTTAAGTAAAATTAAATGTTGTTTAAATAGAAAAGTTTTTCAATCATTGTATTTATGAGAAAAACTTTCAAATGTTTAATATTACATAAATATTTTCTTGTAACTACAAAAACTTAAACATTTTAAAAATATATTCTAATACAGTGTTTATATACATTATAGGTAATACAGTGTTTATGTATATTATAGGTTAAAAAAATGCAGAACATGTGAGTTGTTACTAACAGATCCAAGCTCATTCAGACAGGTTATTTAGTACTATTTCTTTTATTCAAGGGAATCTAAGTGCAGATATTGTACATGCAACTTTGCAACATGTAAAATCGTTTTGGGCTATAGTATACTCAGGTTTACCTCTTATAACTGATAAATAATAGAAAAGTTAAATTTTCTAATCCTTGCACATTCTGGTCCACTCTGACTAAATAGCAAATAACCTGCTAATAACCCACTGTGACAAGCATGCAACTTGTAACCCACTGTGACTATGTAACAATATTAAATACAAACACAAAAAAACAAGGGCCAAAAGAAATTTTGATGCTAACTTTGAATGAAGTTTGAAACAAATTTTAAGGTTAATCTTATATAATTTGTCTCTAACTGCAAGATTATGCAATAAGCCATAGTGAAATCAACCTTCCTTAATACATAATGTAAACAGAATACATAGTTTAATTTTATTTCATTAATTTTATAGCTTGTTTAAATAAAATCTCAAAAATTATAATTAATATTAGCATATCTGAAGGGTTTAATTCATCAAAAAGAAAAAAAGATGCAAGCTATGATTTGTCCAAAAAAATCCTTCAATGACATTGAACATTAACTACATAAAAGTGAAAAACTCTGTGAAATTTTTATTGAGTTGAATTGTAAAGTTAAAATAAAGTAAAATAATAAAGTTAACAGAAAACAAAGTAGTAAGTTAAAAAACAAGAAATTGGTTGACAGAAGAAAGTGGTAGATAAAAAAAAGTGGTTGACAGAAGACTAAGAAAACTGTAAATCTCTATTAAGCTAATTATTTTATCGAACAGAAAACAAAATTGTTAATAGTTAACGTTTAAAGTTTTTTTTTAATGCAAAGTTATTAAAAAAAAACAAAACATAAAAGAAATATATATAATAAACTTTTATTTATCAACTTTTGATTGTATTAAAAAAACTTACTTAAGTTTCTATATAGTAATTTATACTTAACTTTTTTTTTATTGCAATGATCCTGTTGTTTGTTTTGATTATCGATACTTACTGTAAATGGAAACTGACTAGATTGTAATCACAAAAGCTGATAAAAGTATAAATGGTTTCCATTCACATATAAATTTAGTGGCGGGATAGCTCAGATGGTTAGAGCGCCAATGGAAAAGTTAAAACTGGACTGTTAAACGATACAAGTTCAAATCCCGCCACTACCAACTCAGCGCTTTAGTAGTATATATATATATATATATATATATAATATATATATATATATATATATATATATATATATATATATATATATATATATATATATATATATATATATATATATATATATATATATATATATATTTAATAAAAATAATAAGATATTTTTTGCCCAGATAAATGTTCTAGAAGCTTAGTCAGCCTTAAGGTAGTAGTTATAAGTGTGATAAAAAGGTGAACCTGATGCAAAAGTACCAGAAAAATAGTTTTATTAAGATCATTAGTCTAGAGTCTGCAACACAAATTGTGGAGTGAAAGGTTGAACACAAATTGTGGAGTGAAAGTTTGAAAAACAAAGTTTATTGGGTTGAAAGTGGAGTGAAAGTTATTAGGGAGTTGTGGAGTGAAAGTTATTACGGTTGTTTGAAAAACAAAGTTAACTATCTGAGTAAGAGGTTGAGAAAAACAAAAACATTCAGTTTTGATTAGATTCAGTTTTGTTCAGCGTAATGTTATTAGACATTAAAGTTACCAATAACAACGATACTAGCTGAGGAATAATAAGAAAGAAAAGTCAATACGAGCAGAAACAACACTGAATGCAGTCTTATTAGAAAAGAGAATGAATAAAAAAAAAATGAATAAAAAGAAAGAATAAAAAATAAATGAATAAAAAAGAATGAAAAGAGAGAATGAATAAAAAAATGAATAATGAGGTACTAAACAAAAGTACATAAAAGAATATCCAGATGATTCAAATCTGATTTCTTGACAAATAGGTATATAGAATCTTTACAAATCAACTGAATTTAAATTTGGAATAATTTGGTGATAAAACAGAACAATTTGGTGATAAGAGGTGCAATTTCAAGATAGAGGAGGGGCAGTTGGATGATAGAGTTATTTTTAATTTAGATGTTTTTCTTCTGTACAAAAATTTTTTTGCATTGTGATCTGTTTTTTTTTAATAAACTAATAGTTAATTAATAAGTTAAACTTATTAGTTAACTAATAATTGGGCACTTAAATAAAAATAAAAATTTATTAAACATAATAAATAACATAATAAAAATAAAAATTTATTAAACATAATAACATAATATATTAAGTTTGCAAAATTATAATAAGCATAAAAACTTTTTTTTTTTTTTCAGAATTTAAAATTAAAATTAAACTTAAAAAAAACCTTTTTATTTTTTGATTGGTCTAGATCTTTTTTTAAAATCTTTTTACTTTCTTTCACTATATTCATTGGATCCAAACGCGATTTCCTTGACTCATCTTTTAAATTACGATCTCTAAGAAATATTTATTTTATTTACCTAATATTCACTTATATAAATTTATTTTATTTACCTAATATTCACTTATATAAATTTATTTTATTTACCTAATATTCACTTATATAAATTTATTTTATTTACCTAATATTCATTTATATAAATTTATTTTATTTACCTAATATTCACTTATATAAATTTATTTTATTTACCTAATATTTACTTATATTAATTTATTTTATTTACCTAATATTCACTTATATAAATTTATTACATTTACCTAATATTCACTTATATAAATTTATTTTATTTACCTAATATTCACTTATATAAATTTATTACATTTACCTTATATTCACTTATATAAATTTATTTTATTTACCAAATATTCACTTATATAAATTTATTACATTTAAACTACTTTACTTTAAAATAAAATTAAAAAACTAATTTAAAAATGAAAAATAAAATAATAAATTTACATTCAATGATAATAAATAACAAATGATAAATAAAAATTGAAATAGAAATTAATATTAAAACAAAAACAATATAAAATCAAATATTTACACAAACAATTCCAGTACACAAATTAAAAAATAATTATATATAAATTACAAATAATAAATTGCATGCTACAAAAAGTTTATAAATGGTTGTGTGATACAAAAAATTTATAACTTGTTGTGTGATTTTTTTTATACTTGATTGATAGGAATAATTCTTACTAAAACAAACCTTTTAAATAATTTTATAACTTGAACAATCGTTTGGTCAATTATTTTATTTTTCAAATAATACTATGTTGAATAAAAGAAATGCTGAATTTATCAAAATTTACACAAAATGCTCATTCCTGGTAGCTTTGTTCATTCCTGGTAATTTTGTTTGGTGCTTAGGTTTTGACTGGTTGAATAATAAGACTTATTAAACAAAAAACATTTAAGAAATAAAATTAAAAATAAAACTTACAGGTTTTTTGAAGATTTTTTTTCTAAATACCATGGCTGGTCTTCTATAAAAAATAATTATTAGGATTTTAATTACAATATAATAATAAATATTAAAAAAAACAAACAAAAAAACAATATTTTTAATTCTTGATAAGTTTCTTAATGTAATTATTTTCAAAAGATTAATTTTACAATAAAACATTGGAGTATTATATTAAAAAATAGAACACGTTAAATGAGGGATTCTAACAATAATAAACAAACTTCCCATTATACCATTAACTTATCTATTTAATTAAAATGACAGTTTATTTTATTTGGATTATATCAACTGCTTATTTACTGAGGAATTTTGTAACCATTTTATTGGCTTATTATACTTTTTTCTTATAATATTTCTTTATAAAATCTTCTATTTTTTAATATATTACTCCAGATTTTTATTTTAATCTTTTGAAAATATAATAATTATATTACAAAACATGTCAAGACTTAAAAATATCAGTTATTTTTAAAAATATTAATGTTATTACTACATTCAAGAAATAAAATAATAATTTTATCATTATTACTGCTATCAAATATATTTAGTGTATATTATATATAGAATAAGTTAGAGACATTTTAAATAAACTTTTAGTTTTTAACAATTAACACTTTTTGATAGTGGAGGTAGATTATCAATCAGTTTCATTCATAAATGCTCTAAAAATCTTTTTTTAACAGTGCACTGTTTATATTTATTTATTCAAATGTTTGTCTTTTATTGACAAGTTTTTATGAATCTTTAGTAACACTGTTCAAAAAAAAAAAAGAAAGTTAGAACCTAGTAACACTGTACAACAAAAAAAGTTGCAACCTAGTAACACTGTACAACAATAACAAAAAATTATTATTAATGCATACCTTTTACCATCACAAAAAATGCAAAAGCAATTACAAACTATCCTACTCTGTAGGATAGTTTGTAATTGCAGGTAAAGAAAGATTTACCAGGTTCACAAAACCATTAGTTATACATTTTGCATTTACAAAACGGAAAAGTTAATGCTATTCTGAGCAAACTATAATGCATAAAATGGACTTTAAATGACATGTTGCATCCAAGAGTATGACAACAAGTGAAAAGAAATTTATGACATTTCAAATCCTTTTATGCATATGTGTTATGCATTTCTCATTATTTTAAACAATATAGGTGAGGCTCATATGAAGATGATATTCAAAAAAGATGATGTACATACAAAGATGACGTTCATAAAAGATGACGTTCATTAAAGATGACGTTCATACAAAGCCATTATTGCATTTATATTATTGCATTTATTTTTATTGATTATAATTTTTACAAAATATTAAATTAGAAAAGCAAACATATGGAGCGTTGAAAGAGATAAAAATATAGGGTGCATAATATGAATTGAAAAATATTTATATCAATAAAAAAAAATTAAGAATGTATTTAATTGATGATTTATTTCACTAACTTGTCATATTAAAAAAGATCTTCTATGCAAAAAATTTCCATGATGTAAAAAAGTTAAGCAACTTTATAATAAAAATTGTTGAAAATTATCATATAAAAAATAAAGGTAAATTATCACAGTATTATCTAAAACCTAGACTTATTACATGAAGAATATAGAAAGATAGATAGATTAAAATTTATTAAAACAATTTTAAAAATTACATATTCTAAAAAACATACAGGTCCCATAAACAGACACTGTCAATATAACACTAAATAAGTATAAAAACAATGTACATTTGGAACAAATATAATTTATAATACAAACATTTAATATTTCATTTATTAATTTACTTTATAGAAGTAGTGTTTATCGAAATTGTATATTTTTATTTTCTTTTTAAACATTCTAATGTTATTTGCAATGTAAACTTATAATGTAAGATTATTTCAGATATTTACAATTTGTTGAGAAAAACAATATACATAGATGAATATTTGACTTTATGAAAATCCCGGAAATTTTTTTCTATGAAAATCCCAGAAAATTATTTTATTATAAATTGATCGTATTAACAGTCAACAAAAACTTTCGTAAACTTTTTTTTGTAAAAAATTAAATAATCTAAACGAAATTTGGATTATTTAACTTTTTACAAAAAGTTTCTAATATTCTAAAAGTTAATTTGAATGAAAAAGCAAAAAAAAAAAAGAAAAGAAAAAAAATTGTTAAGAAAATTATTCTTGTGAAAATTTTAATTATAGAAAACATATTTGTTTAAATGCAAAAGTGCTTGTATTTAAAATCTTATGTAAGAATATATAATTTTTTTTTCAAATAAATAACAAATAACATTCAGAAATTCTGGAAAATTAAAGGAGTTAAAAGTGATTTACCAGAATTCTGGGAATTCCAAGAAAAAACTCATCTATGAATATATGCAAACATCAAGTTGAAATTGTTGCTTGCAAATCTTATAAGTATGACCACAACTATATTTATTATTATTAATTTTAAAAAATGAACTTTTATCTATGCAAACTAAACTATTCATAATTTTGAAACATATAACTAAATTGTCTGAGCTGCAGAGAATCCAAACAAAGCAGCTGTAAACAGCTTGAATAGCAATTTTTTTTGTGAATCTTTTTTGAATATTTTCAATAGATTTTATTAATGTAGTGTAGTGCCGCGACCAAACTATTATTCAATAATTGGTCTTAAATATGTGGTAAATGCATGTATTAATATACTAGTATTTTGGGTTTTATAGCATTTTAAGATTAGGTTTGATCTAGTATTTGCTATATGAATGACTCTGGCAATTGTCAAGTATCTGACCAAATAATTATTTTATCAAGAGCAACAGTTAAATCTTGGCTTTGATTCATATCAGGATACAAATTGTATAACTTTAAATCATCAGTAAAAAATTTTATTGTACAATCCAGATTCGTTTACTACAGATAATAAGTCATTAATAAATAATACAAACAAAGTTGGTCCTAGCACACTACCCTTTGTTACACAACTAAAGATTCGAATCAAACCTGATAAAGAACTAGAAAGTTTTTTTATTTTCCCCCCAACATCTCCGCTTCCAAAAAGACTGCAAGCAACCACTAAAAGAGCTGGAAGTTACTGGAACAGAAAAGATGAAGTCTATTGAGCAAGATAACCATTGACAGACAACTTGAAAGATTGAAAATTATATGAATTAAGAAAGTAAGATGAAGGAAGCGAATTCCAAAGAACTATTGTTCGAGGAAAAAAACTAGAGGAATAAGAGTTTTTGGGGCACTTAGGAACAGTCACAGTAAAAGGATAAGTCTTAATTGAATAACAAGTAACACAAAAATGAATTTTAGTAGATAGCAGAAGAGATGCTAGTTCATTAGAGTAGTGTTTATTATAGTACTTGTAGAAAAGAGAAAGAGAAGTAACATTACGATGATGTGATAATGATTGGAGGTTGGCTGCAAGAGCAGATCCAACTATGTTTACAATGCATTTTTTGCTCTTTGTCTAAAAGAGAAAGGGCATCATTCTATGATCTGCCCCAAATATGGCAACAGTACTCCATACAAGGAAAGATTCAAGATTTTTTTTTCTTTTTTGAATTATTCATCTACTCAAGGCCAAGAAGGCCATTACAGTCGAGAAGGCTACTTTTTTTGTGGTTAAAACTCTCTCTCAACTCTATAACTCCAAAACACAAACCTTGATGAACAAGCTGAGTGAGGTATCAGGGATGTGGAAGGGATCGAACTTGGAACTTCTCGCTTATGAGGTGAGCACTCTACCACTACACCACTACTGTATTTTTAGAGATAAAGAATAGAATTTTATATAGATTTATAGAGATAAAGAACAGAAACAGTATGCAACATAAAAAATTGGAAGCAAAAAATTTAACTTAGTACCTAAAAACCAGTTAAAAACAGTTGGATAAAAAATATATATAAAGTATACATAATAAAAAAAAATTTTATACATTTTTTAACAGATTTATAACAGTGAAGATAGGCATAAGGGGGCTTCAATTTATTGAAGAAAGTAAAGTATTACTTTGCAATTCAAGTGAAGACTGTCCAACATATGTGAGAAAACCAATACTCTTCTCATATTTTTCTTGTTCTTCTTTTTTCTCTTTTAAATATTCAACATTGTCTCGTTTGCTAAGACCTCCCTATATTAAATACATTTAAACCAAAGGTTCTAAAATTATTAAACCTAAAATAAAAAAAATAAAAATGTTAAACACCTCAATTTCTTCTTGTGCAAATAAGTTAATATGTTGCGATGAACTTTCGCCTGAACTTTCTTTAGATGCACCACGTAACAATCTCATCCGCACTTCTTGCTCCTATTTTATCATAATTTTATATTAAAAAAATATAAATTTCACAAATACTATGATAAACTGAGAGTTTTAATTTCCTGAGAACTGCTATCAGTTCTCTTATTATAGATAATGAAAACATATCAATTAGAACAAACAAGAAAATATTAAAAAAAACTTTGGTATATTGTATATTTTGTTTATAAAAAGTGGTCATTGAAATCCCTAATAACTGTAAAACATGACACAAATAAATGAAATTATCCACTCCCATAATCTGTTTTTAATTTTTTCGTTCCTCTGTCTTTAAATTTTGAATAAAGAAATTAAATTTTGTAATTATATCTATTTAAAAACCATAACATTACTACAAATTAGGTCATATTTCAAATCGTGCGTCATGACTCCAAAATCATTATTAAGTTGATTTGTTACTTTTTTAATGCAATTATATTATACACTTTACGAAACTATATACTGAAACTATTATATTTTATGTATTATATACTATTACCATTAGTATCAGGTATTTTTATTTATTAAATTATAGTGCCTCATTAACTAAACTGCATCTAAAAATGGATTTTAAAATTACTTTTAATTTAAAATAAAATTACAAACTGAAATAGCATTGTAAGTTTTTCAAACTATTAGACAATCGCAGACAACTAAATGCAAGAAAAAAATATCTGCTGTCCGAGTTTAATATATATCCTAGTAAGTATATATAAAAGAAAACAATGTAAATTATTTATTTATTTATATAATTATAAGTTATTACTATTTAAAACATTATTCTGTTTGTTTTCCTTGATTTGAGACTAGTAAAATGGCATTGATGCATTATAACTAGTTAAAGATGATATTTTAGATGTTTCACACTTTTCCTGATTTTAACACTAAGAACTCCTTATGGTTGTGAAGATACACTGAGAACTTCATATGGCTGAAATCAAAGAAAGCAAACAGAAGGGAAAATTTCTCACTTCTTTACTCAGCCTTTACAGCCAGAACCACATATTTTTATCATTCTCTAACATTTAGTCTTTACAAGTCAGCCCACTAACTAAATATAAAAACTGAATAATATATTTATTATTACATTATTTTGCATAAACATTAAGTGATTATTTTACATAAACATTTTTACATTTAAAAATTGAAGTGTTTACTTGGTACGAATCACCTACCAGTGTTTTGAAGTAGATTTCTGCAACAATTAAAAATTTTAGTGAACATGTACTTAATATATTTATACACAGTACAAAATTTTTAACTTAGCACAATTATCAAAATGTATCATCTAAAATTTTTATTCACTAACTTTAAAATTTTTAATTTCAAAGTCAGTGAACTTTGATTGAAAAGGTTTTGTAGATTCCACAAACAAAATGTTTATAACAACAATATACAAATATTCATAGCAACAAATGTCCATAACAACATTTTATAACGAATTTTGAATTCTTAATCAACTATATTACTATTAATGATACTCTTTCTTTTGTAGTCATTGATACAACTGTAATATTTTTTAATATATAAAACACAATTTCAAAATAAACAACTTTTTTGAATAAAACTTGATCAAAAAGTTGTTTTGCAAACAAAATTCATATTTTTTAACAATTCATATTTTAAATATGAGAACAGAAATAAACTTTTTTTTAGTAAAATAAATGCAAAAAGAAAAGACTCACTGTTAACGCAATTCTTTCTTCCTCTCGTAATTTTTCAAGTCGAGCATTTTCTTCATCTTTTCGAACTCGATCTCTGTTGTCTTGATTACGAACATGCCATCTAATTATAACAAAATTATAAATATGCCATTTAATTAAAACAAAATTACGAGCATGCCATCTAATTAAAACAAAATTACGAACATGCCATATAATTAAAACAAAATTACAAACATGCAATCTAATCAAAATAAAATTCTGAACATGCCATCTAACTAAAACAAAATTACAAACATGCCATCTAATTAAAATAAATTTATTAAAATGTTTGTTTATTGATAAAAAAATAAGAATAAACAAAAAAAATTAAAAACAAAAGTGTAAAATTTACTTTTTTTTTGGAAGAATATTCATGATTTTATATGTTCATGTTTTTATGCACCATAACTCTATAATTCTTTAACTTTGTAAGCTTTTTCTAGATCATATATAACATTCTTATAAATAATAAATATAGTAAAAGTAATATAACTATGACATAAAATATATACCATATATTTATATCATGTTTACACTACAATTATCATGAAAATATTTATATTTAAAATCATCATAATAATTTGTCAAATTTCTTGCATTTAGCTTTACCATTTTTCTATTATTTGTTCCTTTTTTCACTCTTTCTATCTTTTAGATATTATTGGGCAAGGTGCAAAAAAGTATCTCCTTTCTTTAAAGAGCGCTTCTCTTCTTATGAAGAAAAAAATTAAAAACCACTTTCTAAAGTTGTGGTTGCCTGAGAAGGAAAAAAATTTAATTCAAATATTTAAAATATGAATAAACTCCCAATAGAAAAGGTGAAGTATTTTCTATATAAAGTTTAAAAATTTAATATATATTGTCGCAGTCATTTCACAACCACCTCATATTTTTTTGTTTTAAGAAAACTAAAACTTCCTAAACTACAATATAGTCTGGTTTGTTAAAGTTACAGGCAATTTTTCATATAGTAGTAGACTGTTAATTCCTATTTTAAATATTACTCTAAATGCACCCAAAAATTATATTTAGATCTTGTGAAATGCTGCAAAATATACAATCTTTTTATGCAGGGTAATCAAATACAAAAAAAAAAAAAAAAATTGATAAAAATTGAACACAAAACTGTTCAAAAAGATCACTTCAACTTTGAAATAACTCTAACAAAAAATACTAAAAAAATAGCTTGTTGGCTTACTCACATACATTTTCTAAAGATGGCTTACTCACATACGCTTTCTATAATGACATACATGACATTGTGATATATAAAAAAAGGGTTAGGGGTGAGAGATTCAAAAAGATTTCATAAAGTGGATTGGAAGTATTTACATGGGAGTGCAATTGTAAACATTGTTCAATTGGTTTTTTTTTGTGTGTTTAATGTAAATAAAAATTTATTATAATAATGAAACAACATAATAAAAAATAATTATAAAAAACAATGAATATAACATGAATAAAACAATAAATTATATTAAATATTTTTTTAATTAAAATCAATTTATAAAAGAAGTGAGATTTTATTTTCCACAACTTATTACTCTAAATAATATAAACAAAAAAATAAATGGATTTAAAAGTACTATGACAACAGCTTGGTTTATACAGTAGTAAAAACAATGTATCATTTGTTAGTTTTAATTTATAAATATCTATCTATGTTTATTTCTTTGAAGTTCATTTAAAGCCCATTTTTTATTCTCAATTTCCATAGTAAGATTGCTGTATTCATTCAAAAGCTGATTAAAGATATCCACAGATTGATACATCGACAATGCAGATTTTGTTTTCTGTATCTTATCTTTTGTTTTTGTAATTTTCTCTTCAATAAATTTTCTAAAAATAAAAATTCTAAAAATAAAAATAAACTTTTTCAATCTAAACTTTCATTTACCTGGTGAACATTAACTATTTTTGTGAATTATGATTAACCTAGCTATCATTATTTTAATGAGCTGTCATTAATCTAGTAAATTGTCATTAATCTATTGAACTATCATGAACAGAGTTGGGGTCAAATACATTTGATCTAATACAAATATGTTATTCCTAGATTTCCAAATCATAAATTAAAATAAAAAATATAAGCAATTCATATGCATTTTCCAAATACAAATACAAACGTTTGTACTTTAGGTTTCAAAAAAATAAAAAGGTTTTTTTAAGACAAGGCTGATAAATTGGTCTACTAAATTGAAGATCGAAAACAAATATCCTTTAAAAACAAATTTTTATTTTAGTGTTTAAAATGTAAAAAAAAAAAAAAAAAAAAAAAAAAGAATCTCTTTGTTTTCCCCAAAAAACACTGGTTAACCTAGTTTATGAACAAGTTATGCAAATACATTTTAATCAAATACAAATATTTAAGAAAAATTCTTTTAATCAAATACAATATGAATACAAATACACCAATTTAGCCTATTTTTACCAAATATAAATAAAAATAAAATGCATAATTGACCCCAACCTTGACAATAATAAACTATAAATTAATCTAGTGAACTATCATTAATCTAGAAAGTTGTCATTAATATTTGCACTATCAAAGAATAAAACTTTGGGGGAACATTTCAAAATAAAATATCTAATTTAACTAACCTGATTTTCATCAAAGCTTCAACTGTCTCTGGAGTGTATGTTTCTTTATACAGATGATTTGTCATTACTCTAAAATAAAAAAAAGATATTCTAACACTATACAAAAAAACATTTTGAAAACATTGAAACTTTAGAAAGAAAAAAAAATTTCGCATTATGCAAATGTCGCATTTGCATTTCGCAAATGTTGCATTTGCATGTCGCATTTCGCATTTCCCAAATGTCGCATTTGCATTTCGCATTTCACAAATGTCGCATTTGCATTTCGCATTTCCCAAATGTCGCATTTGCATTTCGCATTTTGCAAATGTTGCATTTGCATTTCCCATTTCACAAATGCCGCATTTGCATTTCGCATTTCACAAATGTTGCATTTGCATTTCGCAAATGCAAATGTTGCATTTGCATTTTGCATTATGCAAATGTCGCATAATGCAAAATTTTGCATTATGCAAACAACCTGGTAAACAACAAAACATTTACTTTATTTTTAAAATGATGTAATCACATTTAGTTGCTAGCCAATCAGCTGCAATCTGTTTAGCATCTTCTTGTGAATCTATTACTTTAGAAGACATTTTGAGTTGAAGCTCATGAAGTGATAAATCTAAAATCTGAATAAATTTAAAAACTTTATATACAAAAGTAAAATTAAAAAACTAAAAAATTTTGAAAAAATTTTATATTAATAAGATGAAACAATTAATTTTGGAAAACCTTATATTATTAAGATGAAACAAATAAATTTGGAAAACCTTATATTGTTAAGATGAAACAAAAAATTTGGAAAACCTTATATTGTTAAGATAAAACAAAAAAATTTGGAAAACCTTATATTGTTAAGATGAAACAAAAAAATTTGGAAAAATCTTATACTATTAAGATGAAACAAATAAATTTGAAAAACCTTATATTGTTAAGATGAAACAAAAAAACTTTGGAAAACCTTATATTGTTAAGATGAAACAAAAAAGGCAAATATTATGCTAAATGAATACAATTTATAAAAAATAAATAAAATACAATAAAAAAATCCTTTACATGGTAAAAGTAATACCTTGTAGTTATCATTGAAGATTTTATTAAATTCCTTTTTTTGTTTGTTTATTACTTTTAGTGCATCAGAAAGTTTTTGTTTTTCATTTGAAACAAATACGGGAAGTTGATTGGCTTTGGCTAATTGCAAACCTTCACTGTCTAAAGTTGAAAAAAAAAAAAAAAAATTTCAGTTTATTTGCCAACAAAAAATGCTTTGTAACTTTTTTGCACACAATAATTTGTAACTTTTTATATAAATATATTTAAAAAAAAATTGTTTCAAGTAATAACAAGTCAACTTAATAACATTAAATACTACTAATAAATATAATTGCAAAAATAATTTATTTGTATTAAAGGAATCTCAATAAAAAGATGGAATGATCTGATACAGATGTAGGAAAGCCGACATATGTTGAAATATTTTTTTGTATCTTTTAAACTGTGATAAATTGTAACTATTATTTAAAAATTTTTATAACACTTAAATATTAAATACTTTTTTAATAATTTTTGAAAAAACCTTCGGTTCAAATGTTGGATATGACGTTAATGATATTGATTATATATCTGGTGTTTACTATTATTTTATACTTTTTATAAACTCTTTCGACAAAAACTCTTTTTAGAAAATGTTGATTGACAAAAATGCAAAATTATTTTGAGTAATAAATAAAAAAAATATTTTTAGTTAACTACATTTTTATTAACTGCAAAACTGCAAAACTGCAAAAAAAAACTTTACTAAAAACTATAAAATACAGAAATACAAAAAAAAAAAAAAATAAAAAAAAAATAAAAAATAAAAAATAAAATACAAAATGCAAAAAAATAAAACTTTAAAAACTGCATTAAAAAAAAAAAGGATAGATATGTAATGTATGATGTATAGTAGATATGTAATGTATGATTTATAGTAGATACGTAATGTATAATTATGTAAAAATATAGTTGCATAAGTTTTTTTGTATACATTAAAAAACCCCTCATACAACAAGCATTACAGAGAATAAAAATTAAAAAGTTTTAAAAATCATGTTTCCAACTAATATGCAAATTTGAAGGTGAGAATTTAAACATTAAACAATAAACAAAATTAAATTATGACATAATTTTCCCTGTGCTTTATAATGTTTAACTATGACATGTAATTGTTTTTATATAGCATAATTAAACTAAGTTATGTATACTTGCTAAGAAATATCGCAAAAGGGGAAGGGCAGTTAATACTTTGACATTAAGTTTTTGATTAATAATTGACAACTAAATAAGGAAAAAATCTTGTTTGGTTGAATGTAATAAAAGTTTGGTCATTTTACTGGTTTTGATTTAAAGAGTTAATGATTTTGATTTAAAGAAACTTTTAAAATGGGCATTGATATTAAACAGATATTATATTTGATATTATTTGATATTATTTGATACTTGATGATAAAATTGATATTTGATATATGATGATAAAAGTGAATTTTAATCTTTAAGTGAATAAATCTTTTAAACTTTTCTCATTAAGTTGAAATTTTGAAAATTGATAGGTTGAGTTTTAATTTTAAAACATTTAAAAATCTAATCTTTTTTAAAACAAATCTATAGATAAATACAAAAATGATTTTGAGAGTAAAAGTTTCTTAAATAACAAAGTTTTTTATTCTCCCTTTTTTTTATCTGCTTAAGATAAAATTTATATATTTTTTTGTATGATAACTTTTAAAGAAAGGGGGTCTGCAGAAAGCTCAAACATGGAGCCCTGTTTTAGGATGTGGGGGCCATGAGTGGATGATGCATATTTGCAAAGTAGTACATGCTTAATAATTAATATTTACATTGAAACCTAAATACCAAGTTAAAGTTTTGCAACATTCAAAAGATTGTGCTTTAATCTACAACTAAAATGATATTTTATTTTTAAACCAACTTAGATACTAGTCCTTTAAATCAACATAACTACTAACTAATAAGGTAATGAATTAAAATACCAATAATCTTTTGAGTCATTCCATATAAAATCATACAGACCATGACACCCTTCAGGCTTGGTCGGGAAGCGGGAGCGATCGCTCTCGATTGTTGACCGCGTAAAAAATATTTAGTTGGGAAAAGCTGGCCAGATTTTTTAGTCGTTTTGAGAGCATTTTAAAAAGTAAAAAAAAAAGCACAAAATATTAATTGGACCGATGAGAGACAATTACAAAAAAAAAATTAGGCAAGTAAAATATCTTTAAACGCGAAAAAACTTTAAGCTAAATAATTTACGTTTAGAACAAATATTTTCGAAATATCGCTCTTTTATAATTTTTTTATAAAATTAAGTGATGTTTTTTATATAAAGTAACATCTTACGATTGTTTAAAAAGTAAACAAATATTCTTCATTTAACAAAGTTTGCAAGTTTTAGTTTTATTTAAGCTTATTTTATAAATAAAAAAGTTAATTTTTTTAATACCTATCTTATGTTTCGCGTAGTTTGAAAAGTTTAACATATTTGAACCAATTCTTCTTAGTAAGGTAAACAAATGAAATAATTATATCAATGAATTACTATAGAAATTAAATTAACAAGATAGAAATCAACTAAAAAGGTTAAAAATACTTTATGGAAGCGAAAAAGCAGAAAAAAGTATAAAGAGTTTTAATGATGGCAACTTAAGCAAAAATAATAAGAGTTAGTAAACCGATATCTAGAAACTTTTCTTTATATCTAATTATTTGCTATATATATATTTGTGTTCTGTCGTGACCTCAGGCGTGTTGCATGTTCATACGCGAGTTACTTTGTATGCATTGTTTGTGTTTAGTTACCAGAAACTTCTTATGTTTGTTATATGTTTTGTAACCAGAAACTTATATGTTTGTTACATAACTAGTTTTATTAACTTTCATGTTTATAACTTCATTGAAAATGCAATTATTTTTGTAAGTCTTTGTTTAAATCATAAAAATTGCTTTAAAAGATACATTACGATAAAAAACAGATACACAAAACAGGCTTGGTCGGGAAGCGGGAGCGATCGCTCTCGATTGCTGACCACGTAAATAATATTTAGTTGCGAAAAGCTGGCCAGATTTTTTAGTCGTTTTGAGAACATATAAGATTATTTACGAAGCAAAAAAACTTTTTTTTTACGGACATTTTTTTTTTTTTTTTTTTAACATCTTCACTTGCAACAAGGCTGCAAGCAACCACTATAAGAGTTGGAAGTTACTGGAAGAGAAAAGACTAAATCTGTAGAGCAAGATAACGATTGACTGATGACTTAAAAGATTGCAAATTATATGAATCAGGAAAGCAAGATGAAGGAAGCGAATTCCAAAGAACTGATGTTCGAGGAAAAAAACTAGAAGAATAAGAGTTTTTGAAGCACTTAGGAACAGTCACAGAAAAAGGATGAGACTTAATTGAATGGCGAGTAACACGAGAATGAATTTTAGTAGATGGCACAAGGGACGCTAGCTCTTTAGAGCAGTGCCCACTATAGTATTTGTAGAAAAGAGAAAGAGAAGCAACATTACGACAATGTGACAAAGGTTGGAGATTGGCTGCCAGAGCAGGTCCAACTATGTTTACAATTCGTTTTTGCACCTTGTCTAAAAGAGAAAGAGCATCATTAGAAGATCCGCCCCAGATGTGGCAACAGTATTCCATACAGGGACGGATTTGAGATTTACAGAGATAGAGAATAGAATCTGGAGTTTCCTTTTTAAACAATCGTAAGATGTTACTTTACATAAAAAACATCGCTTAATTTTATAAAAAATTTTTTGTAATTGTCTCTCATCGGTCCAATTAATCTTGAGCGCTTTTTTTTTTTTGCTTGTTAAAATGTTCTCAAAACGACTAAAAAATCTGGCCATTTCGCAACTAAATATTATTTACGTGGTCAGCAATCGAGAGCGATGGCTCCCGCTTTCTGACCAAGCCTGACAAAATTACATTTACATAAAGAATACATACTTTTTAAATAAAAAATAAGAATATAATAATAAAATTTATAATTTATAATAAACTTTTAAAATTTAGACAATTTAATATATATTTAAAACATTTATTTTTGTAAACAAATAATATATATTCTTGAAACAGTTTATGCTAGAAACCTCAAAACGTAACAAATCGAGAATGATAGAATTTCAAAAACATTTCAACAGAATACTCTAGAACTTTATTTTGCTTAGTCAGCGTATTTTTTGAACCAATAGAATTTGTTTGTTAATTTGGGGGGTTTTTAGTGTTCGCAAATATTCTTTTTATTCTTTCGCACCAAGATGTTTTGAGAACATTCAAGTTTTTTATGTTTCCATGTATGTCCGTAAAACAAAAATTTTTGGTTTGTACATAAACTGAAAATTTTTTTAAAACTTCTAAAAACCTGGTCAGTTTTACGCAACTAAATACAATTTCCGTGGTCAGTTTTCTAGAGCGATCGCTCCTGCTTCCCGACCAAGCCTGACCCTTATGTCTCAGAATATGTTCATTTTTGCCTCACTTGCAGTCCATATTAAAAAAATAATAACTGCAAAAAATCTAGTTAAAAAAACACATGGGTTCCAGAGATATTGTCAGTTGAAATAATGCTGACTTCAAGCAACTTTGACATAAAGTATCTTCATAATAGCTTGGAAAAATTTTCTAAAATTTGGTCTCCTGATAGATTTTTACTTGAGGAATCCAAAAATATCACATTCAAGACTCGATTGTATTAGAAAATGTCTTGTTTATCCAATTTTGTTCAAAACTATTGACTTGTAAATTCATGATTTTCAGAGGTAAAATGAAGACTGTGGCCCAAAATACAGAGTAAAAAGTTTAATTGTATATCAATATTTTGTCTACTGAAAAAAAATAGATTTATCAATTGTTTTTTCTAATACTTGAATAAAACATCAAATAGTGTTATTTATTGACTAGTTAAGGACATTTATAGTTATGGGCCTAGAGAGGGCCAGGGGCCCTCTGACTAATTTCCTCCTCCTTCAATTTCCCTTGAATTTTTATTTTTTCAATACATAAGATGAATCAATAATAAATAATTCTTAAAATTCAATTTAAAGGGATCCCTAAGTGCTATAAAGATATGATCTCATATGAAAGAGAATTTAAAAAAAAATGTTTGATGTATATTATTTTTTCTAAAACGTAATAATGAACATACACTAACCGATTTAATTTTCAAAAAAACGCTTTTCTTCGATTAAAAAAAATGCGTCTTGTCCAAAGTTTATTGACTCTATTGCCTCAAAAAACTATTGTTTGTACGTCAAAATAAACAAAGTAGACAAAATGTCATTATTGCAAACTTATTAGTTAGTAATCAAATTTAAAAGTAAAGTCGTTTTTTTTCAACTAACACATAATTACTTACAAGAATAAGTTTTGTAGCATTTTGTGAAAATATATTTGTATATTAAAATTTTTTTTATAATTTTAATTTATATATTTGTGTTATAAGGGCAATTCCATGGCCAAAAAAAAATAGAACTCAAAATTTAAATCTTTTTAGTCAATTTTTAACAAATGAATATTGATTTAGACACATGAAAGTTTATTTAAAATATTTCCTTAGTAGAAAAATAAATTTATTTCAGTAATTTTTATGGTTTCAAAAGTGACAGTTACTCTCATTTTTGCTTAATAAAAAAAATAATTATTGTAAAATGTTTTCGTTAAATTAACATTCATGTTAAATTGCTATATTTTTTTGGTTCAAATTGATAAGGTTGAATAGACATTTTATTAGAAATTAAACTAAGACAGGGCTCGAATTAATGCAAAAAAATCTAATTGCAAAAAAAAATTTTTTTTTGCTCTCTCTCACCCCCCCTCTCTCTTATAGCTTGCGCCGATGTGCGGTAATGGGGGGGGGGGGGAATTATTGAAAAACATCATAAAAAAATTCAAAATCTGACCCTTATCACCATAAGGTGCAAATGTTAACACTCACACCAAAATCATGGACACGTACAAAGATATCAAGCTACTTTGAAGTATCTGAATATCTTGTTTGAACTGCAAGAAAAGTTAAAAATGAGCATGGAATTCTATTATTGCCTGAAAAAAAAACTGGAAACCTACTTTCACCAGAAACAGTTAATTTAGTGATTAACTTTTATCAAAGTAATGAATTATCAAGAATGATGCCAGGAAAAAAAGATTTTTTAAGTGTCAAGAAAAACCAACATGTTCAAAAAAGATAATTGCTACTTAACCTTAATGAACTACATGTTGCATTTAAAAAAGATTACCCTAACATCAAAGTCAGTTTGTCAAAGTTTTGTACTCTTAAACCTAAATGGTGCATTACAACTAATATGTCAGGTACTCATAATGTGTATGCATGCATCACCAAAATACAAAATTTCTCATTGATGCTGTAAGGTGGAATAAAAGTTATAAAGATTTCATGGCATTATTTGCTCGCTTGAAAATGCAGAATGTATGTTGCATCGATGTAACCAATGCCCTGGGGTATTGAAGCATTAAAAAGTTTTTTAGTGCAGGAGTTTATGAACCATGAGCTCGAAGAAGATGTAGCATTCAAGCAATGGCAGAGTACCAATTGTACAATACTACTATTACAATCATTGCCACTAGATGAATTTAATGATTTATTGTGTGACAGCATTGACAACCTTACCACTTATTCATATATTGTAAAAACACAAAGTAGATACTTGAAAAACTGTAAAGAAAAATTTTAAATCTTAACCAAAACAAATGCTTAATTTTAAGAGATTTTGCTGAAAAGTATCAATATATTGTTCAAGATAAGGTTCAAAGTTATCACTGGAACAAAAGTCAATGATCACTTTTTACAATTACACTTTATTTTATAGAGAAAAAAAAATCTCAAACATAAATCTTTTTGTTACCTTTCAGAAGATGTTGATCATGACACAGGATTTATTTACAAGACTTTATTATGTGGTTGTGCAGCACAATTTAAAATTTTTGAAACTTTATCAATCTTTGTTATCACAGTAAAGACTTTGATTTAAATGCTGAATTTTGAATGAAAATGGGTACTTGAATGTTGAATGGCTATTTTTTGCTACCAGTCATTGTAAATCCCCCTGTGATGGTATTGGTGGGACTGTTAAAAGAGTAGTATGTCAAGAAAGTCTAAAACAAATAACTACTGGGCAGATTTTTGATGTTAATTTGATGTACTCCTTTTGTAAAGCAAAAATAAATGGAATTAAAATTATTTTCTAAAGATGAAATCAACCAAACACGAGCACAATTAGAAAAAAAATATTTAGGTGGAAGAACAGTTCCTGGCACAAATATGTATAGTCATTTTATTTCAATTGCTTCAAACACTATAAGTTATAAAAAAACAAGTATTGATACATGCATTGAAATATTTGATATCATTCCAAAAAGCAAACATAATAAAGAGATTTCATTAAACATTAAAAAAATAAATTGCATGTTTTTATGACGGATTTTGGTGGGTAGGGATTGCTGAATATGTAAGTGAGCTTGATATAAAAATCAGATTCATGCATCCACATGGAACAGGTAAAAACTTCTTTTAGCCAATGAGAAATAACGAGTGTTAGGGGCTCAATTCTGAAGTTATATGCCTAATTTCTACACCCATAACAATATCAGGTTGTACATACAACATATCTGGTTTAGATTTGGAGAATATAAGCAATTGGTTACAAAAAAAAATTACATACATTGAAAATAATTTTTTTGTAATTTTATTTACCTATTTTGCATAATTAGTTTGTCTTTCTATGTTTTAAAAAATATTTCAATATCTTTTGTTTTAAAACTTATGATTTTTGAAATTGTGAAAAGATCACACTTTTGAGTGCTTACTTTGAAATAAGAGGTAAGTATTTAACAATTTGAAATAATGAAAATAAGTTGCTTCTCAAACTTAAACTAAAAAAAAAAAATTATGTTTTTAAATTGAACTTTAATAATTTTTTATTATTGAATCATTTTATGCATATATAAAAAAAAATTCCTTGGAGATTGGGGGAGGGGGGGAGAGGGTGCAGTTGGTCAGAGGCCCCACTGGCCCTCTCTTGACCCAAAACTATAAATGTCCTTAACTAGTCAATAACTAACACTATTTGATGTTTTAAAAAACATTTAAATTGTTTTCGTTACAAAATTTAAATTTTTGTAAAAAGACAATTTTTAAATGTAAATTTTGATCAAATATTAGAGACAATTAATGAATCTGATTTTTTTCAGTAGACATAAGATAAAATATTGATATTGATATACAACTAAACTTTTTACTCTGGATTTTCGGCCACAGTCTTCATTTTACCTCCAAAAATCATGAATTTACAAGTCAATAATTTTGAACAAAATTGAATAAAAAATATATTTCCTGACATCAATCGAGGGTGCTATTTTTGGATTTCTCAAGTAAAAATCTATTAGGGGACCAAATTTTAGAAAATTTCCCCAAGCCATTATGAAGATACTATATGTCAAAGTTGCTTGAGTCAGCATTATTTCAACTGACAATTTTTCTGGAACCCATGTGCATTTTTCACTAAAATTTTTGCAGTTATTATTTTTTTAATATGAACTGCAAGTGAGGTAAAAATGAAGACATAAGGGTGTCAAAAATGCTTTTTTTTTTTTAAATAATTCCATATGAAATTACACTTCTTTTACTATAGTGTTTCAAGATAATTTTGAAGTAAATTATTGTATCTAGTTTTCATAAACTTTTCTTTGCACTTTTTACTATTTGATTTTGTATTCTTTGTAAAAAAAAAAAAAAAAAACTGTAATCTTTAAAGTTTTGGTAATAACATTGTAACTGAGTCAGTGTGACTAAGGTGTTACTTTTCTATTAAACTACTAAACCTTTTCTTACCTTTGCTGTTTGGATTAAATATCTTAAACAACTCCAGACAAAATTGTTTTAAATTTTTTTCAATTAAAGGTAGAAGAACTTGCTGCAAACTCTATAAAAAAAGTTTATCAGATTTTAATTTGAGATATAAGCAATATATACATATATACATATATATATATATATATACATATATATATATATATATATATATATATATATATATATATATATATATATATATATATATATATATATATATATATATATATATATATATATATATATATATATATATATATATATATATATATATATATATATATATATATATATATATATATATATATATATATACTTTCTGATGAACCTGCTGGAAGTGAAACAGACCATAGACAATGTTTAGATGTTCTTTAAGAACATTGAGCACTTGATTTGTAGATTACACTAATTTATGCGATAGTAGTGTAATGGTAGAGTGCTTGCCTCATAAGCTAGAAGTTCTGAATTTGATTCCCACCACATCACAGTAGGAAAAAAACAAATAATTTAGCAAGAAAATCAAACACAAAAATAAACCTGGTGTATTTCTTTTTTTTTTTCACTTTCTTCAGTGAAATCATTTTCTGAAAGACCAAACAACTGAGTATCTCTATTATGTTTACCATTTTTTATAAGAGAGATGTTTGTAAAATTTCTGGCTTGAACAGCTCCTAACCTTTCACTAGCCATTCTGAAAAACTAAATTTTAAATATAATTACCAACTGTTAATTCAAAAATTTTTATTTAAATTTCTACTAATTAATTACTTTAGTAATTTTATCTAATTAAATTATTTATCTCTTATAAAAATACTTTTGTTATAAAAATATTTTTTAAAGTTATAAAAAAATTTTTTCAAAATTATTATGTATACAATTACGGTACACTTCTTGTACCAATTTATTAATATTAAAATATCAAAAAAAAAAAAAAAAAAAAAAAGGGCTAAACCTTCTTTTCTTCAGAAGAAGTAAAGTTTCCATCTGAGTAACCATAGAAGTTTTTTAAAAGAATATCTTGAAGTTGATTATACAGAAGAAGTTGCTGAAAGTATGTTGTTTTCACATTGTATAATGCTTTTTTTGCCTAAATACAAATATTTCAAATTCGATTAGCATATATAAATTCTATGATAAATAAGTAATAAAATAAAAACCTGCCACCTCAACTACCACTTCTTACAGGTGGTAGTTGTGGTGGTAGGTCCAACAAAAACAGTTCGGGACAACTATGTTAAAAAAATTAGTCAAATTTTTGTTAGTGAAGGTAGTGTAGGTGTGGTGGTTGTTAGGAACATTTTTAAGATACGGTAATGGTGCAGTGGAGCACTCACTATGTAACAAAAATTTGACCAATTTTTTTAACAAGTTTATTTTAAAAATTGTTAAAACAAGTTTGATTCCAACATTTTTTTGAAAATTTTGAAAACAAAAAAATGTGCAATTTTTATGCTTTTTTTGTAAATTCAGAAAATTTTCATACTAAAATAAAAAATAATAAATATGCAAATTTTTATTTTTCATACTAAAATAATATATGCAAATTTTTATTTTTTACAAGTACATCTATAAAGACAATCGAGTTTTCTTGTTCTTTTTTCATTGATAATTTTAACTTTTTATGTTGTTTAATAAGATATTTTAATAAAATGTTTACTACAAATAGAGTGCATAATAATTTTTATTTAAAAGATCTGCTTCCTAAGTTACTTAAATCTCATGCTTACAAATTTTCTTGGGCTAACTGGCCAGTTATTTTGAAGAGACTTTTAGAAATTTTCTTGGGCTGGCTGGCCAGTTATTTTGGAGAAACCTTTAGACCACTAGACATCTAGTATAAATAAGCACCTTGAAACTGGTAAAAAATCCTATGTATATAAACATAAGGTGCATGTATATAAACATAAAATGCATGTATATAAAAACAAAGTGCATGTATATAAACATAAGGTGCATTAATGATATATATAAGAAAAAAAATGATGAATTATTGAACTTGAGTAAGAATCAAATTTCATGGAATATTTACATAAATACATGTTGTTTCTTAATTATGTTGATATTTTAAGTAATAAACTTTTCTATAGTATTTCTATAGTATGAGAATATATGTGTTTAAGTTAAATTATCAACATTAGAAATGTTCAGGTTAAATATTCATGCTAAATAGGAGAGTCTCTTTCTTATTTAGCATATAATCCATTCATGAAATTTTCTTTTTAGTAAACCACGACTTTTGTGATCAATAGTAAGAAAAGGTAAAATAGTAACAAAAATGCCTAAAGTAAAGTGTGATATAATATAATATAATAGATTAAAACAACCTTCTTAAAAAAGTTTTCCTAACAAAAGTCTCTATAGCAACAACCTCCCTGGTTCAATAATAACAATATAGTAATAAATTAACCTCATCTAACTCTTCTTGAAGCGATAATGATGCTCCAGATTCATCTACATATTTTGAAAGTTTTTTGCAGAGCTGATTGAGTCCAGGGTACAAGTCGCCAGGTATTTGGTCAAACATATGATAGATATATATCTCATCATTATTAAATATAAAACTTATTAAATAAAATTAAATGAAAAAAGAAATAAAGTGTATAATGCAAAATTTCCAAATGTCATTTTATGAAGTAAATTTGGTTTATAACATGTTGTAGTTTCAGAAAAACCTTTAAAATTGACAAATAAAGAAGACACAAGCTTTAAAAATAAAGACACCAAATAATATTTACAATAACAAAAAACAGTTAGTCTCTGTTAATCTTGTTAATCAAAATTTTTGTCAAACAAAATTAATTAGCTGAAAATCAGGTGGTGAAAAAAGGAAGAGTGTCAAAACTTTTTTTACCAGGAAATGCACATTTTTCTCATATTTTTATTTTATAAGTTTATAATAAATGTTGTCTTTTATTTTAATCACAAAAGAAAACTAGAAAAAGAACCACCAAAACCTTGAACATGCAAGAATAAATTCTTTGAAATATTTAATATATGAATTTATGAGAACTTTTATTTGGTTTTAAATAAAATAAAAGAATTAGATTTTTTTTAAGCACTTTTTCTAGTTTCAAATTTCACATTTATTTTCTTTACACACTTGAACTACTTTTTTTATTTTTTATTAACTAAATTTATTATTTAAATAAATTAGAAAATATATAAATTGATTATATATATATATATATATATATATATATATATATATATATATATATATATATATATATATATATATATATATATATATATATATATATATACATAGGGCTGCCAAAAGGGCAGCGTAAAATCTATAAAGCAAAAAGAGAAAAAACATTAAAACGTTAAAATTTTGAAAACAAAATGTTACATATTGTTACATAATATGTTATGCCTTGTTTACATCTAATAAGTATTTTTTTTAAGTTCTTAAATTCTTAAATAATCGATTATGTAAATCTTTTGATTTTTAATCATTTGAAAGAATTAAGTTACATTTAAATATTTATCATGCAAAATATTTGATAAATTAAATAAAAAATACATTTAAACATTTATCATGCAAAATATTTGCTTAAGTAAATAAAAATTTAATAAAATGTGTTTAATAAGTAAATAACTAGAAAATAAATTAGTTAGAAAAGTACACAGCTTGCATTGCAACATTGTAATGTTAATCATAATCAAAATGAGGAAAAAACTAGTAAAAGTTTTTTAAACATGAAAGATCAGTAACATAAAAGAAAAAAATTTTCTTTTATGTTACTGATTTAAAATGTTTTCTGTAAACATTTTAAATCAGTTCTGATCTGCGAAACAAGGAAGAAAAAAAAAGTGGCATTAACTATTTAACTATAATTATATTTTTATTTAAAAAATCAAAATCAAAAAGAAAACCATTCAAACCAAACATGTGTGGAGTCATGTAGGTTAATATATTGGTGTAGATGTATGTAACATTAATCATGTAGGTTCATAAATCAAATTTATTTTTTTAATTCTTGATAAGTATAAAAATACTTGTCTTAGATTGGTAATTTTATTAAAAACTTTACAAATAAACACACCTCTCTGGATCCGTATTAAAAATATACAGAGTTTCAACATAACAAATTTAATAACACTGGTCAATATGTTACAATACAAAAGATTGTGTTCAATTTATGTTTATGCCTTCACAACAGAAATTGTTCAAACCAATGAAATAAAAAGTCCTCATACACATGTTTGTTATTTCCCTTTTGTATATACTATGCATATTGTTTGAAAATTTGTTATGCATAATTATTAAAATTATACATAACTATTAAAATTAGTGCGTAATTATTAAAATTAGTGCATATTTATATAATACTGAATAAATAATTTTATTAACAGTTTGTTTATTTAAAATTTTTTTAGTATTATAACACAAAATGAAAATGTTTGAATTTTTATAACAAAGAAAATTTATAAGAAACAAAAAATTCTACAAAAAATGTAAAAAAAAAATCATTTATAATTTAACAACAATATTAAGCAAAAAATTTCTTGTCATGAAAAAAAAATATATTAAAAGTTTTTTACATCATTTACTTCAAATTGAAAGTCAAAAAAAAAAAAAACATTTTATGACAAAAAGATTTTCTAACAGATTTTTTTGAATACATGAGTAATAACAATCAAATATAAATAGAAGAATTTCTAAAAATATTTCTAAGGGAGAATAATTTGATATAAATTTTAAAAAAATACATTCTATAAAATAAACTCATTAAAGCATTAAAAATTATGATGTATCTGTTTTAGATTTATTTGTAACTTTAGTCCCAGATATATGTGAATTTTGTATCATATTGAAGTGATTCTGCAGTTCAGCAAAGTCTATATTTTTAAAAGTCTTGTTAATAACAACATCTTTATTTTCTTTTGATAAATTTCTAAAAAAAAAATATAACTGTCATATTATATCTCTATAACATACATACATATATACATACATACATACAGATAAATTTTGCTGTAAATTTTAATTTTTATACAAATTTTCAAGTTCATAAATTCAACTATGACTATATTAATAGAATTTTTATGTGTTTAATAGGATTACAAAACACATTTACACACTTTAATAGGATTACAAAATACATTTACACACTTTAATAGGATTACAAAATACATTTACACACTTTAATAGGATTACAAAGTACATTTACACACTTTAGCTTTTTAAAGTTTAGTTTTATTAATAACTAAGTGTGCTTACACTTTGAACACGCGAACAAAAATTTTTTTTTTTGTAAAAATAAGATATTTTATTACTTACGTATCTTTAAAAGCAGGAGGAAGCTGATGAACATTTGGTACACAATCTAGCCGGTTCCGTAGAAGTGTAAATGCTGAGCTTTGAGGCAATAACATAAGAAGCCCATATAATGCTTTGAGCAAATAATAATTTTTGTCTGTTTCTAGCAATTGAAGACGCAGGACTATAAAAATTAACAGAAATAAAATTATGGTTCCTATGCTCCAAGATGCCATAGAAATTTATATTGGCATCTTGAAACATTATAGGTGCTATTGATAAAAAACAGCTATAATAAGTGCATAATACAGAACAAATGTATAATATAAAACATATGCACATAAAAGAGCAAATGCATAATACAAAACAAGTGTATAATACAAAACAAGTACATAATACAGAACAAATGTATAACATAGAAAAAATTTATAATACAGAACAAGTGTATGGTATAGAACAAATTTATTTTTTATTTGTATTTATTTGATTTATTTAAATCTAAAGAAAAAATAGGGATACAGTTATGATCTAATATATTCCAACATAACACATTTATTTGCATCTATAGAAAAAATGGTGATACATGCACTTTATATACATTATATCTTATCTATATTGCATGTAAAGAAAAAATGATGTCATGATCTAATTACTCCAAACACCATAAAAAATGGTTTTAAATGATGGTAAAGGTGGTAGATTAAAAATGATGTTAGAAATTGCGCTTTTGAAAACTAGATTTAAAGTTGATAACGTTGTTTAAAACTTTTTTGGGTGATAAAAATCTCAAACTGTATTATATATCATTTAAGAAATTCACAATTAATGGTCACAAATAATGCAGTAAAATCCAATAAATTCAAGGCTTCTTTTTATTTATCAGGAATTGATTCTGAATAGGAACTTAGTTTAGATTCTTCAGATGATGAAAATTTACCTAATAGATTCAGTCATTCTACTAAATCTAAAATAATGATCAGTGGTGAAGTGGTGAAGATCTGGTAGACTATACTGCTGCAGTTTCTGCCTGATACTGCTACAGTTTCTGCTGGATGGTAGACTGTACTATTAAAGTGTCTGCGCGTAGGTATACACCCACAAACTTCATTAGTAGCCCCTATATGCAATAAAGCTAGTAAAAGCTCTAGATATCTAAGTAGGTATTAATCTACCAAGAAGTACAGTCCATAGAAAAAGATTCAAGAAGATTGAGATATTAGGAGATAAGCTCAGGCAAGAAAATATAACTATTCTGAAGGGAAAAACGCTATGTGTTCATTTTGATGGAAAAAAGGATAAAACAGATTAAAGAATATCTAAAAATAACTGTTTCTGTAGAAAGAATAGCGATGAGGGTGATTACAGGAAACTATGCGTGCTTTTTGTTTTCTATTTGGAAGAAAAAGTACCTGGACTGTGTTTTCATCAACCTGGAGCCTGGCATGAAGCTAGATATAGTATATTGAAGAAAAAAAAAGCGAAAGTATAACAAACAACAACTAAATAAAAAATATAATAAACAAATATTAATAGTGACAAAACCTTACTCTTTAGTTTTATAGATGATGCTTTATACATACACTTTATACATTCTGAGAATAACTGATAAGATCACCATGAGTGAAAAAGATGAGATATATGAGAGAAAAAGATGATAGAGACAGCAGCCTTTATTACACCTGTCTGGTATGCACCTTGGTTTCTAAAGATGTATTCGGTTGCAAATTCAGCCTCAAATGAACTTGCTGCTTTAAAGAATTCTTTTTGCATCAAAGAAAAATTTCCTAACCTTGGTTCAGCATTGGTTGCTAGTATGCAAAGACATAATTGGTATTTGACTGAGCAGTTGGTGCTGCTATCTTTAGCTGATGAAGATGTAAAGCAGGAAGTGAAAAAAGAGATGTTGGATAGATTAGTTCAGTATGATGGTCCTAAAAAGTTCAAGATTGTAAAACCTGAGCTACCAATCATATGGAATCCACTGAGCTTTAAGTACTGGTAGGTCTAGAAAGTTGGCTTCTGTTAATAATTGCAGTCCCTGATGGTAAAATAGAGCTTTGATGCAAGTCCCTGATGGTGAAATAGAGCTGTGGAGGACAAAAAAAGCCCCAAAGCTATTACATTTACTAAAAAAATTTGTTAAAAATTTGACTTGCATCAAAGATTGTGCATAAAGAAAAATACGCCTTATTCAGGGATTTATTGATGGATATAAATCTGACAACAAAATTTAATGCTGGTGGCCAGGAACAATAGAAAGAAGTTTCAAAAAGATCTTTTCAAGCCCCAGCTAAAAAATATATAATTTATTATTCTTGAAATACACATTTTTGATATAAGTTTTTGTATTTTTATTAGGAAAATGTGTAAAATTTTGGTTTGAAACAAAAAATGGAATTTTAGACATTGAAAAAATGTAGTCCGCCACATTTTTTTAATGTCTAAAATTGTGAAATTGTGGTTTGCTAATGTTTTTTATATATGTTTGCAATCAGGGAACACTAGAGAATGGGAAACAATTGCGTGCACATAAAAATTAAAAAAAAAAAGATAAATTTGGGACACCCTAGTGTATAATACAGGCAATACACAAATAACATACAACATAACAATTTTAACTACTTAGGCAATTATTATCAGAATATTTTTCATAAAATCCTTTTGATACTTACGTCTAAATATAAGAGATTCTATCATTTATCATAAAATACTATTCTTTTAGATACTTACATGTAAATATAGGAGATTCTATCATTTGGATAAGTTTATCAATTTGCGAAAGAAAGTCAGCATTTACTTCTAGACTACCACTAAAATGTTAAAAACTTGAAAATACAAAAACATATATAAAAAATAAAACTAAAAGGTAAAAAGGTAAAAAGTAGATGTGCCATTAAAACTTATTTTAAAATTGGAATAAAATTATCAAAATAAAAAAGATATAGAATTATTTTGGTTGACTTTATAAATTATGTATAACTTTAATCAATTTTTAACTTATGTTTCCATAAGAAAACATGCAAGTAATGCAACCGTTAGTCTAAGATTTTGCTGATTTTTACACCACTCAAAGATTTTAAAAAGTTATAAACATCCCCATCTAATTATAAAATGGTTTCAAAGATATAACTATTTAAACTTGGCCATCAACCAACAAAAATCCATTATTTTAAAAAATGGTTTCGGTCTTTGTTTCTGTTCTGTGTGCAATGAAAAGCTGAAAATATGTACATATTTTGAAGCAAGAATTTCCAATAAAACAACCTTAAATATATTGGAATAAACATAACACTTGTTATTTTGACCTTTATCACAATTTTACTGGGGTGATTTTATCTACAAAAATACCGATGTAGCTCGATTTTTTTTTTGATAGTTTTATAAAATCTGATCCTAAATTTCAATTTTATAATAATTTAACTGGGGGTTTGAATTATAAAAATGCAGATGTATAGTCTCAATTTTTTTTTCAAAAGTTATCAAAATGAATTGAATTGTGGTCTTTCCTAAAATGGAAATAAAAGATATTGTCATCATTAGTAGATAAATTTAAAATGGAAATAAAAGATATTGTCATCATTAGTAGATAAATTTAAAATGGAAATAAAAGATATTGTCATCATTAGTAAATAAATTTTAATGAGGAAAATTATAATCATAATCTGACTTATGTTTCTAAATATTTTATCAAATTTTTTGATTACTAAACTAATTTTAATGAATAATTAAAATTAGTTTAGTAATAAACAGTTATTTTTTATTTGACCAGTGGCCAACAATTGGTTGATACAATTATTGGTAAAAAATATCAATATTTAACAAAGTTGTTTAATCGCTTTCTGCATTTTATTATATTTTCACTTTCAACATACGCCCTACAACAAGTTTTATATGATCGAGCACTTATTATTTAACTTAATTTAGCATTTAATAGTTTATCAAACTGAGCCTAAAAGGTAATTCATGGTCAAAATTCTGGTTATAAATTACCTTAGCAATTTATAAAAAAAATTTGATGTTTTCACATGTAATTGCTTTTATTAGCCAAAAAGAAAACTTAACAACACACATTTGTAGAATACCTATTTATTTTGTATTCAAAGTTGTTTTAATTAAAAATTAAAACTTGGAATACACTGATATGTTAATGTAATGGTTAAATTATAAATTTATTGGGTGGTTGATTTTATTGATAGAGAACATTGATTACTCTCAGGATGCTTTGTTGCTCTCAGGATGCTTTATTGCTCTCAGGAGGCAACCATGTTGCAAAAATATATTGCATTATATTATACTTAACATATAAGCAAAAAAAAAAAAATGTATCATTTGAGAAAAAAACTAATTTAAAAACATTTTTAATAAATATTTTATAAATTTTAAATATTTCTAAACTTTTTCAGCTCTTTCAAATTTGATAGTGTTTTCATTTCATAAAACAAAAAGTTTCAAGTTATTTAACATAAAATTATTTGCATGATTTCTGCTTTGAAAATGATTGCAGCATAAGTTTAGTACTGTAGCATCACTGATAAAAAAACATCACTGATAAAAAAACTTTAGGTAAAGATTTTTAAATGAGTTGACAGTTTTTAATTAACTGCAAGCAACACTGATAAATTGTTACAACTGCAAGCAACACTGATAAAATGAGCAGAGCCAAATATTGAGAAGATAAAGCCATTACTTTGACTAATATACAGAAAACGTGTTAAATTAACAGCTAAAAAGAAAAACACAAAGATTGGCAAATATATATATATATGAAATTATTATAATAATTAGAGTTATAATAATTAGAAAAAACAGATTAAAAGTTATATTGATCATAACATTGTTAACAGAAAAAAAACAGAAGAAAAAACATATGATAGAACTACTTTCAACGCTATACAAAATAATTGAGTATAATTAAATAAACAATTAAGATACAGTTTTATTTTAAACTTTAATTTATTAACACAGAAATGTGTGAAAAACTATGAATAAAATCAATAGCTCCTGATTTCTCTTATTTCATATTTCAACTCCTGATTTGGAGTTTCTTTTTTGCTAATATTTTAAAAAGAAAAAACTTTAATTTAAGTTACAATTTAAATTTGAAATTCATTTTTTTTTTAATTATTTTAATGAAAAACTCAAAAATATTTAAATGGTACAAGGTATGATAACTAGTTTGTACCATGCTTCAGTCGATGGCTTCAGGAAGCTCAAAGTTACTATTTACTAATATACAAATAACATTTTGTACGAATTAATTTTTTTTAAATTGTGACAACACATGTAAAACTCACAATATAACTCACAATTTCAATAAAAGATCACAAGCATGTTCATATGTTTGTGCAAGAAAACACAATGATACCGTGGCAACTGGATTATGACACCAACAACGATATAGACATGTAAATAAAATACAGCTATCCTATAAAAATAAATTACTAGAAATTATTACAAAGAATCAAAATAAATATTGCATAAAAATAGTGATTTATTATATATAGAATAAATTCAAATATAAAAATAATTATAAAGTATATAAATATCTAAAAATTTTCTATGGAACTTTTTTTTTTTTGTCTAACAGCATTCTAACATATTCTTATTTTTTAATGACCAAAATTTTTGAAATTAAATTACATTTACAGGGTCATTTTAAAAAAAAAATTTAGACAGCAGTAACTCAATGCCATAATTATGAGATCCTTTCTTAACTTATGTTTAGGAACAGGTGATTTTTCTTAAAGTTGTGTACCAAACCAAATATTTTTTTTAGTTGCATAATAGTTCAACCACGTTATTTCCCAATTTCATCAACGTGATTAGAAAAGCCATAAAACTGTATGCGAATCCACTGAAGGTTTTATTTGTGATAATTATTGTTTTTGTATTTAAGGTAGACTTTGTTAATTAAAACAATTAAAATTAATAAAACACCAATTTTTATTTTTATTAAAATTTTATTTTTTTAATTTAAATTCCCTATGTACATTTTTATTTACCAAAAGTTTAAAATAATTAAATGTTTTTAAATCAGTTTTAGAATGAAAACATTCATTTTATAGTCTTTCGCAAGGTAAAAACTACACCCTCATACCTCAAAGTGAAAAAAACTACACCCTCATACCTCAATGTGATAAAAAAACAGGTCATAAATAACCATGTGGTTATTTATTTTTACATTGAGGTATGACAGTGTTTTTTTTTCACATTGAGGTATGTTTGGGTGTGGCCTAAATAATATTTTTCAAGTCATTTAAACCATAATATAAAGTATTACAAAAGACTTTTTTTTATCTATTTTAACCATTTTTTGTTTCCATCATTTGATTTTTCAAAAATTTGCTTTAAAGAACTCTGCTTACAATACAATAACTCTGCTAATAAATGACCATTATGAACTACCCTTTTCCAGGTAAAAAAGCAACGATTGATGTTTTTTCTTTAAATCATCTTTTTTAAGCATATAAATAAATCTTTAGTGTGGTAGTCAAAAGCTTTAGTAAATATAAAGTTTTACTGTAATATACATACTACTTATGAAGTAAATATAAAAAGTATATACATATATTTATGAAGTTTTTCTATTTATGATAAAATCACTTTATGATAAAATTCTATTTATGATAAATTGAAACTCTATTTATGATAAAATCACTTAGGAATCATTTATTGTTAACATGGTTATTTTTACATTGAACCTTTAAAAAATTCAATTATATATATTATACCTCATTATCCAAATCTTTTAACATTTGTCTAAGTTGAAACAATTCACTTGATGTTAGTAATATCATATTCAAATGATTCACAATAAGTGATGCAAATTGTAAATCTTCTTTTTCTTGTTGTAAAATTTCAGAAAGTGCACAATAAATGTTCTGTGCATTCAACAGTAAACACAAATGCCTAAAATAAATTTTTTTATAAAGTATGTAACTTTAACTAAATCAAATAATTATTTATATCCTAACATATGGTTGATTGTTATATTTCCAAGATGCTAATATATGGTATTATAGTATGTCATCACTCCTTTGTGATGTGTCATCACAAAGGAGTGATGACACATCTAATGAGGGTTTGAGATAAAGCAGCAATCTTTTTTTTATAATTTTTTCCTTCTTTTACTGAAAAAAAAAGAAGCAATCTGCTATAAAGATAAGCAAAACTAGTATCTGCTGATCTAAATATGCTATAGTATACATACATACATATATAATTTTTGTTGATTGCTGATACTAATTCAAGTAAAAATTGATACCTGATTATAAAAGGCCCTCTATTTTCAAGAAGTTGTCTATCTGAGTTAAATATCCTTAGCAAATTTGTCATGAACTTTGTAAAATATGTATTTAGAAAGTTTTGCTGAGGTGTAGGTTTATCAGAGATTTCATATGCCACACCTGTAGGTTTTCTTGGACTACCTGCAGATGATGCTGAGATGTCAGCTAATACTTCCAAATCAAGTAACACAACCTAAAAAAGAAATAATTTTTTTAAAATTTTCATCTTTTTTTAAAGTTATAAATATATATATATATAATAATAACAAAAATAATGTTTCGGTAGATTCATTACAAATGTAGAACAAGTATATATTATATTAGAATAATAATTAATTAGAATAATAAAAGAATAATAAAATAAATAGTTAATAGAAATAATTAATAGTAAACAATTAATAGAAATAATTTAATAATTAATAGAAATAATTAATAGTAAAGAATAATAATTAATTAGAAAAATAAATACAATTCAATTTGAAACATAACCCGGAATTTCACGGTTTATGTGATCATCAGACATTACAAACAACCACTATTTATGCAATCATCAGATGCTACTAACCATGTTAGGTTAGTAGCATCTGATGATTGCATAAATAGTGAAACTCCGAGTTATGTTTCAAACTGAATTGTAAATATTATATATATATATATATATATATATATATATATATATATATATATATATATATATATATATATATACTATATATATATATATATATATATATATATATATATATATATATATATATATATATATATATATATATATATATATATATATATATATATATATATATATATATATATATATATATATATAATGCTGTAAATATTCATTTATGTGATATTTTAAACTTTATGTATATTGTTATCACAATGAAATTTTTAATATCTTTCTTGTCATATAAAATGATATTGTTTTCAAATAATTCAATTAAAAAACAGCATTTTTACTAACGACATCCTTTTTTAAGTATAATAACATAAAAAAGTTGAAATACTATACAATTTAAAATATCACATAAATGTGGTATTTTAAATAGTATAAAAATATCATTTAAATCATTTATGTTTTGTTATCGTATCATAATGAATTTCTCATATAAAATGATGTGAATATTTAGTGTTTTTAACTACATTTATTTCAATTTACATACTTAAAAATGTTGTTTTTCAATTTGATTTCATATTTTTAATGACTTCATATTTGAAATCAATAAAAATAATTTCGATACCCATTATGCCTCTGGTAGTACTGCACTCAACTTGTTCGCTGAGGTTCATGTTTCAGAATTACAGAGTTGAGAGAGGGATGTAACCACAAAAAAAAAAAAAAAAAGCAGCCTCCTTGACAGTAGTGGCCTTCTCGACCTTGGGGTAGCAAATAATTAAAAATATATATGTATATATATATATATATATATATATATATATATATATATATATATATATATATATATATATATATAATTTAAGAGCTTTTTTCTTCTACAAAGTAAAAAGCTCTTAAATTTTAAATTTAAGAGCTTTTTACTTTGTAGAATAATTTAATTTTAAGAGCTTTTTACTTTGTAGATAATTTTAAATTTAAGAGCTTTTTACTTTGTAGATAATTTTAAATTTACTTTTTACTCATGGTTTGCTACAACACTCATAGTTTGCATTTTTTATATTTTCTTATGTATAAAAAAAAAATTGAGTTTTTTGGCGCTTTTATGAAGCCAACAATTTAAAATTATTTTTTAATAGATATTAATAAGCTTAATAAACAAGGCAAAACCACAAGTTAAACACAGTACTTCCAGGTGCTTCAAGAACCATGATGGTATAAAAAATAAAAATGTTACCAGTGGTAAAATTAAATATTACTAGTAGAAACATATACTTTTACCACTGATAACATTTATATTTTTTAATTAAAAAACAGTAAAATGTTACCAGTATACAAACATTACCAGTAGTAACATGCAGTAGTGGTGTAGTGGCTAGAGCGCTCACTTTGTAAGCGTGAGGTTCGGAGTTCGACTCCCACCATGTCCCTGGAAGTACCGCTCTCAACTTAATTTCTCCGTGCAGCGGCCTTGCTTGTCAAGGTTCGTGTTTCGGAGTTAAAGAGTTGAGAGAGGGTTGAACCACAATTTACACAAAAATAAAAAATAAAAAAAAAAAATAAAATAAAAAAAAATGAGTAGCCTCCTCCACTGTAGTGGCCTCCTCGGGCCTTGGGGAGGTGAATAATTTAAAAAAAAAAAAAAAAGTATACAAATATTACCTATAGTAAACAGTAATACATAAGCTGTAAGCTTATAATAGTTTAAAGTTTTTAAAATTTTTCTAACTTAACTCAAATACTAATGTAACATAAACTGAAAGAATTTTTTGACTAAAATAATAACAAAAACAAAAATAAAAGCAAAACAAACCTCATCCAAAATAAAAAAAAAATAAAAACAAACCTCATCAGAAATAAAAATATAAACAAACCTCATCAGAAGGATCTGAAAGTGTCTTTATTAAAGCAGGAAACAACTGCTCAATATGACGGAAAAGCTGTAGAAAGAATTAAAAAAAGTAAACAACTTTATATTAATTATTTCATTATTCATAAAACCAAAAAATTTAAAAATGTACTGTTATATGACATCTGCAATATATATTTTTGATTATATATTGGTGATTTTTAAATTGAATTTTGATCAAGAAACACTATAGATATTATTATATCATCATTATAAATATATTTTCCATTTGAAATAAGATTTATAAAGCTAAGTTTGATGTTTCTAATCTTGATTTCTTAACTTAATCTTGAACTTCTAAGTTTGATGATTCTAACCAAACTGTATAGTTTGTGTACTAAGGAAATTTAAATTTAAACTGATATGTTGTATCAACCAAAAATGTGCTTTATCCAAAAGTTTATCAATTATCTCAAAATAGTGCATTATAAATTATAAAGTAGAAAAAAAATTGTACTCATAAACATATTAACTTGCAACTACTAAAGAATATATATAGATATATGTAGATATTAGCCAACTTTTGTTGCTTACTTTATTCCATAAAGCTTTTTCATAAAAGACGAAAAAACAAAGAATCATGAAAAAAATGATTGTTGCCCCAACCTAAACCCTTAGTTGATGTAGCACTTCTTGCATGTGATCTCCTATTTAGTATGTACTGAAGCCCCAGGCAGCAGGCTATTTCATTATAACATCAGTCTGCTTATCTAAACACGCAATATAACTTATATATTTTTTTGAATTATAATTTAAATTATTATTTAGTATAATATTATTAAACTATGTCATTACTAAATTCAATTGAATATTTATTTAAATTTCTGTTTCAGTTCACCGATGAGAGAATTATAGAATGATTATGTATGTTTTTTAAGTGTTTTTTGTTGGTTGGCAAATAATAATATTTGCCAATCAACAAAATTCTGTTGATTATACCAAGAACCATGTGCAATGTTTCTTGATATAACCAAGTGTTTTGGATATGTTTGTGTTCATGTTAAAAGATCTAGACTAAGGAAGTTCTTTTTCTTTTTTTGTCTTTAAAGCAAAAAAGCCAAAAGATCTGAATATCTTCAAATTATGAGAATGAGAAAAACAAATTGAGAAGAGAGAACTCCCAAATGCAGAAAAAAAATAAACATAATATTTAATCACCAAGGAAACAATTTGTGAAAAGATGCAAATTAACAGAAGGAACAGATGTAACTTAACAGATGTGACAAAATAATGAGTCATAAGCTACTGAACTTTGTTAGGAGAAACAAAATATAATACCTCATTTAAACAAAACTAAGGTATACCGCATTTGAAAAGAGATTTTCTATATTTGCAGATACAAAACTTAAAAAGCTTTAAAAAGGCTACTGCATCATTAAACTTTAAACTAAAATTAAAAAATTTTTTTTAATGAAACTAAATTAAAATTAAAAAAAAATTAAATTAAAATTAAAAAAAAATCAAAAGTCTTTCATACTACCTAACCAATATTTACAAACCTACCCAAACCAAAAATATGAACATTAAAGCCTATTTTAAATAAAATTTAACATTTGTTATGTTATGTAATGTTGCTTTTTTAATTTTTAGCAGAATTCTTAATTTATTTTGTGGCTTTAATTGTTTTTTATATTCAACAAATAAAAACTCAAACAACTAAAGAATTAAAGAGTAGTTAATCCTCAGTTACTAATGATTGAGGATGTCTTCCTGTGTCTACATCAATGATGGCAACTCTTAGGATGAAATCCAGTGTATCCTCTGTTACAAATGTCTGATTGAGGATGTCATCCTGTGTCTACATCAATGATGGCAACTCTTAGGATGAAATCCAGTGTATCCTCTGTTACAAATGTGTAACTGAGGATGTCTATCAATGACTACTAGCAGGATGATATTCTTGGTTACAAATTTTGTGACTGAGGGATTTCATCCACACCCAATATAATACTACAATAAAATCTGTAATAAAGTCAACACATGTTTAAAACATTGCATGAGGGACATGTACTACATTATTTTTCAATGATTGGTGCTTGAGCACAGGACACATATTTCTACATTTTTAGAAGGTTATTACTTGAATGCTTGTTTTATAATAGTACAGGTTGGTGTAAAAAAAAAGGTTGGTGTTTTTTTCTGTATTTCTGTGTTTCATCTGTATTTTAGTGTTTGAAAATTCAAAGTTAAAATCAACCTTATATTTATTTTTACAAAGCCTTTGCAATGTACCTGCAAGCTATGTGTTAACGTAGGGTATTTTATTATTATCCAATAAATTTAGAAAAAAGTAAAAAAAAAACTTTTAAAATTGTAAACTTGAAAGGTCTGAAAAAAAATGTTTCTACTAAATATTATAAATATGCTAACATAATAATCATTTTTAGTAAATTTATTCAAAGCAATACTTGATCAATGACAAATAAACTGTTACAATTCTGTTGAAGTGTGTCTTGAAAAACAGTTACTATTAAAAATGGCTGCAATATAAAAAAAATACTGAAAACTAAAATATTAATATAATTTACATTATCAAAAAAAAAAAAAATTTAATTTAACCCTATTTGGTGTTTTCATATGCAACTGTAGCACCCATCTTAATACTGCAATTCTTGTGTTTATTTGTTTATGAGAAATTTGTCGTGTAAGCACATCTACAAGACGACCCAAGTCAAGCTGTCCAACTCTCTTTGACGATTGTTCTGTTTCAGTAACATCAATATCATCTTCAGTAGTAATTAACCGCATTAAACCTACAATTATGATAATAACAAACTATAAATATAAATAATACCAAAAATTCCAATAAAAACAAAAAAAATATATTTAGTTATGATAATACTTACACTATATTATATTAAATTATACATATATGTGTGTGTTTGTGTATAAATATATATATATATATATATATATATATATATATATATATATATATATATATATATATATATATATATATATATATATATATATATATATCAAGGGCTACTTGAGACAATTTACGACTGCGTCAACCGTATTTAGGCGCCACCCAAATCAAAATTTGAGGGCTTTTTTTTTTTATTATTATTATTATTTGATTTTTTACATTTTTAAAAAAAGCGTAGATTTTCTGCTACAGTCTGCCGAAATGGAAAGGGGGATACCGCCGCCCAAATTGTTTTTCTAGAATAGACCTTGTATATATATATATATATATATATATATATATATATATATATATATATATATATATATATATATATATACACACACACTAGCGTGCTAAACTCTTTGATCATACTCAATATTGTACCAAAAATTTTTGCTTTCTCATGTAAACATCTTGAATAAATCTAAGAGCAAGATGCCTTAAATTTGTAAATAATAATAATAATATCTATTATAAAATACAAGTTTTATTACTGAATATGCTGCAGACGGGTTTTTTATGTGTAATTACAAAATACAATTTCTAATTTTGTACGCATACTAACAACTTGATATTGAAACTTGTTTTTTGCAAGACTTTTCCATATGTGAGTCAAATTAAAAAAACAAGACGGAATATTCAACTGAGCTTCGTGCAAAAATTCAGATTTTATCTAAAGAAGGGTACTCGTATGATAAAATAGCAAAAAGACTGAAAAAGTCGAGTGTAATATACACATTAACACCATTAAGAACAACAGGAAAGAACTCGACTAAAAAAAAGGCACAGGAAGACGGATATGCACAACAAAGATGGATGATCAAACTTATTGTAGCAACAAACAAACGAAATAGACTTCCAGCCACTATGATTAAAGAAGAATTGAATAAAGAATGAAAAACTTCTATATTAGTTTATACAGTTAAGAGACAACTACATAGATTTGGACTAAATGGTTGTATAGAAAGTTGAAAACCTATTACAGGGTGTAAATGAAAAAAAAACGGTTTAAATGTGCAAAAGATCATAACTCGTGGACATTGGATCAATGGAAGAGAGTTCTTTGGATTGATTATTTAAGACAAAAAAAAAGCAGAGCCTCCACAATCACCTGATATAAACTGTATAGAGAAACTATGGGATGAACTGGACAGAAGAGTAGGCATAATATTCCCAACTAATATAAAGTGTCTCTGTCATCCGCGCTAAAGGTGGTCATATTGGTGAGAGTTAACATTATTATGTTAAAAAATTATTAAATAAAAATATTGTTGAGAAATGTATTAGCAATAAATTGATAAAATAAATGAGGACAAATGTTTTTTTATGACAATTCACACAATGACCATTCTCCTAAACAATGCACGCTATATAATTATATATGTATATTATATATAGACACACACATTCACACATTAGATTTATGACTATATAAATTTTTGTAAAATAATAAATTTCCTGTGCCATAAATTGATTAAGTTTTGCTCCAAAGTAATGAAAATGGGTTTTATTCTGATTAATTTTCAAAAAGGTCACACACAACACAATATTTTTAAAATGGTATATAAGTAGTATTTGCAGGAAGTAGCATTATGACTTTCTGAAACCTAGAATTTTCTGAAACTTTATGAAACTTTCTAGAATATTCTGAATGTTTTTAGAAATCTCTGAAATTTTCTAAAACTTTCTGGAGCCTTCTAGAAGTTTATGGAAATTAGCAAGATTTAGATTATATTAGCTGCCTGATTGATCAATGCTAATAGTTATATATGAATCTGTATTTGTCAGATGGCAGTCAAATAATATAGAAGTTAGGGTGGTCCTTAATTTTCAAAGAATGATTTTTGTATGGGGCACCCCTGAATTTTGTTTATAAGCATGCATACAAAATTCACAAAAAAACTCAGCTTAATCTGAAAATATTTACCACTAGTTAAGTATCATTTGGGGTTCCGTGGCTGCATTTCACAAGTTGTTATGCCGGTGAACTCTTTCACTATACACACCATACTGCCTGCATATTTTATCAATTTGATGTTACTTATTTATTGTTAGGTTTCCCAGAATGCATTTCACCAGCTGTCAGCCATTTTTAATCAGACATTAACGGACAATCACACAATTTAAAAATAATATTTCATTAATCTGAATTAATGCCTAGTATTGACTACTGACTTTCTCAGGGAAAGTTCCATAACAACGGACCTCGTGGATACTGGAACAAAAGTAAGTGTTTTCTCTGTTTATTTTTGCATGAATGGGTTTTGCATTGTTTGCATTATTGCATAACATAAACATTGTCAGTTGGATTACTGGGTTCTATTAGTTTTGGTAGAAATATAATTAATTTGTATAATTAAATTGGATGGTAACAAGTACAATTTATTATTTTGAAGGAGATGGCCAATGCTTGCTGTGGGACTTCGAAACTAACTACAAGACTAGAAACTGAGTTGTGGCTGATAGGCCAAATGTCTGAAATTCTTAGCTTTACAAAGTTACCGTCAAATAAGGAAGTCATGGCACTATTCTTCTATTACAAAGAGGCCACCAAACAAACTGTTCGTAAAGCATCACATTCAACAACTAATGACATTATTGAAGTATGGGCTAAAGCTCGAATCCTGACACGATTGAAGAAACATGGTGTTGAAAAAGTTGAATGTTCCATGAATATGACAAACTGAAGAAAAATAAGGAAAATAAAGCGAAGCGCTCTGAAAGTCTATTGAAGAAGGAAGAAGAATGGAAGGATGGCTTAGAGAGTCTTTTTGACATTGCTCATGCGGATGCCATGAAGATGATTAGCATTCAGGAGGACAGGGAGTTCCTCAGCGTGAGACGGGACGACGTGGTAAGATGGGAAGTGTTGACAAAGCCTTGGCCGAAAGAGAAGAGATGTTCACAACAAAGAAGAAAACTTCAAGAGGAGAAAGGAGAGAGAAGAACAGGACAGAGTGGCCAGAGAGGAGAAAGCTATTCTTCAGACATCCGAAAGCGAACAAGAATCTAGTAATGATGATGAAGCATTTGGTGAGCCATCATCAAGCACAACTTCAAAGAGAGCTAAACGTATACATGGTACACAAAAAATAATGAATGTTAAGTTAGCAGTATGTCTGGATATGGCAAAGGTCAGTGATAGAAATGCTGCACTAGTCCTGACTCCAGCACTGCAGCACCTTGGTAATGACCCAGCAGATTTTAATATCAATCGATCGTCCATTCGAAGAGAAAGGATGAAATGTAGACAAAGAATAGCAGAGAACTTGAAAGCAGAATTCAAGCCAACAGTTCCACTAACAATACACTGGGATGGGAAATTACTGGAAGATATCAGTAGCACAGAAATTGTGGACCGACTCCCAATCCTCGTGTCTGGACTAGGAGTTGACCAACTTCTTTGTGTACCGAAGCTGCCATCTGGAACTGGAGAAGCTTCAGCGACAGCTGTTTATGATGCAACTGTAACGTGGGGCATAACTGATAAAGTCAAGTGCGTGTGCTTCGATACTACTGCCGTTAATAGTGGTCCAAGAAATGGTGCTTGCATCCTACTGGAGCAGAAGCTTGACAAAAATTAGCTCTGGTTTGCTTGTCGCCATCACATTTTAGAAATAGTCTTAGAAATAGAAAGAGGCAACAGTTCCTCCTTCTCTTGGCCCTTCAAAGGGTCCAGACATCATGATTTTTAAAAGATTCAAAAGCAGTTGGGAATTTATTGACCAGTCAAAATTTCAGACATCAAGTTTGAATGACACCGTTTCCAGTGCCATTTCCAGTGTTGCAATTGAAATTATTGCATTTGCTGATAACCAACTGCAACAGTTTCAGCCTCGTGACGATTATCGTGAACTGCTAGAGCTGACAATTATGTTTCTGGGAGGCATTCCATCTCGAGCAGGGTTGCCCAATAAAACCCAAAAAAACCCACCTAAAAAAACCCAATAAAACCCTGGAAAATCTGGGTTTTATTGGGTTTTTTTAAAGATATTTAATAAGTTTATGAACTATTATAACCAACTTTAACATTATAACTATAATATTATTTACTAAAATAATTATTAACTATTATTATTAACTTAATTATTATTAACTATTATTATCAACTATTATAACCAACAATAACAGCTATCAGAGCAGGTTTGCTATTATTTGAATCATTATTTGGAAATACATTATTACAATTTTTATTCAAATATTTTTATCGATTGAGATTTTTATTACTTTATGTTATTCACCTCCTAATTTGAATTTAAATGAGTAGTGGTGACCAGAGAAGCCAACACAACAGTCAAGGAGGCTACCTTGTTGTGGTTACAACCCTCTCTCAACTCTTACGCGGTAGTGGTGTTGTGGTAGAGCGCTCACTTCATAAGTGAGAGGTTCCGAGTTCGATCCCCACCACGTCCCTAGCAGTACCGCGCTCAACTCCTTTCTCCACACAGCGGCCTTGTTCGTCAAGGTTCGTGTTTCGGAGTTATAGAGTTGAGAGAGGGTTATAACCACAAATAAGTAGCCTCCTCGCCTGTAGTGGCCTTAAGCCTTGAGGAGGTGAATTGGTTTTAAAAAAAACAAAAAACTCTTTAACTCCTAAACACGAATCTTTATAAAGAAGGCCGCTGCGCAGAGGAACAAGTTTGTTCATTTGAATTTCAAGTTCAAAGTTTAGTTAAAACTTCAGTTACTACCTCCCATTCTCTAGCCTTCTTTTTCACATTTTCTAATTGATATTTTTAATTATATAGAATAATACTTTTAAATTTAAATTAAATCAATACATATAGATTAGGCGTGAAATTTTTTTTATCTATTACAGTTTTAAATTATATTTAAACATCTTTTTCAAAATAATTTGAAAAATTCTTGTTATAAATAATTAAACAACAATATATATAATATATTTTAAATAAAGTTAAAGTAGAAAAAAACTAATTTTCAATATCATTAAACAAAAACACAAAAAAAATTTTTACAGAGACAAAATAAAAATTAAACCCAAAAAAACCCAAATTTACCCAATAAAACCCAATAAAACCCAAAAAAACCCACTGGGCCGGGTTTTTTAAAAAAACCCGGGTTTTTGCCAACCCTGATCTCGAGGATGCTCATATTCATTGAAAATATGGATGCTGAGAAGCCAATTCAAGATGACAAAGAAAGAAGAGAATGGAATAGCAGACGTGTGTCTTTTCACAGTGACTCTGTATGTAAAAGCTTGGTTTAGAGCACCGTCGGCACCATCTTCGCCTCGTGTTGATCTCGAGCTCATCAAGGAGATCGACAAATACAAGGCACAGAATCGAGTAGTCTCTGAGATCGCAATGAAAAAATTTTTAGGACATTTGTGGTACTTGTCAGAAGAACTGATTGCACTGGCTTTCTTTGACGATGAAGTCTCCGATGATACAAAACGTCTGATGGTCAGTGCCTTGCAAGCACCTGGTGCAGAACACCCTTTGAAGAGGATAACTGTTGATCCTTCGCTATTGAGCTCCAAGAACTTGCAAGACTTTGTCACCGAAAGCAGTCATAGATTCTTCACCATCACTGGTCTACCGTCAACTTTCCTCAACAAAGATGTGAAGCTCTGGTCTGCAGATGCTGACTATCAGTTGGCGAAGAACATTGTCAGCAGTATGAGAGTTGTGAATGACATTGCATAACATGGAGTTGCCTTAATGGACGAATACAACAAGTTGCACACAAACGATGAGGAGCAGAAACAGTTCCTTCTCTTAATTGTAAAGAAGTACCGCCAGCGATTTCCTGATCGAGCAAAGAATACCCTAGCAATGGACTAACTAGACAGTTTTTCTCACTTCGACTGTCTCAACATAGAAGGACAATAATAATTACAATATGTAACAGTTTTTTAACGTGCTTCAATAAAGCAATGCTATTCTCTGTGACAGTTTAAATTTGTCCTGATCATTCATATTGTGCTGAGCAAATAAGCCTCCGGCGGGCACTTTTATTGATACGAACTCTGCGGTAGGGACCCCTAAATTATGTTTTATTTAAATAAAATTTTCAGTACAATCATTTTTTCTTAATAGTCGACCATTTGAGAAGATGCCCCATCAAAAAAAAAAATTTTCATAAACAAGGACCACCTAATAGAAGTACAATAACATTTATATTTATCATTGCTTTCAGAATATATTCAAGTGTTATCTTCTATCCTAATGTGCTTTAAGAAAAACATTTCCACTACTGAAAGAAACAATCTGAAGAAGAATCTTGAACAATTTTATGAGTCACATAAGAAAAAAAGAACTGTTCCACTGAAGAAAAAAGAACTGTTCCACTAGAAGAATGACCACTGGAAGATAACAGCGAGATACAACTCAAAATCAATTATTAGTCGCTATCTGTACCTAGGATAAACCATCAAAGGGAGACAAGAGTGCATAAAACAATTGAGAAAAAAGTAACAAGTTTATGGCAAGAAATTTATTATGAATTCAAGTCGTATAGGCAAAACTGGATCAAGAGCAGGCCTTGTTAAGAAGTGTTATGCAGCTTACATTTTACATACAATATGGTAATTTGCATACACGTTTAGCAGTTTTATGTTAAGCAAAAACATTTTTATTTTGGAATATATAAATTATCTTTTAATATCATGTTACAATGTCAAATGTTACACCAATTTTTAAAAAAGGCTCTAGACATTTAGTTTAAAACTAGAGACCATTCTCTTTAACATCAACTCCTGGAAAAGTAATAGAAGTAATTATTCAGGAGGTTATTATGCATCAATATGATTGCCACGTTGTGAAAAGAAACACAGCCAGAGTTAATGTTATTCAAAATGTAATAACATGAACATTATGGTTTCCATTTGTAGCTTTTGCTAGTCTTGGATTTTGAAAATAACGTTTAATTTTTTATTAATGTACTATGTACATAAACAATTTTGGGTACTGCACAGGAATGCTGATACTATTCCTTCAAGTCTTTTTTGTAAAATAACTTGTTCAGAAAATATCTAACTATTTATGTGACATTTATTCAGAAAATAATGAGTTAGGCAAAAAACTTTCTTTAGAGTTTGCTTCCTTCATCTTGTTTTCCTGATTTATATAATTTGGAATCTTTTTTGTTGCCTTTTAATTGTTACTTTGCTTTAATTAACATTAATTAACATTTAATTAATTATTAAGTTTCCTAAAAAAACTCTTAAGAGACTGGCTATCAAGAAAAGATAGGTCATCAAAACACAAACAAGGTTAAAAGTGTGAATTTCCCAAAAACAGAAAAAGCAGAGCTGAAACATAGAATATTACCTTTTTAAGAAATAGGATTTGATTCAACATCAGAACAACTTTATCCTGGGAAAAAAAATCTGTCCCAGCGTTTCAAGAATAAAATTGCCAGTACTTTTTTTACTTAATTTTAGTTAAAACTTGAATTAAAAGATATTAATTGAAATTAATTTTGTTCAAAAATCTATTTTAAATAATCAAATTAGAATTACTCTGGTAATAAAATAAATTAATAAATAAATCTAACAAAAATTTCTGGCTAAGAATTCTCCGACGTCATCCTGATATTGTTCCAAGGAAATGTGAAAGTTTGAGTTAAGGTAGGCTAATGCAATTAAATGCGGTTTTGTTGAATATATGTAGTTGTGGCACAAAAAGGAAGCAAAATATGCACACACAGCTACTTATGCAGGTAGAGAAGAAACCGTTTATATAGTTGCATGTAAAATGCTAACTGGATTCCACCTATGATTTTGTATAAAGGCAAATATTTGAAACATGAGTACGGGGATAATTTGACATTCATGGGCACTGAAAAACCTAAAACATCAAAAAAAGCATTAGTAAAAACTTTTATTTTAGTCGCGATGCGTTAATTCAACCCTTGGAGAGGTTGATGTTCATGACTGCAATGCTTCATGGAAGACAAAGCATATGGGTTTAATCACCCCCCCACCCCCCGCAGTTTCGCCACTGAGAGTAGTACTGACATTTACTTAAAACTAAAAACAGAGGTGTTCAATTTAATAAATTTTAGTTATAAAGAAGTATATTTAGAAATATATTTTTTTGTCTTTACTTTTATTATGATTTAATTGATTAAATAATAAAACAAAATTTAAGTTTTTAGCCTACCCACCCTCCCCTTTTAATATAGATTTCTCCTAAGAAGTAAATTACCAGTGTTTTCATTGGTTGATTTTAAAATGAACGCGCGTTTTTTCCGGACCGTTAGTAAGATGTTTAGAAATGCTAAACTGTTTATAAAAATATGTATTCGTAAAAGTTGCTGAGGTTTTTAACATTGTTTAAATACCCATTGTATTTTTTCTAGATGCATTACTACTTTAATTAAAGTTTGGAATTACTTAACTAAATCATTTTTATTTATAATATCTTGATTATATGTTGTTTGATCAAACAATAAACTATAAATGTAACATAAAAGAGTGTTATAAAAGTAACAACACTGTAGTGTTATTACTTTTGTAGTCGTAAATTTATTGTTTTGTTTTTCATAACATTTTCACTAACAAATTAAAGTTTATTCCCCTATTCTGTAAATTTTGTGGTTTTCCATAAACTGAAACTTTGAAGACCAGATAATTTAACAGATATCGCAAATCGCGATGCGTTAATTCAACCCTTGCTCTCAATAAACTGTTTTCAAACTTAATGGAATGCTGTCATTGACGATTTCCAAAGAAACTTTCATGGAAACTGACAAAACCAAATTGTATGAATATGGTTGCATACCACCACACAAGTAAATGCCATATCAGGATTCAGATTTTCAGAAATATCCTTTCAACCTTAACATTATCACGCAAGTAGCTTTTGTTTCCAATGACATTGTCAAAACATCAAAAACCCCTGATGTTTACAATTCTAGTACTTTGAAAATTTTCAAAAGCTTGCATCAAATATCCATAAAATAATTCAATTGCCTAAAACAATTAGAAAAGTAACAACTAGAAAACTTGTTTATTGTTTTAGTTGCGGATAAAATGAATGAAACTGCCAGAAATGGCCAGTAAGCATAAGTATAAAAAAACAAAAAAATAATTAACAAAACAAAAACAACAGAAAAGTGATGAATACATACACAAGCGCAACTGCATTATTGTTGTTACATTAATATTTTGTATTATTAACACTAAAATCATTATTAATTTGATAATTTTAGCAAAAAAAATATAACATTTAATACATATTTTGATCCTCTTCTACTGATTGTTCAACCGTACTACTAGAAAATTGTATGTTTACTACATTTATTGTGTGTTAAATGGATGCAGTGTGGCAAAAGTCACAAATGCAATAATGTAAAAACCTTTTATAACTAATTAATACTGGCAAAAACTTAAACTGAGATCCTAAAAAATCTTTCCCTGTAACTTTCTTAGAAATGACACGAGTGATGAATTAAAAAAAAACTCTCTACCTTGATTGACATGCTTTGCAACTTCTTTTATGTGTTGTTTGTTTGCATCAAAAGATACACAAGGTAAAATAGAAGACAAGATTAATGCACAAAATGGTAGCATAGTGCGTCCAGAAAGTGCAACAAATTCTTTTAGCCAGGTAATAGCAGTGTACTGTATTACTTCATCTTAAAATAAGTAAATTTGTTTTTAAATAAATTCTGATAGAAAAAAACTTCGTTTTTCATCATAAATGATGAATTTAGATTAAAAAGGTTTCAAAAACTCACCTTCTGATTGTGAATGATGAACTAAGTTATTAACCATTGCTGCAAAGTTAACATTTGAATGGTTTTTTTTTATATCTTTTAGAAATTCTCCAAGTATAAACTCACACCTAAATAATTATTTTGATTATTTAAACCATTTATTTAAATCATATCAATTTTTCTACTTATGGCAACTAAATAACAGGTGATGTGGAAGTTATTGGACAAAATTGTTGTTGAATTTAATTATTTGAGCATAATAATTTTTTTTGTGGTTTTATGCGTAGGCATAAATGTTCTATAAAATATAAACTTTATTATTTGAAACACAATTATTTAAAATGAAGTTAAATGCAGCTGAACAAGAATCTTTTCAAAAGCAAATTAAAAATGTTTTTTGTAAATAAACCTAATATTAAAAAAAAGAAAACGTAAATCATTTTAAAAAGGAAGGATTTGCTCGAAGTACAATATATGATAACCTAAAAAGACTTGAAACTGCTTAATCTTTTTCTGATAGAAAGCACCCTGGTCATCCAACAGCCTGGACTAGAGAAAAGAAAGCCGAATTAACAAGAATTATCAACAATCGAAAAAGAGTCAGTCAGAGAAAAATAGGTTTTAAACTTGGTGTAAATCAATGGACAATTGGTCATTAGTTAAAAAAAAAGAATATTAAATATAGAAAATGTGAAAAGTCTCCAAAATACACTATGGAACAACAATTAAAGGCAAAGAAAAGAAGCAGGAAACTAGTTAACCAACTCTATAACACAAAAGTCTGGTCATTGATGGCAAAAAATACTTTTGTTTTGCAGGGGATAACATTCCTGGAAATTCTGGATACTACAAAAACCAAAAAACATGCCCAGAAAGTGTTTGTTTTATAGGAAAAGAGAAATTTCTAAAAAAATTATTAATGTGGATAACTATATCTGACCGTGGTATGTCCCAGCCATTGTTTCGCATTTCCATGGCTGTAACAATTTATTTATTGATCTATATTGATGAATGTTTAGAAAAACAACTTCTTCCATTCATTCACAAGTATCAACTTTAACAATTCATTTAGCAAGTTCTCAACATTCTAAAGATTCTCTATATTGAATGGACAATATTTCTATTATGTTGATAAAGAATCCAATACCTTAAATGTACCTCAAGCACAACTAATTGAAAACTTTTAAGGACATTTGGCACAGGAGGTTTACGAGGGATATTGGCAAGTTTCAACAGAGCAAGTTTTGATTGATTGAATTAAATTAAAACTACAAGAAATTGATTTTAATTTTTCACTTATATAAGGTGTCAGAGCAAAATTGAGATCAACTGCAGATGGTGTTTTTTTACATTTTAAAAATAACTTACTTTTATTAAAAAATAAATATTTTACTTTTAAAAAATATAATGATGTTTTTTTTTCATTTATAAATAAGTTATTGACAATAAGGTAACTGAAGAATATTATTTTGGTTATTATTGTTATTTCCTACTTTTGAATGCATTTGCTATATTTTAATTAAAGCAATTAATAAATATTTACACACAACCTATGTGTAACAACTTATGTGAGATATCTTGAATTCACTATTCAAATAGTTCTTTTTTGTCACCTTTAACGCAAAAAAAAAAAAAAAATGATATATATAAGGACTTATAAGAAGCTTATTATAAAGACTTATAAGTAGCAAATATTGAAATAACAAAACACAAAATAAAGTAAAATTAAAAATTAGTTTGTAAATAAAAATTATAATTATTAAAAAAATATTATTAAACCATCTTTTTGTCAAACTGAGCCAACTTATAATTGAAACTTAAAAATCACTTAAAAAAATCAATACAACATAAAAAAAAAATTGCATAGACTTCTACAGACAACAAGGTTGTCTTAAAAAATGCAGAATCTTCTATCTGCATACTGTGTACAAAAACCTTTAATCTTGCAGATTAAAAGTTGTGTTATATAATAGTTAATATTTAAATGTTTAAGAGATTTTCTTAAAACTTAAAACAAAATAAAAAATAATAATCTTACATCTTTCGAATCTCACCACTTTTGTCTCTAAATATATTAAATAACCCATCTAAAAACTCAGGAAGATGCACAAGCAAATCAAGCTCAGGGACAGCATCCAATGCTGAAAGCTAAGATAAAAATATTTGAAAACATTTTTAATTTAGACAAGCAACATTCTCACATTAATACTTAGAAGTTGAATGAAATAAACAAGTTGGATTTATTTGCATATACGTAAGCATGGAGTTACCAAGGTAAGATCATTTTCACATAAGCATGGAGTTACCAACATTTTTGCTATTCAATAAAATTCTGAAAACCCTGGAAGTTGTATGTTTACTCTGTTTTCACAATAAACTATAAAAACTTTAAACATAAAATAGACATTAATGTACATGGCTCTGTTCAATTTCAGCTTAAAAATTACAAACAAGGAGGTTATTTATATTCTGTAACTTTTATTTATTTTGCATTATTATTTTTAATTTTAATAAATTTATTTTCATTTTTTATTTTAATTTATTATTTAAATAGCAATAATTTTAAACTGATTAAAACAAAAGTTACAAAAAAACCTTCTAAAATTTTTTTTTTTATTATAAGTTAAAATCAACTTAAAACATCTCAAAAATTTGAAATTTGTAGAAAATGATAAATAAGGTTGTTTTTAGAAAAAAGTTATATTCTATCCTTGGGCACATACATTATACCTATCCCTTCCCTATTTACATTGTCAATTCACTTACCCAAGAAACAAGAAATTGCTTTGCATGAGGATTTGTTGTGTATATTCGTTCTCTTAACATAGGAATAAATGAGACTAAGTCAAAGTTTGAACTCTCTGTCACAACATCCTAAACAAAAAAAAATCAGACATGTATTTAAAACTGCTATAACATATGTACTTTAGGCTTATAAACATATAAGTTTTATATCTTTATTTTATACATACATACATACATACATACATACATACATACATACATACATACATACATACATACATACATACATACATACATACATACATACATACATACATACATACATACATACATACATTTATACATACATACATACATACATACATACATACATACATACATACATACATACATACATACATACATACATACATACATACATACATACATACATACATACATACATACATACATACATACATACATACATACATACATACATACATACATACATACATACATACATACATACATACATACATACATACATACATACATACATACATACATACATACATACATACATACATACATACATACATACATACATACATACATACATACATACATACATACATACATACATACATACATACATACATACATACATACATACATACATACATACATACATACATACATACATACATACATACATACATACATACATACTATATATATATATATATATATATATATATATATATATATATATATATATATATATATATATATATATATATATATATATATATATATATATATATATATATATATATATATATATATATATATGGTAAAAACCTGAAGAAATGCTAAATGAGTTTTTTTACAATGCTATAAATGACATTTGTTATGTATATATTCTTGTAGCATTAATGTTACAAGCATTAAAAAATGAATTAATTGCTTGTTATAAGTATAAAATCAAGTTTGCATTTAATAAGTAATTTATTTAATTAATAGATACCTTGTGCTAAAACCGATAGCTCTTTTAAAAGCTGTTTAGAAGAACAGCTAGAATGGCTAGTCCATCTAGTAATATATAGTCCATCTAGTGATATATAAATGTTAATCTGGATGTTAATCTGGTAATATATAGATGTTAATCTGGTAATATATAAATGTTAATCTGGTAATATATAGATGTTAATCTGGTAATATATAGATGTTAATCTGGTAATATATAGATGTTAATCTGGTAATATATAGATGTTAATCTGGTAATATATAGATGTTAATCTGGTAATATATAGATGTTAATCTGGTAATATATAGATATTAATCTGGTAGTATATAGATGTTAATCTGGTAATATATAGATGCTAATCTGGTAATATATAGATGTTAATCTGGTAATATATAGATGTTAATGGAAATAATTGCAATTTTGCCAAATAAAAATATCAAGAGAAAGAACATCTGGCAGAAAATATTTTTGTGTATTCACATTTCTTTATTTTAAGCTTAGTATAGTTTGGATCCGAAAGTCATATAATTTTTGTTCTAGATTAAAAAAAGACATTAAAAAAGTTGGAAGCCCTTAATAAAAAACTGTTCAAAAACTATTTTAAAAATTTTAGTGGTTGCAGATATATTAAAATTCCTGCTTTCACATATGAAAACAGGATTTTCATATATGAAAATCCTATGTTCTATTTTCTACATTTTAAAATAGGATTACAAATGCATTTTTGTTTATGAAATAATTGTATTTTTGCATATAATATAGAAAAAAAAAATTTTAAAAAAAGATGTTCTCAAAATAATTGGCATCAGCCGATGATTACCAAGACCAAAGCTGATTCATTAGCTAAATGGTCAATGCATCGGTTCACCCCTAATATATATATATATATATATATATATATATATATATATATATATATATATATATATATACTCATATAGTGTCGCTTTAAGAGCATTTTAATGTAAAAAAAGTCTCTTACGACTACAATTTTAATTACCTCGTCTCTTAAGCTGTTTTTGATTGTCATCGAAATGTCAAAGCAATTAATTTATGCGGAAGTACATTAAATTTAATTGTTTTTTAAAAAATTTTTAAAAAACCGCAATTATAACGACTAGAAAGTTTTTTTTAATTAGTGGTGTTTTTGTTATTGATTTAATAAAAAACATTTTTTAAACATGCGTAAATGTTACTACATCGACTATCTTATAGCATGACTCGCAACGGAGTGCTGCTACATCGACTGACAAATAGCCTGACTCGCAACGGAGTGCTGCTACATCGACTGACAAATAGCCTGACTCGCAACAGAGTGCTGCTACATCGACTGACAAATAGCCTGACTCGCAAGGGAATGCTGCTACATCGACTGACAAATAGCCTGACTCGCAAGGGAGTGCTGCTACAACGACTGACAAATAGCCTGACTCGCAAGAGAGTGCTGCTACATCGACTGAGGGTTTGGTTTGGCCAGGCAGTCTATCAATTAAAAAAAAAAAATTAATTTTTAAAACTTTTTCTGGTCTTGTTTATTAACGCGCTCTTTAAAACTACAGTTTATGGGAAATATTTTTTGATGCTACGCAAGAGACATGCAAGACTATATATATATATATATATATATATATATATATATATATATATATATATATATATATATATATATATATATATATATATATATATACATATATGTATATAAAAATTTAATTTTCACTCAACAAAAGATATATATATATATACATATATATATATATATATACATATATATATATATATATACATATATATATATATATATATATATATATATATATATATATATATATATATATATACACACACACACACATATATATATATATATATATATACATATATATATATATATATATATATATATATATATATATATATATATATATATATATATATATATATGTATATATATATATATATATATATATATATATATATATATATATACATATATATATATATATATATATATATATATATATATATATATATATATATATATATATATATATATATATATATATATATATATATATACATATATATATAAAAATTTAATTTTCACTCAACAAAAGAGTTTCTGGAGGAAATTTATAAAACTATTTTATTTACATCTCTATTATTGACAGATAATAAACAATTTTTGTAATATAAAATAACTTATAATATAAAGTTAGCCAAGTTGTTAGACAATTGTATAGTTAAAACATATATATCTAGCACTATAAAAAGTATATATATATATATATATCTAGCACTATAAAAAAAATCAGTGATCGTTGCGCAAAATAAACAAACACGTTTTGTAAGCAAAAAAAGTCAATCTGAAACTCAAACTTTGTTTTTTTAATTCGATGTAGTAAGCACAAAAATTTTTATATTTTCTAATCAATTATATTAGTGAAAAATAGTAAGTAATTTATATTTATGAAAAAATTATACTTTTGCGAGAGCCGTAAATTGCTCCCACAAACCATTTTAGAGAAATGTGGGAGAGCTGTGCAAAAGCTAAAGCTCTCGTTTCCCGTCAAGGCCTGTAAATACATTGACAAGGCTAGATTTTGACTCCAGTATACCGGTTTGTTATCTAAATTTGCGCCTTTTCTCCAGTACTTATATATGGATTTAATTTTTGCATGAGTTCTTTGCATTATAAAAATTGTAATTGATTCTCTCTTATTAAAGCATTTTTTTGACTTTTTTTTTTTGGGTTGTTTTTTTAGAGAAAAAAAATGCAGGGGTCCGTATTTTTTTTTTTTTTTTTTGAAAATATTTAAAAATTCATCATTGAAGCTACTTAATTTAATTTTAATGGCAATCCACTGCAATTTTAATGGATCTTAATTCATATTTCAGATTTAAATAGAACAATTAATACTAAAATTTAATGAAATTCTTTTTATTTTGAAAGGTTACCATGGTTGGAGCAGTCCTGTGTAAAAACATATATATATATATATATATATATATATACATACATATATATATATATATATATATATATATATATATATATATATATATATATATATATATATATATATATATATATACATATATATATATATATATATATATATATATATATATATATATATATATATATATATATATATATATATATATATATATATATATATATATATATATTCAATGGGTTCCTAATATTATTTTTAAAAATTTCTTTCAAAATAGATCAACTAAGTATTCTAATGATGGGAAATTTAATATAAATCCAAAAAAAAAAGGTATAAAAAAAATAAAAATGTTTTTTTATTATTGATAAAAACCTCTAGTTTTCTGCAAGTAACCAAAAAAACCACAGCACATTAAAAACACCGAGTTGTGATTTGATTGTGATCTAAAAAAGGTTTTAAAGCACCATAACATCTATATAAATATATTTAGTGAAGGGATATCTTTAAATTATTGAGTCATTTTTTATTGTTCTTCTTGTTGGTAATCAATTATGATTAATTCTTAATAGAAGAAGAAATAAAATCTTAGTTGTGCATTTATTTAAACAAATTAGCAAAATTAGTACCTTTAAACAAATTAGCAAAATGGAAAACATTAAATGTTCCTTTTGCCATAACATTATGTCTAAAAATTGACCTTGAACAACAAAGCATGTTGAAAAATTTCAAAAGTGTCCTGATATAGTATTATACGAAAATATCTAGATGTAAAAAAAGTGCAGATAAAAAAATAAATTATGAATAAATACGAATCATCAGATAAAGGTGGTCTGGGAAACTCTGCAAATAATGATAATTCAAAACTTTTAACTTTTCTTTAAAATTAAGTAGAGTATAGCAGGCTTGGCCAGGAAGGCATGCAATTTCAAGTCTTTATATGACCATGCAAATAATTTTTTGTTTTGACGATTTTACCACAGTTTTTAATAAATGCGCTGAAAAAATTTGTTCTTAATTACGTTATAAATAAATAATCTTGACACGTTTATCTTTACTGATGTTTTTATATTAGTCAAACATGTTTTTAATAAAATAGCTAATTATCAAAATATTATTTAAATTTGTATAAATTTTTATTTATATTATTTTTTTACAAGTAAAATAAAAAGAGTATAATTATTTAAAAAAAAAATTAATTTTATAAGCGACGACTTTAAACAGCGATGGTCTCTTTAATAAACTTTATATAAGAACCATTAAAATAATTCACTTGAAAAGTAGAAAGATTTTGTTTAAAAAAAAAAACTTTTTGAAAGCTGTTTGAATTAAATAATTTTGATCCTTACTTACATTTTTATATTAATGAAATGCATTTAAATAAAGTAACAAATCACTGTTAATGATTTTATATAAAAATATTAATGAATAATCTATATATTTTTTTATATTTATATAAGTACGTATTTTTATTATAAATGCCTTTAAACTAAAAAAAAAATTATATATCAACCTTTTAAATAAACGATTTAATTATTTTTTACATTACTGCAAAGAATTGTTAAGAATCTTTTTTTAACTTTTAAATGTGCGCACATGTTAAACAATCGTTAGATGTAAGTTGTTACTTTATTTAAAAAGGGTTTTGCGTAACATATGATAAAAATATTAGTAAAAATAAACGATTTAATGTTATTTATTGCAAACGTAATTTAGATTTTATTGTTCTTATTTTATTTTAGTAAAGTTTTAATTTTATTTTTTTATTTTAGTTTTAGTTAAGTTTTTTATTTTATTTTTCATTATTATTTTTTTTTTTTTATAAAGACTTATTTGCTTCTTTTAGAATAAGCTTTTATTCAAGTTAAGTTAATTTATAGTTTAGTTAAGAGAATTTTTTCTAGGGGTGAGCAAAACTGGATATCCGGTCCGGTTTGTTTAAATCAGAATCCGATTTTAACAAACCGGATTGGATATCTGGTTTTGTTCACCCCTTATTTTTTCAGCATGTTGTATACAAATTGTATACAAACATGCTCTGGTTTTGAATTTTCAAGTCAAGAGAGAGCTGTAATAATAAGAGCTTAATAATAAAAATAAAAGCTGTAATAATAAAAATAAAAAGAGCTTCTGACTGCAGTAGAGCCTCTGACTGCAGTAGAGCCTCTGACTGCAGTAGAGCCTCTGGAGCTTTGGGAAATTTAATATAAAAAATTTATATAAAAATTAATGTAATATTAACTGTAATAATAAAACTAACATTAATATTAATGATAAAATTAATATAATGACAAAAGATAAAGTAAATAGTGATAACAATAAATAATAACAATACTAAATAATAATAGTAATTTTTGCATTTTATGATGATGTAATGTTTAAATAAAAAGTTATGCGAAATCAAAGTTTATTTTAAATAATTTAAAATTATATTACAATTTTTTTTTAGTTTTGATGAAAAATTCATTTAAAATAAATTAAAAATAAATTTAAAACCTTTATTAATCGATCAAGAAGCTCTGCACCATTTTTAACATTTGGATCAGGATCAGCAGCTAGCTAAGAAAAAAAGTTAAAACATTAAAGTTTTAATTAAAATTTGTAAAAAAACTTTTAAAAGATTTCTATTGCACCTGTTATTTTATTTTAAATTCAATACAATTGATGGATAAACTACACAATTAGCAAAGTACGTTTGCCAATTGTGTAGTTTATCCGTCCTTAAAATTAGGAAAAACAAGGTTCGCAAAGAGTGTTGACAAAAAACCAAACCAAGCAGAATATAATTTCATGTGGAAATTTATCCTGCTTGGAAATGATTGATATTAAATACTCAAATTTTACTTTTTTTGAGTGGCCTACTGACATCAAACTAAAAATATTTAATCAAGCAAACTTAGCTTTGAAATTGGTTTACCAACACCTTGACGAAAAAATATTTCTGCAAGAAGATTATCTTGAGTTAATTGAATTACCTCTTACCTACCTTTTAGCGCAGCAGCTTAACCCAAAATATCATTAGAATCTTTCACTTTGTGATACAAGCACCAAATTTTGCATGTGACAAGTTTAACTATCCCTTTTACAAAAAAGCACATTAACCACGCAAAAAAATCAAAATGGCAGCCATTTTTTCAATATGACAGACAATAACTAAAACTCCTATGAAACTAAACGATTAAATGTTTTTAAAATACATAAGTTGCAAATAAACACATAACTCTACAAGAAAATGCTAAATATATTTTTTCCAACATAGATATACATTTAGAATCCAAAATGGCCTCCAACATGGAACTGTTGGAGGCCATTTTGAATTCAAAATGATAAATAAAAGGCCACCACATTCTGATATTATCAACATTTCATCCTTCTAAAAACCTAGGAATGGAATCTTCTGTTGTAGAAAGTATCAAACCAGTCACAATACCTGTGACAAATATCTTCTTAAATCTACAAATTCGTTTAAAACACAACTATAGTTATTTTATATATAGATATTTACAAATCAGGTCAATACTTGACCATTCAAACAAAACTATAAAATATATTTATTTTTTTCTCTAAAGAAATATCCAGGCTCTTTAGGTTTAACTCTTTACAATATCATAACATTTTTAAAAATGGTTATGTATCATACTGACAACTGCATAGAGCAGTACACGGCAAACTCAGCTTAAGGCACTTACATCGACCCCGACATTCATTTTTACAACCACATTTGTAAGCTGCTTGCATGACTCTGCAATTGGAGGAAGATCGGACCATACAACTGTCCATATATTATCCTTTAGCTTTCATCCCCAATCAGATGGACTTAGTTCTTCCATTAAACATGTCAATGCCTGACTTCATATGCATCCTGCTTGATATGCTGCTTGTTGGGTATGTTGAATCAGTGACACTTTTGTTGGAGGGATAGCATCAAATGAACGTTGTTTTCTGGCAAACATATCAAACCTTGCTTTGTCAACACTGGCCACCAGACTAGACCTGTCATACAATGAAACAACATACATCTGAATCATAGCAATATCATAACCATCCACTACCGAGGGATAGGTACTCAATTTACGAAACACACATCTGCCCTGATGGTCACATCAGGGCAGACACTCCACGCTTGCCATATTAATTTTTTCCTTTTGCCTTTGAAACTTGACACGTCATCGCAGCCAGAAAAGGCATGTAAAAACAAAATACCAGCAGATTTGTTATGTCTTAACTTATTACTAACATCATGTACAGGTATCCATTTCAAATTTTTTCCTGAATAAACTCAAGCCAAAGCTTTTCTATACCCATTTCTTTGAGACTACGGAAAACACTAATAGCAATAACAAAAATGTTAGTACCATTCACTTTAATCAGCACAACTTTGTATCCATTCTGAATGCTGTGCCGGGCAGGCACAAAAATCCTTGTATCAGCCTCTTCATGATTACAAGATACGAGATTTTTTAAATCTACTTCATGATTGCATATCATGGTCTCACCAGGTCACATAAATGATGTTATCTGTACAATGTTCAACAATTATGTCTGCCAGAAATTGAAATAATTTAGTTTTGTTGGTGTCATCTCTCATGAAGCTCTGTCAATTTGGGATTTTTCCTGTAACCCTTTGTTGCGCTTCAAAACTTCGTTTCAATCTAGTCTCTGCTTTTAAGCTCAACAGTTTGTACACATTAAACACACCATCAGTTCAAACATACTTTGAAATGTATGTTTGAACTTTCAGAATGACTTAAAGTCTGGTATATTCATTAAACGTCTTGGAAATTCTGGGCATAAGTGAATTCACAAGAGCTGACCCATCTATTATAATAGCTTCGGCATTTGGTAGTTTGTCTGAGTTAACGACTGCTTTGCCAAGAATTGTTGCCAGCTGGGACTTTTGGCATGAATGTAGTCTTTCAGAGTCACTTAATGCAGCCGGAAAAGCTTGGTTTTCATGTTGAAAAAAGTTTTTTGGTATCTAGAGTCAACAAGTCTTTTATTTTTTCCAGGAACGAATTTCCCACCCCAGTAACAGTACTGTACAATTTGTTTACACGTAATATCAATTTGCAAAAATATCTTTTGTGCATGGGTGGTCTGCTCATGATGTTGCATTTCACTATCATATTTGCCATCTGATATCTTTTCATACATATTAACACCGATTTATGTGTTAATACGTATGTGACACCGAATTGCTCCACCTTCACCTTTGATAACAGCATTTGCGTGTTCATGAGCTTGATCTATTGCTAAGGCGGAAAATTCTCAAGATGATTTATGGACCATGAAATTGCCCTTCAGAAACTCAGTTTTTATCTGTGGATGAGTGTGATCTAAAGGCGGCATATCTTGGAGATGGATTGGTAACCAACAAGCATAATAGGTGTTATTATTTGCAAAAAAATAGGGTAACAATTCTTGCCAAGTCTGGCAATGTAAATCAAAATTGGCTTCGCTGAAAGACCCTAATAATGATAGAATGGTCAGCTCCATTTCCAAAATCATTAACCAGAATTGGAATTGTGGACTTAGGTGCTTGCGCATGTCACACCAATCATCAAAACTAAGTTCCAGTTGGTCATCAGCTTGTGCTTTTGTACAAAACATGTCGTAAGACCCATTAAGCAATTTATATAAACAACTTGCTGTCACCTAGTGCATCTGCTGTGTTCTTGTTACACTTGATACTGAAAGGAATGAATCTGCTGTACCAGTAGTAGCTATTCCTGATTCAACCAAAGCTGATGTCCAACCACTATCTTGCAAAGGATTCCAATCGATCTCAGATCAGCCGTCTCGATATGCAGTCCATCAAACATAAGGACAAACTTATCTTCACCATATTTCTCTGATCAGTGCCATTGAACAAAGAAAGCACACTTGCCTTTCGATACTCAATCGTCTACCTTTTTCTGATGTCACATCTGTTGAACTTCAGGATACTCCTTTGTCTAATCTCCTTTGTCTAATCTTCCAGGATCAAGTAAAATTGGTAACCTGTTAATGCCCTTGAATAAAGGAACATTTCTTGCAATCATGACATATCCACCTCTGTCTTCTCTAGCCTCATATCTGGAAGAAGGTGATTTTAACGCTTCCTCCTTTTCTGTCTGGCAAAGACAAAATTAACTCCAGTCAGTTGCCGTTGGGGCAGCTATCATACTACCTTTTTAGTTGCTCTGTCAAGTTTGCTATTGCTGAACATTAGTCTGCAACTTTCATGATACTACTCCATCTCCTTTGTCTAATCTTCCAGGATCAAGTAAAATTGGTAACCTGTTAATGCCCTTGAATAAAGGAACATTTCTTGCAATCATGACATATCCACCTCTGTCTTCTCTAGCCTCATATCTGGAAGAAGGTGATTTTAAGGCTTCCTCCTTTTCTGTCTGGCAAAGACAAAATTAACTCCAGTCAGTTGCCGTTGGGGCAGCTAACACATTCAATTCTGACATAATAATTAATAAATGTTTTGTATGAAATCAGATCAAAATGTAAATGATAACAAACCACAATATATATAAATCTTACTAATATTCCAAGACCTAGGGTTTATCCTTTAACACCTTAGATAAAGTACATTGATGTCCCATACATCAATGTACTTTATCTAAGGTGGTATACAACTAGATTCGAATTGATCTTTAACATCAATCCTACATCTAGCCTGATCGCTCATCCGGTGTCAATTAAATCCCATCGGATCTGTACACCGTCCAGACAAATGAAACCCCATTATCCTTAGCTTGGCTCTCCTGCGCTGGCACATCCTGTCAATTCAGGTGTGGCAATCTCATTTTTTTACAGTATTATTACAAAATAGAAATAATAATATATGTGGGGCTTGCACGATAGCATTTGGGACACTGAAAAGTATTAAATTATATATCAGCTGACACTGAACCCCATGCTGGCTCTCACAGCAGTGGTGTCATCAGTATGCCCTGGTTGACGCCCACTCCTTAAATGTATATACATACTGATTATATAAAAAACAATTGTTATGATATCAAAAGCAGCAAATCTTAAACAAATCATAATTGAATTCAACAAATACTATCAAGATCAAGTGTAAAAACCATCAAAGGAACAGAAAAGAGCCTAAAAGTCAATATTTTTTGACAAAATGGCCGCAAATTTTGCAAACAGAATTGATAATAAAGATTAAGAATTTTGTCATAGTTTAGGATTTGAAAATGTAGGAGTTCTGACTTTTACCAATGCTCAAAGTAACATTTAGAGAGGCACAGTCAATCCTTGTATTTAATTCTCTGGTCAATGTCGGCTATCTTGAAAAATGGTGTAAAATTTTGATTTTTTTAATAGCTTTTTTGTCATAGACATAGTTAAACTACAATCCTGCCAAGCTTGTATCATTAACTGAAAGACTTTTTCACTAACCTGCCGCGCTATTGGGGGAAAAGTATAAGTTGACAGAATATTTAAAATTCATGAATCAGGTGCAATTCACAATGTGAGATTTATGGCACATTCTATATATATTTAAAAAAAATTGAACTTCTATCTAATAAATTTATTATTTCCAATAATGAGCAAATTACAATCCACCATAAGTTTATTAGCCTTTTTTATTCAATGCAATAACTCTGCTTGAGGATTTTCGTATTTGATCCAGTAGATGACTTTAAGTTTTTTGTTGCAAAGAACTGGTATCAAGAAGAGGATTCAGACATTGCAACGGCTATAATTTTGCAAATTAACTGACACATTTAACTGAAGAGCTTGTTATTTTACCCGGCTTGGTCTGGAAGCTGGAGCGATCCACTGGAATACTAACCATGGAAACAATATTTAGTTGCGAAAAACTGGCCAGATTTTTTAGTCATTTTGAGAACATTTAAGTTTATGTATGTTTCCATGTTTGTCGGCAAAACAATTACAAAGTTAATTCTTTCGTGTGAATTTAAATTTGTTTTACGGATATACATGGAAACATACATTAACTTGAATGCTCTCAAAACATTAAAAACCCGCCAAATCTACGAACAAACTTATTTATTGGTTCAAAAAATGTGCGGACGAAGCAAAATAAAATTCTAGAGTATTCTGTTGAAATGTTTCAAAAATTATATTATTTGACATTTGTTAAGTTTTGAAATTTCTAGTATAAATTTAACGTTTACAAAAGAGCACATAATTTTATTTAAAATGAATGTGTTTTCTATTACTTTAAAAGAAACCGTTAAACATAATTAAAATTACAAACCTAAATAATAACTAAAAATAACTATATTAATCTACTCCATATATCTCTAAGCTAACTAATAAATTATTCACATACACAGCTATTGTAATATAGTTCATAATATTGTATATATTTTTATATCAATTTTAATTTTAATTTTTTTAATACATAAATAATGCACATTATCACATAAACAATTATTTTAAACAACATTAAACATAACTATTTCTCAACTATTAGCTAACTAAAAACAAATTAATAATATTATTAACCTAACTACTAATCTATTTCTGCCCCGTAATGATCCATAATACAAATATAAACCGTAATGTCCACTAAAAAAATCATACCAAAATTTAACTTTTACTACTTGCCTGATGATTGTGGTAACACAGAAAACTCAGAGTTGCAATATTAAACTATATTATAAACATTAGCATTTAGCTAATTCCTGGTACTGAGGGTAACAATAACATATACACTATATATATATATTTTTTAATAAACTTAGATGTTCGTACCTTTATTTATTGACAAACGTCTAATTAATGTGGTATATGTCAAATAGTTTTATTTTTAAATAATATTTTTATGCAAATCTTTTGTTAAACTATGAGTTTTATTTTTAAATAACATTCTAGTTGATAAGTTATTTATCAAAGATGCTTATTGAATTTAATCAATTTTTTATTTTTTCAATACAATTTTTTTACCTGTTTACAAAGTGTATGCAAATTAATGACAATTAAAGGCCATTTTCCACGAAACAAAAAAAATCACGCAAAGAGAACTTTTTTGTCATGACAAAACGCCGTTCAGATTTCCGCTTATTACTTTTCGCGTAACTATTTTTGTTATCAATAATAAAATGACAGCTATAAGTTTACGATTTATGCATTTGAAAAAAAAAAAATATATATATATATATATATATATAAAATAGTATTTGATATGATATTTTTTTAGAATGTTTAAGAAAATAAATGCTAACTTCTCACACACTTCTGTAGAAAAACTATTACTGCAAGAAGTAATAGATAGTTAACTCTGAAAGGCAATAAACCTTTTGAAGTGAAATTTTGGGAATTGACAGCATTAGTAAATTCATCTTTATTTGATGAATTTACTAATGCTTGCCAATTTTTACAGTGAATTCTAAGTAAATTAATAACAAAACCATGTTGAGCATTATTCTAATTGTTGCTGTTGTTCATTGTTGTTGTTGTTATTGAAAAAAAAACGTCCTTTCGCTTTTTTTTTACTGTTGACTTCATATGATATATTATTTAAATACGATTGGTTTTTGCTCATAAAAATCTGAAAAAGGATATTTTTTGCTGCAGCGAACTTGATTAGCAAAAAAATGCTAAAGGACAAAAAAATTAGCTTACTGCAAATATTTTGTCTTGTAGAAAACAGTCTTAATATGCAATAACTTAATGATTGTAAACTGTCATCCATAAATATGAATTTTTCTTAATTTAGTTTGTTAAACTTTTTTACTTATAAAAAATGCGTATAAACATGAGGAAATTAAATTAAAAAGAACTACAAATAAAATAAAAGTTGCATTGAGGTTTCTTTTTTTAAACCTTTAAAAATAATAATATCATATTAAGTATGCAATATGATATTATATTATTATATAAAACTTTTAAAAGTGTTTTTAGTATGCAAACAAACATTACTTCACTTTAAGGAAAATAAGAAAAGTTTAAAAAAAAAGTACACTTTTGAAACAAACAATTATGTTTAACGGTTTCTTTTAAAGTAATAGAAAACACATTCATTTTAAGTAAAATTATGTGCTCTTTTGTAAACGTTTGCACGTTTGTTGATTTGTTGCGCCCTGATATATACATATATTGATTTTAAAAAACTACAAAAAATTACATGATGAATTATTCAAACAAAAGGTTTACCTTGCTAAGCCCATCAAAAATTTCATTGAAAAATGGAAGAATAGATCCTCTAGCTACTTTTGCTATGTTATACAATGCTTCACAACCATAGTATCTCACTCTGCTATCTTGGTCTGAGAAACAGGACAAGACTGGTGAAACAAGGCATTGTAAATAAAAACTAGCATCCTATAAAATTTAAAGTAAAAAAAAAATTAACAAAACTAACAAACATTTTGAATTTAAAAACAACCATGACTTTTTAATAAAATATTTAAAACAACAAAGTATTAATATAAACATTCAAATTTTATAAACAACAATTTCCAATTCACTTATTTATTCTTTCAAAAACATGTGTTTGAATATAATTTTTTCACAAATAATTTTAAATTGTTTACCATTATAAGTTGTATGCATACAATTTAATTTTTTTTACAATTTAAGTATTAATTTATTTATTTATGTAATATTTTATAAGAATTTATTTATGTAATATTTTCAATTTAAATAATAAATACTATCATCTCAGTCCCGTAAAAAACAGGTCTTGCTAAGTTTATTTTACACCAACCATTTCTTTACTTATACCTTACTTCAATATTTTTTAGTAAGTGGTCAAAAACTATACATATTGTTTACCTTTTAAAGTTATGAACAAAAAAATATTTTACAACATAACTTTAAAAATATTTAAACGCTTCAGTAGTCGTTGCGCAAGCTGCTATTAAGTGGTAGAAAATAAAAAATTTTCAAATCTTTGTTTTGAATTAACAATTAATGTTCAATACTTCATAACTTATTAATGTAAAGTTGTAAACTTCTAAAAAAAACAACTTTTTTTCAATTAAAGTTTCAATTAAATTTTTATTAGATTTTATTAGATTTTTATTATTATTTTATTTTTTATTAAATTTTTTTCCGCAGCCTATTAGGCACTTTGCCCAATTATTTAATTTTGAAGAAAAGTTTGGATGAGAAACCTTTTTTCCTATATAAAAAAAAAAAGTTCTCTTTAATGTGTGTTGAACTCAACTAATTAACTAATTACTTAAGCACTTATCACACTTATCTCACTAAGCACTGAAAACTTATCTCCATCGTGACATGCTTAGAAAATTTTAACTGCTGTTTTGATATTTATTGTAATTTTAAGCTTTTTAAAAATTCTCTCCTTTTTGTTTGTACATATATCTTTATATATCAACAATAGAACTTCAAAAATGTTATAATTTGTATTTTAGAAAATCAGAAAAGATTTGAAAAAATGAACAAGCAAGCAACAGGATTTGAACACTCGCCTTGTACTTTAGAGGGGAAGCAACCTAACTACTTAATATACAAAAGACTTTTTGTTTATTAAATTTTGTTACGAAACAGCAAATAAATGCTATAAATTAAAATTAAGAAAATGTTGTTGCAATTTTAAAGTAAAATTAAAACTGTAAAATTTAATGTTTTAATTGTTTACATAATCTGAAGTTTACATAAGTTAGATATTTGTATACACTTTCGTTTGTTTACACTTTCGTTCACATTTTCTGATTCAAAAAATGCTGATACTCTCTCTTGCCATTAACTTGGGTGTAATAACTGCCATGACTTTTGTGTCATACACTTGCGAGTAATGGCAGCATTAAATTCAGTATTAAAATATTATAGGATTATTTAAAATTAATCTTCCTTTCAATAAATTTTTACAGAACATCAAGATTCAATAATGATATAAAAGTTGATGGTGTATAACTTATTAGAATTTTACGTCGCTTTCCTGAAAAAAATTTTTTAGCAGCGTCAACAAAAAAATGCACCCAAATGACTAAAAATCAGTTATCATTTATAAACCCAAAAGAAACTGATATATATTGTATAAAAAAACAAAACTTTGTATTCTTTTAAGACTTTTCAGAATTCTTTAAAAATAAGAAAGATAAGAAAAACAAACTTCTGATTTAAAGTATTATGAAACAAGTAATTGAAAGAAAAAAAAGTAAGTAAAAGAAGGAAAAAAGAAAAGAAAGAAAGAAGAAAAGCAGGGAAGAAAAGACTTAAAAGAGCCTCAGAAGTTAAGAGTCAAATATCAAATAGTTTTACCTAAACTTCAAAATAGTGAGTTTTTATACTCAAAGAAAAAATGAAAAAAATATTTTTAAATTTTTTTGCTCACCTTTATTTTAAACATTTTACATAAAAAAAAATTTATTTTAAAATAAATAAATCAAAAAAAAACAACTAACAAATCTCTTTTTTTCAAACATCTTTTTAGCTGCCTAAAGTTTGTAATCAAATATGAAAACTTTTTTCATTAAGTCGTTTTTTTTAAATTAAAAAAAAAAAATTAAAACTTAAATTCTTAAGCACATTTGAAAAAAAAAAATTTCAAGTAGGCATAAAAAGTTTTAGAATTTGATTTATAATCTAAAAATAATTTTATAAAAATTAAAAGGTGTTTCACTTTTATTTTATTTAACTAGAAAGGATATTTCAAAGAAAGTCAGAGCTTGCATCAAACCTTATTAATTTAATGGATCCTCATAACCTTCTCTAACATTTACAACATAACAACCTCATAACCTTCTCTAACATACCTCATGTTGTAAATATATTCCATTTAAAATCCTTATCTAAACTTTTAAAAAATAAATAATTTTTTTAATTTAGAATTTGATCTGAGAATAAAAATTTTAATTTCTTCACATCATTAAAATAAACATCTATGAATTTTATACAGAAGTTTAGTTAACAATAGTTACTAAGTAAAAAACAGTTAATAAAAACAGGTTAATAAATAATTATTTTTTTAATTTTATTCCACCTCCAAATATTTTAGAAAAAATTATTCTAGATAAAAAAAACTTTTAAAAAAATTTTTTAAAAAAAAGAAATTACCTTTCCAAGAGCTATTGCAGTTGCAGCTAGACCGATAAGTCCTCCTTTTCGACTATGGGGATTATGTGAAACAGCAAACTCGTCTGTCAATATGTTGATTAACTTTCGAATTTGTTTTACATCATTGTTTATTTGAAATTCTTTAACCATCCTAATAAATATTTATATTGGTGTTGTTGTTGTTTTTATTATTTCAATTTATTTGCATTTAAATAAAAATACAAAAAGGTGATACAGGTAATTGGAGAATTACTCTTATGTAACACCAAGTTTAAAACAGTAAACAGTGTCTCTGAATATTGTATGTTTTTAAATTCAATTTAAATAGAGACAATGAAGAGGGATACACCAAATAATCAGGTAAAGAATTCCATATCTTAGTAACTCTTTCAATGGAAAAAAATCTCCTTATATCATTGATATGGTTGTTATGTGATGTTAATTTTTGGGAATGACATCTAGTTGAATAATGAGTAGGAGCGAGAGTAAAAAACTCAGAAAAAGGCAAATCAACTAAGTTGTGCATAATCTTATAAGTCATTAAAAGATCAAATTTTATTCTCCATTAAGTACTCAACTGATGCCAACCTAGAACAGTTTTAGATCGGCAATTCCAAAGGCTGAGTATTCAAAATTCTTTATAATCTATTTTTTTTTATCACAGTTCAAAATTTCTTTTACAGTAGAAAAATTATATTTAGTCAGCAAACCTTGTTAATTCCCATAAATTATTATAGCTGTAAATAATCTAGATCAAACCGATTTGTTCTGCAAAATCACTTTGATCTGCAATATTGAAAAAACTTGTTTTATATAAGTAAAAAAAGGAAAGCTTTTGTTGTCCCACCTAAAAAAATGTAATAGTTTACTTATGTATATTGTATTTTATAGTAGCTTTGTGCATCTTGTATTTTAAAATAGTATCTTTGTAAATTTTGTATCTTACTTTAAAATACTTTTTATTGATGAGGTAATTTAGGATAAATTCTACATTTTATTAAAGCTAAATGTGTATTTACTAATTTTACAATGACATTTCTTATTTCTGTAGTACTCCTAGGTGTTAAAAAAAATCAAATTCTGAAATTTAAAAAAAAAAAGTAATAAATGTTAAAACTTTGCAAATATTTATTTTTATTAGGTGTAACCAATGAATATCATAACCATCATACTTTATTTTTCAAGTTGCATTTAATTGGTCCTCAATCTTTTCTAAGTTATTTTGCTTTTAGCTTGTTACAATGAAATCACAATCTTTTCTGAAATGTTAGATTTTGTTTTAATTTTGCAATCTTTGCTTGAAGATTAATATTCTTTCGTGAAACAATCTTATCACCCTGACAACAATCACCCTGAAACAACCTTATCTCTTATCATTACAATCACCCTGAAACAACCTTATCTCTTATCGTTACAATCACCCTGAAACAACCTTATCTCTTACCATTAAAATCACCCTGAAACAACCTTATCACCCTGACAACAATCACCCTGAAACAATCTTATCACCCTGACAACAATCACCCTGAAACAACCTTATCTCTTATCATTACAATCACCCTGAAACAACCTTATCTCTTATCGTTACAATCACCCTGAAACAACCTTATCTCTTACCATTAAAATCACCCTGAAACAACCTTATCACCCTGACAACAATCACCCTGAAACAACCTTATCTCCCTGACAACAATCACCCTGAAACAACCTTATCTCCCTGACAAGAATCACCCTGAAACAACCTTATCTCTTATCATTACAATCACCTTGAAACAACCTTATCACCCTGACAACAATCACCCTGAAACAACCTTATCTCTTATCTCAATCACCCTGAAAGAAATATATCTCCTATCATTACTATCACCCTGAAACAACCTTATCACTAATCATTACTATCACCCTAAAACTACTATCTACCTAAAACTACTACTCTCCTATCATTTTTATCACCCTGAAACAACCTTATCTCCTATCATTTCTATCACCCTGAAACAACCTTGTCACCTATCATTACGACCACCCTGAAACAACATTATCTCCTATCATTTCTATCACCCTGAAACAACCTTATCTCTTATCATTACTATCAGATATACATACTAATAATATTTTAAAATATGTAGAGAATCTCTTGTGTTTAATTTTTTTCAAAAAAGTAAAAAATATTAATAATACTGACATTAGCTATATAATAAAAATATTTACCTAAAAAATTTGTTTAGAGTTTTTTTTTAATAGGTATCTCTTAATTTTTACACCACCAAGTACAAAATAGAAGTTCAGTCATCTATATTCTTCATAAAAAAAACTTGATTATTTTTTTGGCAAGGACATTCCTGTAACTCATTAAATCAATTTAAAACTTTTAAAGTTAGATAATGTTTGCTGAAGAATGAAATATAAATTTTAAATGTACCTTGCTATAACTTATGTAATTGCAGAGTAGTTGAGTACTTAGGTAATGGTCTAAGTAGCACTTAGGTAGTGGTCTAAAAAAGTAACAGTTCTAGCAGACACTTTGCAGCACACACAAAAATGAGTAAATATCATCATATCCTATAACATAGTGTTACTTTAATTTTCACATTGTATCTTTAACATTTGAAATTTGCTATAGTGCAAACAAACAACTTAAAAAAAGCCTTCATTTTTTTTTAATTTTAAACTTTGTTTATTTATTTTTACTAATATACATAATTTTTAATGTATACATAACTCTATGTATACATTAGTCAATAAAAAATATCATTAGTACATTTTCTACATTCAAAACTAGCATCTAAAAAATACTTGTTTTTTTGTTTTTTTTAATTATTATGATTTTCTCACAACAAGGCTGCAAGCAACCACTATTAAGTTGCAAGAAACCACTATTAAGTTGCAAGCATTAAGTTGCAAGTTGATAGCTCTTTTGAGCAGCAACCATAATAGTATTTGTAAAAAAGAGAAAGAGACGCAACCTTACAATAATGGAAGAGCTTGGCAGATAAAGCAGTCTAACTATATTATATAGTTTGTAATATAGTCTATATTTACAGTGTGTTTTAAGAACTTTTACCTTGTCTAGAAGAAAAAGAGCATCATTAGAAGTACCAGCCCAAGTACAACAACAGTATCCCATATAGGAGTGAAAAACAGATTTGTAGAGGTAGAGAATGGAATCAGAAGTAAGAAAATGACACCCACAATGAAGAGAAACAACTTTAGCAGATACCAACTTAGTAATCAATTGTATATTTGGTTTCCATGAGAGGTCAGTATTGAAAGATAATACAAGAGGATGTTAAGTAGAAGACTCAGTGAGAGGGTTGCCATTCATCAATATAGGAATGTTGACAATATCGCGATAGTTGTTTGTAGTAAATATCTGAGCTTTGTTGGAGTTAAAATTCACAAGCCTCAGCAAACCTTAATCTGTGATAGAAGTGAAATCAGATTCAATTAGAACCCTGTTCTAAGCGATTAAAAAGAGAAATCTTTTTGTCAAAATAGGAGTATAAAATTGATGACTTTATTAAAGCGGTTAGAAAAAAATGATTTAATAATCTCAAAAACCTTTCCAGACCATAAGAAGCAAGCTTATAGAGAAGATCGGCATGCAAAACTTTGTCTAAAGCTTTAGATATGTCAAGAGCAACAGCAATAGACTAACCTCCCTATTTCCATCTAATGCATGATGAAATCTTCGGTCACATTAGAGCAAGTCAGCCGTAGAGCAAGAAGGTTGAAAACCATATTGATTGTCTCACAGTAAGTTATTTGACTCAAGATTTTAAAAAAGTTTTGATTAAAGACTCAAAGACCTTGCTAATAACAAGGAGAAGACAATAGTTAGAGGTATTCTTATAGAAATAATCAGAATATTCTTTAGAGTTTTTAAAAAATGGAACCACAGATGCCCTTTTTCAGCAAGCAGGAAAACAAGATTCAGACAATCACTTATTAAATAGTTTCAAAAGAATAGAAGAGAGTTCTGAATAACAATTTTGTAAGATTATGACAGGAAGATTGCCTGAACTACAGAGGATATATTTAAATATATGTAGAAGAGTTTAATTGAGATATGACTTTAGCAACAGAAGCTGAAGTGATTTAAATGTTTAAGAATAGGTTAATCAGTTTAAATGGAATGGAAGGAAGAGTATGACAATATAATTTAAGAGTTGAATCAGAAGAAAAGTTGTTTCTTTTGTTTCCTATACCTTTTTTGGAGATCCAGGTTGACACACTTTTGAATAATTTTTTTTTTTACAATATTAGGGACTTTATTCCAAATTCTGAAGATTTGAACCCAAATTCATTAATAACTGATGGTGAAAAATGGGTTGCATGATGGTGAAAAATTTGAAATCAAAATGAGGTTGCATATTTGAAATCAAAATGATGGTGAAAAATCGGTTGCACACTTGAAATCAAAATGTGAAATGCGAAAAACGTTTGCTCAGCAACAGATTAAAAAAAATTGTGTTATTAATAAAAATTTTAAAAATTTTAAAATTTTATTAATAATACAAGTTTTTAGCTTTCACCTATCGATTGTTTTAACAGCTGTATTTATTTTAGAAAATATTTTTTATTATCAGCAAATTATAACCCTTTAGAAACCTCCTTAATAACCACTGTTCCTAATTAAAAATACTAATTTCACTTCCTATATTACTTAAAAATACTTTCAAATACTCATTTTTATCTAAAAATACTCATTTCACCATTATTCTATTTATTGATTAAATCAAATCAACTCAAATCAAATATATTTTGAAATAAGTTATAACATTTCAAGGAAATTTACAATAGTACAAGTACTAATATAAAGTAAATACCTCAATATACAACGCAAAGTTATAGTCAAGGATGAAAGTAATAATAATAACTGTTATTAATAATACTAATAATAATTATAACAATAATAATAATAGTAACGAAATAATAACAATTATAATAGGAGAAGAACTTCATAAATAAAGACAATAACAGCAGCAACAAAAATTTAGTAAAGAGTGATGGCAACAGCAAAGATTTAGTACAAAGTAGAATAGTTGAGATATAGAGAATTTTTGAATGAAAAGAGATAAATAGATAGATAAATAAAGAATGCCAACCCATTGGTACTAAAATTAATAATATTAGTATAGATATATTTAATAATACAGTTTAAAAATGGCAGATAGAAAACCAGAGAAATTAGATGTAGATAGATAAGTAGAGAATTTCAAAATGTTAACAATATCAAATTAAAAACTGAAGGATTACGAATTGACATATATAGTAAAGAATGTCAATATTAGTTGGTAGAAATATTTAATTGTATTTGTTTAACATACAATTAAAAAGCTTGATTTTGAATTCAGAGATTGAATTAAGAGATTTTAGATCAGAAGGTAGTTTGTTCCATGAGCTATTACATTGATATTTAATAGATTTATTTCCATATTTAGCAGATTGATGTTTCAGAATAACTAAGTTTAAGCTATTGATGGAGCGAAGAGGATAGTGACAATTTGTAATTGAAAAGAAATTGTTGAATGATAGGGGAAGGTTTTTGTGATGATAATTCCAGACAAATAGGCAGTTGAGGAATACCACAAGGTCGCTTATTTTTAATATTTTGGAGATTAGGTATAGTACATTAGATCTAGAGTTATTACACTGAAAATATATTATTTTCAAGGCTTTATTTTGGAGGTGGGACAACGTTAAAATGATTTGTTTATGGGATTGTCCCCATACTTGACATGCATATCTTAGATGGGACCCAAAAATAGCATGATATATATTTAGCAGAGTTTCTAGATAAACATAATGACGGACTTTGGCTAGCATTCCATTAGATCTGCTAAGTTTTATTGCTAAGTCATTCAGATAGCCTTGAAAAGAAAGATTAGAATCAATTATAATCCCAAGATATTTAATAGTCTAAATAATAAATTTTTTGTCCACTTAGTCTGAATGTTAATTGCTTTTTAATTGGTGCCAGATTGGATTTAAAGATGATAAGCTCTGTTTTGTTAAAATTAAGAGAAAGTTTATTAAAACGAAGCCACTGAACAAGATTTCCAAGATCATAATTAATATGTTTGTTGATTTTTTTAAGTGATTTGTCAACCAATAGCATGTTAGTATCATCAGCAAAATGGTAAGCAGTTGCAAATTTAAAAGAAGTATTTAAGTCATTAATAAAAAGAAGAAAAAGAAGTGGTCCTAAAACTGAACCTTGTGGGACTCAATTTAAGCAATTCTGTAAATCAGATTTAGTGCTATTAATGGAAACAAACTGCATTCTATTTTTGAGATATGAAGTAAACCATTTTAGAGATATGAAGTAAACCATTTTTTTAAAACAGTTTATTATGAGTTCTATGACAATTTTTTAAACATTCTATGATCATTAAAGACATTTGTAAAAAAATCTATACCATATGTCATATATAATGCTAATAAATCCTGTCACTCGCTCAATACTCTAAAATGAATTGGTAAAACTGGATCTTCATTTTTTGCATATACTAATCACATGTCTAATAATACATGGTTTCAAGACCCCTAAATCCTTCTGGATTTATATCACTGTGTTCAAAAACCTAGAAAGCGCTTACCTAGAAAGTATACCTTAAAAGCAACTGTATAAAAAAATATTTCAAAATCTAAACAAAGACTCTTACAACTTAAGTCAAACAAAAATGTCTTACAAATAATAAAGTCAACAGACAAAGTAAAGATTTTAGAAATTAGCACAAATAAAATGCCTGTTGATCTAAAATACTGAAAAATTTCATTTTTTTAAATTTGATGTTATTAGGAAAAAAAATTACAAAAAAATATAAGAATACTTTTCAATTTCCAATGCTGCTGTCTTTCGCTTTTCATAAAGTTTGTCATTGAGACCTCTTACAACTTGAATAGTAAGTGGGGAAAAATCTTTTTCGCTCATTTTATTTTTAGTTAATTGTTTGGTAAGTGTTGTTTCGTTGTTGTTGTTTTTTTTTTGTTTTTTGTTTTAGGACAAGATCTAGAAAAAATTTGTAAACATGTTATATTAAATAAATTCATAAATTCTAAAGAGACTGCATAACTAACATTAATTTAATTACATTATTTATACTTTTTTGAAAGACTTTAATACTCTCTTAAATGAATTGTTATATTACATTAAGAACATGCAGTAATAACAATAATAATAACAATAATAATCATGATGACGATTATGATGATGATTATAATATATATATATATATATATATATATATATATATATATATATATATATATATATATATATATATATATATATATATATATATATATATATATATATATATATATATAAATCAATAATAAAGTACCATAGAAAAAGTTGTTTTTTCTTCGTTAATATATTTTTGTATGTTGCTCTATTTGAAATTTCTTTTTATTATAAGACAAAACAACCTTAAATATATATATATATATATATATATATATATATATATATATATATATATATATATATATATATATATATATATGTATATATATATATATATATATATATATATATATATATATATATATATATATATACAGATATATATATACAGATATATATATAAAGATATAAATATATATATATATATATATATATATATATATATATATATATATATATATATATATATATATATATATGTATATATATATATATATATATATATATATATATATATATATATATAGTCATCAGTTGGATTGACATTGTCGAATATCTATTCTAATTCTCAGAATATATATCAATATCTATGTAATATATTAGTGATCAACTGAAACAGAAAAAAAGCTGAAACCAAAATAAATCGAAATTTCGGGTACATAAATTTGGTGCTGAAACCAAAACCAACATTTCGGCAAATATTTAAAAAAAAATACGGACATTTCGGCTAGTCAAAATTTATTTTATTAGAAAGATATATTTAAAAAAGCAATTCACATTTGTTGTTTTTTTGTACTTGTATTATATGTTAAAATTAATTACATGTCTATCCCTAATTGAGATTTAATACATAAGTTGACGATATAACTTAATAGCAAAATTTAACAACTGGCAGATTTTCTTTGCAAATTGAGGTATTTTGTGAAAACTCTCAATATTTTTGTGAAAATTCTCAAAAAATTTTGGGAAAATTATGAAAAATAGCTATTTTCTAAAATAAATAAAAATCAGTTTTTACCAAATTTATAAAAAGTATTAAAACCAAAATTTTGGTATCAGTTCAAATTAAAATTTTGTTCGAAACAGAATATAGGTCAACCACTCATCTATATCTATATCTATATATATATATATATCTATCTATCTATTTATCTATCTATTTATCTATCTATTTATCTATCTATTTATCTATCTCTCTCTCTCTCTCTCTCTATATATATATATATATATATATATATATATATATATATATATATATATATATATATATATATATATATATATATATATATATATATATATATATATATATATATATATATATATATATATATATATATATATATATATATATATATATATATATATATATATATATATATATATATATATATATTTATATATATATATATATATATATATATATATATATATATATATATATATATATATATATATATATATATATACAAATAGTATTGCGCACTAAGGTAAGCAATCTGACGTCATACTGAAATAGCCTGCTGCTAGGGGGTTCAGTACATACATCGACTGACAAATAGCCTGACTCGCAGTGAAGTGCTACATCAACTGAGGGTTTGGGAGGAGGCAGCAATTGTTTCATTCATTATTCTTCCTTTTTTTTCTTTTTTATCTAAAAAATTCGTATGGGTTAAGGTAAGCACAAAAAGTGAGCAAATGCTTATAAAAATACGCTTTAGTAAGTGTGTGTGTGTGTGTATATATATATATATAATTTTATTATATATATATATATATATATATATATATATATATATATATATATATATATATATATATATATACAGATATATATATAATAAATTTAATTTTTAATAATAAAGTTAATTTTTTGTCCTTGTAAGCATAATTTTTTTGTAAAAAATTGTACCCGTAAGAAACTTTTATAGAGAACAAAAAGTACATACATCGACTGACAAATAGCCTGACACGCAAGGGAGTGATGCTACATCAACTGAGGGTTTGGTTTGGCTAGGCATCAACGTCAGACTTAGGGTTACTGTTACGGCAAGGTTTAAATTTGGTTATATTATTGTAATTAATTGTTTTTGTAAATAGATGAAGTTAAAAATGAAATGTAATATAAAATAAATAAATAAAAATAAAAAAATTAATATAAAAAATATATTTTCATAATAAAATAATAAATTTAAATATGTATAAATAAAAATACAAATATAATAAAAATTAAAAAATATATATAAATATGATAAAAGTAGTATAAAAAAATTAAAAAAAAAAACAACAGAACGGGAATAAAAATAACATGTCCCTGAAAGTCAAAATAAAATAAAAATTAAAAACTAGGATACTATATATATATATATGTACATATATATATATATATATATATATATATATATATATATATATATATATATATATATATATATATATATATATATATATATATATACATATATATATATATATATATACATATATATATATATATATTTATATATATGTATTTATATATATATATATATATATATATATATAAAATCGATCTACCCTAATATATATATATATATATATATATATATATATATATATATATATATATATATATATATATATATATATATATATATATATATATATATATATATATATATATATTAGGGTAGGTCGATTTTAATTCCGCATATTGCATAATATTGCAGTAGTTGTAGACAGCTAAAATACGATTACTTTCAAAATTTGAGAGATTTTGGATGAAGAATCGCTTGCGGATTTAATTTTTAAGATTTGTTGGATTATGAAAAAAAAAAACCTTAAAAAGCATTATATGCAAAACTTGACGTTTTAACTATGTTCATATTTAAATGTTTTTTAATACTATTTGCTTTGCTGTATGATTTAAGTTTATAATAGTTTAGAACAAGTAAGCTAAATTTATAACAACTTTTTAACTATTTGAAGATTTAAATAGTAAAACTTTTATTCTTATATTTACATAAGAATATCAAAATAAACATTATTTTCACAATTAAAAACATTTTGGCTATGGATATATATATATTTTAGGAAAACATTTTCAATTAAAAAATATCATCATAAGAATGGGAATAATGCCCTTTTGAAATATACGGTTTACGGATCTTCCTGCTAAGTAGTTTAGTTAAAATGCAGCTGTGTTGATTCTTAAATCCATAAACATATTGGGATGCGTCCGACACAAGTTTTACTGCTCGCTCAACACTCTGGGAGTGAGATGGAAAGTTGGGGATTTCAGGTTTAACATTATTGTCAATCGCATATTGGATTTGCTCAATTGAAAAATGTTGTGTTGTTGGGGGCTCTGTAAATTTAGTAATACTAATATCTACCAACTCATACCAATGATTAGCATTAAAATTTATTTCTGGAATTTTTTTCAAATTTACTTCCAAACTTTCGTTGTTTACTCTATAAATATAAATCAAATCCAATTACCACATTTAATGTATCATTTTTTTCAAAACTTTATTTTAGTTTACAATAAAAAAATACCTTTGCCTTAGACCCAGTAGGATTTGAAAACCAAAGTTTTGTATCTTGCTGTCAATATCTTTTAACATGGCATAAAGAATATTTTCAGGTTTTAGGCACAATGCATTGTTTTTAATGTTTTTTTTAACAATATGTTTAACATCATCAAAAGGGAGATTATTTATTCTAGTGATAGTAGAAAAAATAAGGCGCGAGGATTTGTTAAATTTTGAAGATTTTTTTATATCGAACCACGCTGGAGCGTAAACCTGAACAATAAAACATACAATTTTTTTTAAAGAAACAGTTGGTTGATTGTCTCTAGTATACAAACAAAGAAGGCGAATAGCTAGAGTTAACCACCTTGCATGGTTAAACGGTCCAATTTTATAGGCGACCCATTTATCAGAAACTTTACCAAAGCCTATTCCTTTGCAATATTCAAATAAAAGTCTTTGATTGCAACTAAGGTCTACTAGTATTTCTTCTGGAATATATCCATCTACAATTGGGTTTTCAATACAATTAAACAAAACTTGATTTTTATCCTGAATATTTTCAGCACATCTTTTGCCAAGTAGACCATTAAAGCTTCTTGGCCCAGTTGTGTCACCATCAAGTTTTACAAAAAGAGCTCGTAACGAAAGTTCATTTTGATGTAATGCGCATCCAATTAGATGCGTTCTTGTAAAGCACTAAACGTTTCGGTAGCAAGAACTAAACCTGTAGCACCGGTGACAGGAATGGTCTTTTTAATTATTTAACTTCGAGTTACTTTTTACAAAAATTTTAATAACTGTACTTTTTTATTGAATCAAGTAGAATACGTTTTAATATTAATCTTTTTATTTATTTTTTATTTGCGCTTACCAATTTATAAAATGTTTCCTTGAAATTACTCTTGAATACTTTAAATTCGTCTAACAGTTAAAATAATTTCCACTCCATTTTCCATCTTCATAAGTAAATGTGAGGTGATGTTCAGGTTCAATGCATTTCTTTAGTACTTCTCCTTGAGGTAAGTTCATTACTATACTTGTTTTAGTTATTTGATCGAGCTTGCTGTCAACCCCAAGACAAATTAACTTTTTTTTTTGTTCTGAGTCCACCTCTTCACTAACGATTTTTACTTTTGACTTGGCCCTATCTAACTTGCATTTGTCAATCAAAATATCTTTAATATCAACGTCATTTTTCAAGAGATGTTTTATGTCATGTAGTAAAGCATTTGCAAGGGCTGCACCTACGTTTGACAAACACTCATTTCTGACTAATTCCATTGCAAATCTTGGAAGTTTAACTAAGTTGT